AGCCTCGTTTGCAATGCGGAGGACGGAGAAGGCTCAAATTTCGAGCGGTTTGAGCCGCCACGATAAGTCACGAATGTAATCAGTGGGCAATGGGGACCAATAACCTAGCCCGGTAACACGAGCCCCATGCGTTGTGACCATGAGTCCGTGTGCGCGCATCGTTCGCTGATAAGTGAGGATACACCGTGCCGAGGTCGTGGTCGAGATCGTGGTTACAACGAGGATGGTGTAGCTGCCATTCGTGGAAGTCGCTTCACGGTGGCCGAACTGACGCGCGCTTAACTCACGACGGGGCGTTCTGGTTGCAGTGCAGGCGGACTCGCCACGGGCACTTGTACTGGCACACCAAGACTACGAGACGAGAGCTAAATATCTGTATGCTGCGAACACTGTCTTCCGGCTGGAGAAAAGGCCGATCGATCTAGAGCATATGCGAACGTGGTTTCAGCCAGTATCAGCACTCCGCGCTACGTCACCCGCAAGAAACTTGTAGAGTATGTACAGTAGCCAGTCATATCCAAACCGTGCGCACTAGGCCTTCGGAGTCCGACCAACCGATTGCGAGATCCATTGAAGTGGTCGGTATTTCGTGCCTGCTTTCTAACTCACGATAGAGACGTCAAGACACTCATGCACGATGTACACAGAGGACATAAAATAACCAACTTCGCGCGCCGTAGTCTCCCCCAGGCACACCTTAAAGAAGACCTCTTTGACGGAAGGGATGATACGCGCGCCGCGCCGGGAGCAAATAAGACCAGATGGCAGTCGCAATTACCGTAAACTCTATCCAGATGGAACAAGGACGTTGCCCGTTATCAACAGAACCATAGAACAGGCAAGGCAGTTGCGGCTTTCGAGGCGTGCCATTCAAGGGGACGTGAAACCCATTCATGAGTGGCTAGCCACACGGTTGTCACTGGATGTCAGTGGCCATCCAGGTGGCATGCGATATGTCCCGCGGACATGGGAGACAGCACCTCGTGCGAGAACAATCCAGGATGTCGGGAGACTTAAGCCTGAGGATCGAGGGTCGAAACATCCGAAGCAAGCCTCGATGCTTAAGCCAGGCAGGCCTCTCCTACCTTTATCGTTGAACTGAGAACGACTTCTCGTCAACACGTTTCGCGGGCTTCGAACGGCTTGAGAAGCGTTCAGCCATGCGCTTTGAGACGGAGCTCTCTCGACCTCTTGGCAGAGCGTGCATATGGGGCAGAACGACGGCGGTCCAGAGGGCTTCAAGTAAAATCCAGACGGACGTACCACGGTACCCCTTCGGGTGAGAGCAAGACAATATTCATTGTGTCAAAATGATGCGTCGAGTGTCAAACTGATCCCAACCACTGTCGTCCATGATACATCCTAGGAGACAGAGGATGCGTCGCATCAGTACGCACGACAGCTAGGAACAACCGTGCTCACCTACAAACTAGATGAACAAACTGATCGATCCTTCCTGCGGATTCATCTTCCACTCTCCATCTACACGAATGCTGGCGTGTACGTGACCGCAACCGGCCACGGGGCAGGTCCACTGGTGTACAGCTTCAATAGTTGGTTTGGCCTTCCCCTTCCCCTTCCCGCGAACGCGCGTTGTGGATGAAGATCCACGACCTCGCCGCCGGGGCGAGGCACCGACGAGACGTGCAGGAGATAGCGGCGAAGGGACACTTCCGCAATAGGTTCGTGTGCCACGGCGTGCGAAGCCTGGCGGGGATGTCGAGGGCGTAGACGAGAACGTATTGAGTTGTCTTCGGGTGGAACATCTGCGCTAACCGGCCCCGGTGCGTCTGCTAGGGGCGGATCCGATTCTGGGTGGAGCATCTCTGCCGCCTTCCGCTTGCCCTTCCTGGACGTGGTCGCCTCTTTCCCTGCCCCTCGTCTCTTGCCTGTACTAGATACTGGCAGGTCCGGCTCGCCGGTGTCCATGGCGATATCGGCATGAGAGACGTCCCGCGCCTTACCCTTGCCCTTGGGATCATCCATCGCCTCCTGGACATCTGCTGGGGAGGAGGAGGAGAGAGGAGGAGGAGGCGCAGTGGGCTCATGAGCTCTTGTACGCACTTGCCATCCAGCATATGGCCACACCGAAGCCCCCAGATCCTCCTCCTCGCAATCTCCTCTTCCGGGGCTGCACTCTCGGCTGTCAGAGAGAGGGGGTCATTGCAACGTGCGCAGACCAGACTGGCAGACGCCTCGACCACGCTCGAGTTTGCCGACGTCCTGCTCGGACCTTCGGTGATCTCGCCATCGTCATTCAGAACGATAATGGAGGACGATGTCGCAGAAGTAGACGGCACTTCCGACGGGGCGAAGTCGAATGTAAACCCAGGCACAGGTTTGTCTGGATGGGTGTAGCTTGGCTTGTAATGTTGCTCTCTTGGCCGTTCGACCACTGCAAGAGGACCACGAGGGACTCCAAATCGGTCGTCGTCTAGTATATCTCGGATAAATTCGAGGTCTTCGAGATCGTTAATGGGTTCATTGAGCATTAGACCACCGGGATAGATCTCGGCTTGTCCTGGAAGACGGCGTTGTGGCGCTGGTTCTGGACCGTCCCACCAGTTATTGACAATGTCCGGAAGGAGTCGGCGCCAACCTCGCTCTGGGAACCGCATCTCTTCAAGTTGCACGGCCTCCTCGCGCTGTCTGTTCACTTCCGCTATGAAATTTTGCCTGTTGAAAGCGATCAAGGCACCACCCAATCCCATAACCGGTTGGTGATGAGACCGAGCCACTGGGGCAGGATGTGGCACATCAACAGGTGGGGTGTGGCCGCGCGCAAGCGGCTGGCCCAGACGGGCCTCAAAAGGAAAGGGGCGCGCAATTGGACGGATAGCGGGAGGCGGCGCACCCTCTCGTCTTCCAAGGCGAGCGGGGAATGAGCTGTGGCCGGCGAGGTTGCGTGGAATAGGAGGAACAGGCGGGATGTATAGAGGTTGGATAGGCCTCGGTGGAGGAGACAAGAATCGGCGGCGTGCTACTGACCATAGTTGTTGCAACAGGATAAAACAAGCGAGATGAATATCCATACCGTGCGCATTCTCTACCCGTGTAACCTCTACTTCATCATCACTCTCCACGAAGATGGCTGATGCGGAGCTCGACCCTGAGGGCCCTCTGGCGCCAGTGATATGAGGAACTGAGCCTGTACTGTGCCGGTACGGGAGTGGGCCATCCAAGATTGTGACCTCGTCTTCGTCAAACGAATCGACATCAATGACCTCGCGTGCAGCGCTAGCCTGCTGCCTGCTGTCGGAGGATACGCGCGAAGGCACGTCGACGGTCGCCATAAGAGATGAAACAAGCGTAGAATTCTTCCGCACAATGCAGCAATGTTGTGGATATGCAGTGCCTCAGGTTGTGGAAGAGGTCAAGTAGAGGCAGGACGGCGTTCGTTGCAGAGTTGAAGAACAATGCCTTGCGTTGTGTCCGCAACAGGTTCCTGCTCGCCGAAACCGGCATATTCTCTCACGCCACTGAATGGTTGATGACAGAGTCAGCGCTGCTTTCGGCAACTAAAGTCAATTCAGACTGTACCATTGCACAAGTGTATGTTGCCAGCCTTGTTTACGCTGAGCTGATTCCAATTGCACCGAGTCCCGACAGCCTTTCGTCAAGCGTCCCCGCGCAAATTCCCGACGGTAAGTTCTATGTGATGGTCCGCACTGGTCGACCTATATTATGTCTGGGTTCCATCAAGGTGGGGCGCCGGGCGTGTCACGTCTTGTCGGGGACGAGCAGAGTTCTTCAAGAGTCGGACGTCACTGCACCGGCGACTCTCGTACTTTACTTGTACATAGCGGCATGGCAATTGTCTCTACAGAGTGGTGCCCCAAAGCCCGGACTATCTATCCACCTGCTGCATAAGCTCACGCTGGGCACGGGTGCCGGAATGGTCATCCGCTCCGCTTGCCATCGTCCTTACTCACACCGTCACTCCAGATTCCATTGTTAACCGCGAAGCTGAGGGTATCGTCAGTGTATTCCCGCACTCTTCAGCGTTGGCGGAGCGCAATCCACGAACCGTCGAAACGTTTCATCATGACATTGACTCTGCATTCGAAAATGAAGGTACGTATTCTAGAGACATGCTGTCCAGGGGACACCCTGCTAATCATCGCCTATAGCTGCGGGACGGGAAAGAAATACCCATCATGGGCTTCGGTCTGCAATGGTCCTTCATATCGGGTGGGAACTCAGGAGGGGCTCATTCGCATTGTTAGGCACGTACGAAATGGATGGCAGGGAGGCCTACACTGCTGTGAAGCATGCTTTGGAGGTCAGTGGATGTGTTGCTTTCTGTGTCTCCCGTGCTTATCGTAGTCCAGGCCGGATATCGTCACATCGTATGCCGAGTTACCTGCTGCACCATCACTGCGTCTAATACGACGTTTGCCTCTGATCCCCGATGACTCTCGCAGGACTCCGCGGAGTGGTACTACAACGAAGCTGAATGTGGCCGGGCTATCCGTGATTTCTGCGCTGCCTCTGGCGTTCCTCGCTCTGAGGTCTTTTTCACTACGAAGTTGCAGAACAACTCCGGGTATACAACCTCGAAAAGGACCATTTCACGCTCCCTTCAAGAGAGCGGACTGGGATACATCGACTTGTACCTGATGCACTCTGCCATCGGCGGCCCGAAGAAGCGCGCGGAGAGTTGGAGGGCGATTCTCGAAGCTAAGAAGGACGGGTTCGTCCGCAGCGTGGGTGTCAGCAACTTCGGCGTCAGACACTTGCAAGAGATGGTGGATGCAACCGTAGAACTCCCTGTGATTAATCAGGTCAGCGAAACCGTAATCTTAATATCGTGTGCGCTGACATAGCGCATCAGGTCGACCTTCACCCTTTCATGACCCGTACGGATATTGTGGCCATGTGTAGGAAACACGACATCGCATTGGAGGTAAGTGGTCTTACATGACATACACCGAATCATCACATAACACGATAATAGGCTGGGCACCCCTCGTACGCGGATATCGCTTCAAGCATCCGTCGATTGTCCGCCTGGCACAGAAATATGAAAAGGAGCCTGCGCAATACTCTTGCGTTACTCTTTGCAGAAGGCACGCCTTTGAAGTCTCCATTTAGTCAGATAACCTCTATGTTAACTGTCTACATCCATCCAGGGATACATACCGTTACCTAAATCTTCGTCCGCGCACCGGATCAAGTCAAACCTGAATGTCTATGATTTCGAGCTGACATCGGAGGAAGTGGCTCACCTGGACAGCCTTGATGAAAGTGGCGTTTCAGCTTCTCGGTTATAGCGTCTGTTTACGAATACAATTTGGGCTCACATAAACTCTTAGGGCTCGTGACGGACTGGGACCCAACGGACACGCCATAGACTGTCCAGAGCATCCACTGTCCGCCTTGTATGAATAATTGGATCGTTGGCTCCGCTCTAAGTATATGTACCCATATCCAGGCATCGTGTGGTGACCATCTCGAGATTTCATGTGACAGTTATTAGACCATTTGACCAGAACATGCCACAGAGACGACGGGCCTTGTCACGGTCGCCGACCCCAATGTTGACCCCAGACCGTGGAGCACCTATGTCCGAGGATTTGTCCTGGGGGATAGTGTCACCGGCCCTGTAGGTCTGGTCCAGGGTAAGACAAGAGCACTGCCTGATTCAAATGCCACGGAGAACTTTGTGAACTAACAGTACCCAAGAGACTGACATCCAGTCGATGGTCGATGATACAGTGACAGACCCAGGGCAGAGGGGCTCAAAATCTCCATTCCAGGAGCTGCGTAGCTCGGGTGAACACGATCAATATGACTGAGAAGAGTCCCATGCATGCGCTCAGGACCGTGACTGCACCCGTACTGTTCCACCAGCATGCGGCGGCGTAATTCTTTCCCTTTTGGCCGGGAAATCCACAGCTGTCTACAGCCGTTACTGTCGGCGAGTCGCGTCATCGCAATCTGCATTGGGAGGAGTAAGTTTGATTCATCGGGTACAGCACACCAACGCCGGACGTCTTTGGTGGGGTAAGCAGTAATGATAGCGAGTCCAGCGCTGGGTACAGCCGCGGCGAGCAGGGGACGAGTTTGGGACTTCGTCCCGCGGCTTTAGCGTACGACTTGTTCAAAGTACCTTCCGGCAACGACTGGTTGCAATGCACTCGAGCAAGGAACAACAACAATATTGTGCATATCTTATCCAAATGGCGGTCGATCGCGTAAACCCATGCAGCTACATAGTAAGCGTGTTTCGAAGTCATGTCACATATCGCATACTAATCGTGTACGTTTGAATGGCACAGATTGAGGACTCAACATCGTCCCTAATACCGATGGGTCAGACCAGCAGTAACCGGACTGTAAGTGAGCCGGAAGAAAGTCACTAGAAGACCATTTACGTGGTGCGCTTTAGACTGACCGGGCGACTCGACGCGATCGGAACGCGCCCCGCCTACCCAAATTTTTGTCATCTCTAGGTCTCCATTGCAGTCGAAAAGGCTTACCTGACATTCCACGCGAACATGACTCCATGATGTGGTATCTAGCACCATCTCGCACCTACTAGTACGAGAAAAGCACTTGAATAGCCAGTACCGCGACTGTCCGTTGGTCCAACTCAGGCCGCGTTCGCATTTGTTGCAACTGTGCTGCCGCGACCACGCGCGCGCGCTTGATAGTTGTAACGGTGCCGGGCACATTATGGAGTAAATTCTTCGATGCTTCAATCTGCACTCGGCCGCCAACTACTACAGTATTCGGAAGTAATGAAGGCATGTATCTCGTCTAGATCTGGAAAGCGGTGTCTGAGATACTGACACGCAGTTTTCGTACTGGGGTTGTAGTCGCACAATACTTATGATATCGGTAAAGGATTGACAGTATAGTGGAGCCCTTCCGAATATGTTCTGAGGATCCCTACTGGCGCAGCCTGAGTACGCACTCCGAGTCGGTGGCACTGTGGCAGGTGCCCGTCACGGCCACATACAAGACGCCACGCTGAAACCAGCGCTGTCGCTGCTTTGAACATATCGACTCCAAGTCGGAGGCGCGGTGGTGAAGTCGAACGCGTTGGTGCATGATTCATTGAAGCTTGACTTTTCATACTAACCATGTCCCTTCAGGCCTTTGAAGCCGTGTGAGTCATCTTGAGGATAATATGGCTCTGGGGTGAATGCTACGTGACCAGGGTTCGCTTCAGTCGCAGAAGTAAAGCACGGACCATGTGCTTGACCGTCACACTTGTGAGGCATTCGCCTCGAGACCTCCATTTTTGCACGCTGCTGAACGCGAAGCTGGAGCTACCGCCTCGACGAGTAGGGTTTACCGCTGAAGGCACTAGTGATATTTCAATTGCCAACTGCTGACCCGAGATGGCCGCGGGTAGACCCATGTCCAGGAAGGCAGGGTTAGGCTTCTTGTGAGCGACGTCGGCAAACTGCAGCATCCGAGTCAGCAGGGCGCAAAGTTTATATCATGGGGTTTCTAATATTGAGGCGATTCCCAGACATTCGCAGCTGTCTAATAATGGACTGTGGTTATGTCTACACAACCTTCATCTCTTTGTTTCGCGAACCTGACATAACTGTCAAGTGACGTCGTAGAAGAGATGGAGGTATCCTTGCATGTGGGACAACCTGATACGGAGAGCCCCCGTTCATCCTGTCCCTGAAGTTGAAGCCGTAAGCTGTCGGCCGCTCGGAGCCCCGAGTCACGATGAAGGACATCCAGTGGGCACCCGGTGACCCATGACGAATCGCTCGGCTTCCCAAGAGGTTCGCTTAAGAAGAGGAATAGAGATAAGGTGTGGCCCGGGACCGCTGAAGGTGAGGTGTGTCTAGCTTCGCCGCGGTCGAAGATGTGACTGACAAGTGGCAGGTCTCAGCTATTCAATGCTGAGAAGCGGCGGGACCATCTTTTCCATTTGGTACCAAACCTTGCGCCACGACAGTTGGCATACGCGAACGTAGCGCGTTGCGCAATGCTCGCTTACATACTAATTCTCTGCGACTCAGCGTGACATGTTGATACGCGAAAACGCTATCCTAGACGCGATGCAAGGTGTAATTTCGGATCGGGTATGACATGCCCATCTTGTCCCAAAAAACTTACGTTTTGCTACAGTGCGGTCAGACGAGACCAATGATAGGCTTCAAGTTGTCAGCGATCCGCAACGACAACGTCCAGCTCGACATCGTCTCGAAGCCCGACCCCTCCCAATATCCATTGGCACTTAATTGTTGTCAGGTTTCCAATCCACTTCGTATGTGATTATGATCCAGTTCTCCGCAGAGGCTGCGATGATGATACCCCACGTTTGAGCTCCCAAGTCGCAGCTGGTGCCCCGACTCGGATCGGAGGAACTACGTGATTTATATGACGTTGAAAGTTTTGACGTGGCCGGTGCTAACGAGGCGGCCCTGGAGGCCCTGGAGAATGGATAGATGAGCCCACACATTTGGTGCCGCAATCATGTCCTGGACTTCCGCAAGGAAGTCGATCTGAGGTCGTGTAGAATTGTAAACGATGGACAACGCGCACAGGCGTTTCAATCGTGGCTGTACCGTAATCGTCTCGCCTTATGCGACACAGAATGATCGATGACCACGGTTCTATGTACCGAACCAATGTACCTCAAATCAGCAACATATAGGCTTCACACGACGGATACAGTGATGCATCTGCGCACGCCACCGTTAAACTCGTCTAAGTGCTCAAGGTGTGATTCAGCACGACTATGGAGCGAACAGATGTCTTCATATATTCGAGTAGGGTCACAAAATCGGGAAGGTGTTCAAGTTGTCAAAGCAGAAGTCCGGGCAGTGCTCAGTAAGTGCACAGCAGCAGTGTAACACGCGGCATTGCTACGGGGCGCGCTGTGATTCGCGACCAAGTTGTTGTCTCTTCGCTCATTCACGCCGGTTGGTTCATGCGACCCTGTGTGTGAGAGGCTTCTCTGCGATTAGCGGAAATAAAGCATATCAAGGGGTTATAATAAAGGCCTGAGGCCTGAGGAACCCGTCCCCCAACCATAACTTCCCTCTGCGGATTAATGCAAGGTACGCGCTTGGACCACGTTCGCTACTTTTCAAGTCTTGTTCTGAGGCGCGCAATCGATAGCCACTTGCCCTTAATGAAGCGCTTCGCTCGTCACCGGCACAGCAGGAGTAACGTAGGCCGTCTCGCTTGGATATGGACAGTCACGCTCCCATTTGGGAATGAACATACAACGTCGAGCAAGGTTGCGAGCGATGTGATCTGGCGGAAGCCTGGGACGTGGAGTTGGACCCTACTCTCCGAGACATGACCGTCCCAGACAGGTAAGGCTCCATTGTCGATCTATGCATGAACAGACCGATAAATCCCCATGGAACGGAACTGGGCGATCGCACCCTTTACTCCATCGGCGCCTGAGTTTAACTGACTCATCGGCGTCGACCGTCCCGACAGCTCGCATCAAGGTGCAGGCGCGAAGAGAATAAATATTACTGCATTTGAATCTCGGGTGTCATGTTTCAGACTCTGAGCATGTGGTCGAGACATCTCTGCATGATATCGCTGGGCTGTAGTGGGCCCGAGAGTAGCGCCTCCGTCTCTGAGGATGGTCCGTCAGTCCTTCTAGCTTTCGCGACATGAAGTGATGCTTGCCAGTTCTCCACGAAGCCCTGTGGCTTCCACCGCCATGTTTGCACCAATACCGCACTTTGGTCACGTCGGAAGATAATTCAGTTCCTGACTCCGCATGAGTGCCACGTTGCTGTACGCGACCATGAGATCGAGTACAAGTCCAATTCTAGGCCACTACTTGTCCTCCCAGTGTCCATGTGTAGTCAGCTTGTTCATGACACGGAGAGTGAGTACTGTTGCCGCCCTGTGAATGACGTCGATAAGAGACAACAACCAGGGGTGCAGACTAGCCTGGTTCAGGAACTGCGGTGGCGATGGTCTAATAAAACTGACACACACCATGGCATATATTGCGACCACCGCAAGGGACAATGGCGTGTTGTACAGTCGTGAAATATTGGTTCGATCTGACAATAAAATACAACTCACAGGCTGATCTAGCAAGATGCCCGTTGCCTTCGCGAGGTGTTTAGCTCTGCAGCAACGAGCCATTACCGTCCCGGTGAATACTCTACCTGATGGCTATTTATGCAACTGCAATTCCCGGTTCTTGCGCTGGTCTTCGTGTAGGACAATGAAGGTTAGCATCGATTCGAGCGTCAGATAATTAGGAGCTGCTATTGGACCAGTATTATACAGCACGCAGGGAAGGCCTGAGGTACTAGTAGAGCGCTTCACCCATGGGAAATTCGGCGCTGTCGATTTATGACGGCTTGCTCGCACTGTGCATCTGATCCCACTAAGCGTAGGAGTGCCGCGGTCATGAAGACATCGCGGAGTTCTATGAGGGTAGCCATTGTTTAATGTTCCGACTGAAGTCCGTGTGAAGGTCAGACGTAGCCATGTTTTGCGTTAATAATGACGGCAATACGACTGTTGCTACGTTGCTGCGTATGAGCCGGTCAGACGCGGGATTGTATCGTGGGGAATACTCACCCTTGTAGCATCAGTGCCAGGGTGTGCAGGCGCAGTCGGGAATTCTAGTTAGGGGGCGATGAGCTAGTATCTAAAAGCGCAGGCCGATCTATGAAATGCACGTACCATTCGCCACTCGGATCCCTCAGTGATGCGCACAATGTCAAGCATACGCCTTGCGCCTTTGAGTAAGGCAATCGTTGTTCTGACACCTGGTAGGCAGTTCGCCCACTCCTATGTGGTTTGTTTCCACTAGTCATGCTGAGTGATGCATCCGTGATTGACAGCCAATCATGATCAGTAGTTTGCATGCCCCTAGTCGTGCCTGCTTTATGAAAGCTCCTCTCGAAGTGGCCAGAAGGCACATCCTGTATGTTCATTTTGATGCCAGCCATCGGGCTAGGTCAGTTACGGAATCATATAGATACCGACAGATTCTTCTCCGCCACCGAGTTACTTGATTCTGCCGCCGCAACTTCTTCCGCGCGATTGCATGTAAGACATCCTGCAGATTACATAGCCCAATTGCACAACTTCTTCCCAGAGTCGATTTGCTGCCGTGGACGTCTTATGACCGCTTCCCGCAGCGCTCAATGACATAGTCCTTTGCCCGTCTCTGTTCCTGTCCGCCCACACCTTCGAGATCTTCCGGCATTTCGCCATCGAGGTTCTCCTGTCAGGAGCGATAGTTGTGTCGTCTCAGCACCGTGAGGATCGCACAGACTGACTTCATACTACTTACGCGAGTGCGATCCGCGCCGGCCTCAATGAGGAGGCAGGCCGCTTCCGCGTATGCTGACTCCATGGCCAGGTGAAGAGGCGTGTTACCTAGCACCATTTAAACGAGATCGAGGGCGAACTCTCGCGGCAAGCTGCGCAAGAGACGCACCCACACGGTCAGCGGTGTTTAGCCGGGGTTTGGGAGACTCCTCGGGAGGCTTAAGCAGAAGACTGATGAATCCAGTCGACCCTGTGGTAGCAGCACGGTGGCTTCGGATCTCATGATGGATATACAGTTCTACGATAGCAAGATGAGGACGCACAGTGGTAGCTGGTTTGCCTTGTCTCGCGCATTGATCTATGAGCATTGTCGGGCCTCATCCCAAGACAGAGAGGAACGAAGCTGGACTCACATCAGCTCCTCGGGAAATGAGTAGTTTGCCTATCTGAAGAGGCAGGGTAAAACACAATACTAGCTCGGTAAGACGAGCTGTCATACGTCAACTCGGGACTTGGAAGCCGCATAGTGCCTGCCAATAACCAATGTCAGTGACACTGTAAGACTCGGTGTGCAATTCATACAGCGGTGTGATGCCTTTGTCATTCTTTCGGTTGATATTCGCGCCGGCGCCCAATAGTTCACGTACAACCTCATCATGCCCTGCGCTAGCTACTCCTGTCATGAGTGGACAGAATCAGCGACACTAACAGAAACGTTACAAGCGATGTGTAGGGGAGTCCACCCGCTATTGTCCGCACGATCGACATCTGCTCCTTGATCAATCAAATACCGTGCGATGTCGAGGGCCCCCGACGAGGCTGCCCAGTGCAGTGGCGTTCGACCATCCTAAAACACTCAAGTCAGGGGGGGCTCAATACATACGTGCAGCACCATGGGCCTTTACCACGTCGGGCGAGTTAACGAGGGTAGGGTCCTGAGAGACCAGAGACCGAAGCAATCCGGTCTGGCCTGTCAAATCCGTGAACCACTGATATAGACACGGAATTAAATATACTTGCGGTTTAGTGCAGCGTTGTGCACTGAATTGTTTGACATCGTATAGAGAAGTGGATGGAGGAGGAAAGGATGAGAGCGAGACGACGCGTGTGCGGCAGACGCGTCTGTGGCATCATGCCGTGGGAACTTGGCGAGTGCTGGTGGCTGTAAATTGCCTATTCTGGGTGAGGAGCCTTGATCAAGCGCGGACCGGGGCCTCCTCCGTTCAGTCAGTTAGGCTCAACCGACCGCTCGACGTCAAGGACATCGAGGACGTTGGCAGGGTCGTGAGAGTATACCGGACACGCGGACAGTGAGCCAGACTCACTCAACACCCCCATCGCGAGAGACATGCCCTCCGTCGAACTCAGTGCGGACTCGGCCACACAGAGCGAATGGAGTCCCCATATTCTCTTAGCTTTTATGCACTCTCAGTCACAGAACGCGCTGACGAGGCTATATCAGAGGCCATCAGCGTGTCTCTCTATTTTCCGGTGCGCCAGTACTCCGTCCCACTGAGCCGCTCTTACTTACAGCGAGCTAGTCTTGTGCAACCGCTGGAACGCCAGCTAATCATGAACCTTCTATGGCTCGAATCTGCCATACCGATGTCGACAATGTCGGCGTGGGTTACACATGAGGGTAAAAAGTATGACTCGCATATCCTATCTCGCACTTTTATGAAGTGATCTTTTTATTAGGCCTTACAGTGACTCCCTTTCCACGTTAGCACGTCTCCATATAATCCCAAATTCAACAACGAAGCTTGCATTGAATCCCACATTCCGAGCATCGCTACGACAAGCTATCACTAGCGGGTGAGCGCGTGATCCCACGAGGACGATGAAGACGTCACCGATGCTGATCCTTTCAGAGGGACGACAGGAAGCTTTGGAGTACCGGCGGAACCCGACCCGCAACATCCGTCTCCTGACATCGCTACATTGGATGCGTATGCCCTCGAACGTTGGGAGGTGTGCCCTCGGTCACCCTAAGTTTCGCGAAGCCGTCTAACAGGCTCGACTTCAGACCATTCTCCACTACATGGTATCCTCCGGAACAGGACAACATCCTACGAAGCCTTCGCAGGAAGTTCTGTTTCTCTTGCAACGAAGCGGTCTAATGACGAAAATGCAGTGAGTTGTGCGTGTCAATGCCCAATGAGAGCCATAGAGGCTGAGATACGCAATAGCGGCGGCGTCCTGCAGATAACATCGTCTGGCTTCCAATTTCTGTTGCATGATCCTCACGCTCAACTGTGGGAGCTGTTGCTGCAATTTCTTCATATGGCAGAGGTAGGAGGTTCTCTGCGTAGAACCACGGTCCCATCACGTTCTGTTTGCCGGAATAGGAACGACAAATGGATCTGGTGGAGGTTTTGAGCTTCTTGTTAATGTTATCAACGATGGAGCTTGGCCGGGTGTGTCGATGGTCTCTTCTGTGTCCGAAAGGCTATCATTGATTATCTGAGCAGGAATATTCAACGGAGAATCTGAGTCCCACCCAGGGCGCTATGCTCGCGGACTTGCGTAATTACGGCTTGATCTGGCAGCACAATGTCCGTTAGCCTTCCATCTCAGCATTGGTACAATCTGTCGATTGACAGGATCTCATTTGGTCTAGACGTCCGCCCATCGCTTCTGTCCGTCCCGTCTAGCCACAACGCTAACATCGTCGTCGCCTCCTCTGCCGACCTCCCGTAGTACAGGAGGCGGCTCTCATGACCAAGGGTTCATTGTATTGGAGACAAATTACAGACTGTATGCATACACTGGTGCGTGTTATACATTCCACCTGGAGCAACCGTCTCATTTGGATATAGACAATCCTCTGCAGATTGCCGTGCTGAACCTCTTCGTGAATATGAAATCTCGATTCCCGAATCTCGTCGTCGGTGCGATAACTCGTGAGAGTGTCAAGAAGGCCCTTGCGAATGGTATTACCGCGGATCAAGTGAGCAGAGTCTGTTACGTATTCCAAGGACACCGTCAGTTATGCGGTATTGCAGATTATTAGCTATTTGACGACACACGCACACCCACAAATGCGCAAGAATGTACGTTCCTGGTATCCTGATTGCGCAGACCGCATCTCACGATAGTCGCATCATCCGCAGAAACCTCTCCTACCAGTAACAGTGCAGGATCAAATACGCCTATGGGAACTAGAGAAGAACAGACTGAAGTCGCAAGAAGGTTCCTCAAGTCATGTTGCTTATGTGCAGGCACTATTGCATGCGGACGCTGACCTTCTCGGTTACAGGATATTTATACACTGCATTCGCTTCCCAGGCAGATTATGAATACGTGCTCAACTACGCCAAGCAGCTGGACGTCGTGTTATGGGAGAACCCGGCCAAGCGGTGTTTCTTCGGCACCCTGGAGGGGCATGCTAACATACGGGGATTCATCGAGAGGCGGTCTGCGGGCATAGCGTAGCTTAGGTGTGGCTGACAAGATCAGATGGGAATGCATATCGCCATTCATTCTCTGTAACCCTTGCGGTTCCAGGGCTAGTCGCTCATGGTCGGCTATGACGTAGTACGTTTGGACACTGGGAACGCACACTTGGTGCTGGTTCATTCACAAAACCGAATCAGCATTGGTAGGATCGTGCGTGATGCTCATCAAAATAAAAACACTCAGGTCACGGTATACATGTGCAGCAAATAAACGGTGGAAAGTAGCAGAGACAAACGGTCTATGGCGGCCAACTCAACTCGGCGAGTGGCGCGCACCATGCGAAGCGTATATGGGGTGAGAGACTGGAGGAAGCTGGTAGAGCGAATGAGCCGAGTCTTGCCCCCATGACCATACGGGGGGGACCGATCGGGTGCGGACGTGGTCTCGGCCACGTACAGCAGGATAATGGGCACTGATCGACACACTGGTCGGCGGGGCCGATGCGTAATGGGAACCCGACATCGCAGCCGCAGACCAAGCTGCCGACTCTGGGTGTTCCGCGATGTCGAGCCGGTGAATGTCGTGTTCGTATCCGCGCTCCATACGCATACTGCTGTGGGCGTGCTGTGTCCACGTTTCGTCCCTCGGCAGGTGGGCCGAATCGAAGTGGCCGACCGGCAGCTGTCCCTGGTACATCGCGGGTGCCCCGCCTGACATGGAGTACGTTTCGGGCGCGCAAGAGTAGGAAGGGGACCAGGACTGAGGTGCCAGGTCGTCCATGACGGGAGAGTCGACGGGGCTGTAGGGTGAATGGGCGGTGTGCGCGGAATCCGATGGCGATATGGGATGGCTAATGTCGGTGTGAAGCCGGGGATAGACTGCGTCGAATGGCGATGGTCTACTCTGTGCCAGATATGGGCTTGTAGGTGAACCAACTGGAGAGCGTGAGAAAGTCGAAATCTCCAGCGGTGAGGGACCCGCCCCTAGGTGCGGCGTCCGAGCCATCGTTCTGGACGGAAGAGAAGACAGGCCCAGCGCGTTCCTACGTTGATAATCAATGCTGTCCGCATCATCCCTGACCACAGTGCCCGAAGACGTCAGCATAAGATTGGCCGCACAACCAGACCAAACCACTTACAGATACGAAGGGACTGTAGTGTATTGCGTCTCCAGCTTCAATGGGTACCTGAAGTTGGCGGACTGTAAAAGCTCCATCGGTATCTTAAGCGCCATGAGATCGGGGCGACTCGTCGGTCTGTGCAACCGCCCAGAGCGCACGTCGTCCTGCGTGAAGTACGAGATAAGGTGGTGGTCAGAGCCGTTGATTTTGACCGTTATTGTCTTGTTAATTCATCGTCAGCCGACAAGGTTACACATGAGCGTACTCGTTGCCCACCTTCTTTATGAGTCCGTTGGGCTTCAACATGACATGGCCATCGACGGGATTACTCCCTTGAGTCATATCAGTCACCTCGGACGACTGCTGGGAAGCACGAAGGCTGCTTCTGTCGGTGACTTCTCTATAGATCTGATGCCGGCGCTTTCGTGAGCACGCGCTGCGCTTCATTGTGCAAGAGTATAGACTTACCAAGAAATTACCAGAAATACGTGATTGTGACCACGCTAACCCCTCCGTCCAACGTTTGATCCCGCTCTCCTCGACACTGAAGACAAAGACAGCACCACTCCTGATCATTGATCGGCGTTCAAGCTCATTCAAGCGGCGAGTGACTCGAGGTAAGAATCCCCTTCTAGCGGCCTTATGGTGGCAGCATAGAACACGCAGGTACAGTCAAGAAACCAATGCATAGGGGAAGTGTGAGTCTGTTGAAATATGCAAGAGCCTGAGTGACACGTACCTCGATGAGTCGAAGAGCGTCTTCAGTGGTGTCTACGTAGCCATAGAATGGCTGGACGTCGGTTGCCGTCGTGGCGGATCGCTGAGGCAACGGCATACTATGCGGGCGTGGACGCGGGACAATGCACAAGGAAGATCCGGGATGTGGAGAGGGAATGGTGCTGGCGAGATTCCGAATTTATGCACGCCCACCATACCGTTCCAGGAACTCAGCCTTCTTAGGTGCCAGTGGCATCTTGCGCAAGAAGCACAGCGCAAGGATCGTTGCATCAAATGCGTCCGACGGAAGGACCCCCCGCGACGCCGGTACCCACCGTATTGCAGGGTCGCCACACACAAGGGCGTGTCAGAAGCGTGACACCGTGATTGTCCTAGGACATTACGAGGTGACACGCACGGGTTGCAGATACTGCAGAATCTCACGGCAGCGGTACTACTCGCCAACTCCGCGGCGTCAATCCGCGGGAGATCAAGAGGGGTGCCTGCACGTCCATTTCGTGGGTTATCGACGTATGCCGACTCGCGGCCAACTCGCGGCACTTCAGGCCAGGCAGCTGGAGGCGATGGTGATCGCATACTACTGCCTGCCCACGTCACATGAAGTGTCGTTCCATGTCTTCCCCGCAATTACCGCCAAACCGTGTTACAGCAGTGATTTGACATTGCGCAGCCGGCACTCGGCACTCCAGGGGAAGGTTGCTCCATTGTAAGGCGCGTATCGGCAACGCACTGTGCTGGGATGGATGTAGAAGGTATGTCCGCAGATTCTGGACACGCTTCGAGAGAGACATCAGCTCTACTGCCACGAACCTCCGGTGGTAGGTGCCGAAAAGAACCCATGCCAGGGATATGTAGTCACTGATTTTCCTAGTTTGGGTCGTCGTTCGTCAGAACGCATCATCGAATGATCGTACCCCGACACTTGCTTTCCAGACGCGCAAGCACGAGGACGAAGTACATGCTCACAAAAAGAAGGTATCTGCCAGTGGCCTGGCCGACTCAGGGAGTGTGCTACGATCGTCTTCGAGGTCCGGTTAACTGCCGGAGTTGTCGCTCTTCAGGGGACATGTGTCGTTAGGGAGGCTTGCGTTCCGCAGAAGTGCTGAAAGCCAAGGATTCGTATGCCGCTTGAGAGCAAGAGAGTTCCCACTGCCAGTCCCAGCGTGTCGTCGTGGACTTTCCACCGCCACTGAATTCAGAAGATCTGCTTCTTCGCTCCGCTACAATCATGAAACTCCGCGCAAGGTAACCCAGCGCTTGTGGGACAACTAATTCCATATGCCGAATGCCCGTGCTCGCGCATCGCCAGAAGATAGAAGGGCGTACAGACGGCGTTGTCTCTTTCCGTTACTGCCTCACCCGGATCCATTGTGGGAGAGGTTCGTGAAGGCAATTGCTTCCACAAGTAGATTCGCTCAAACTTGAGGGGTTGTTCGACTCGCTCACTAAACATAGGTTGAGAATAGGTCTGACTTTCGTTCGATCATTGGCCTACGGACAGTCACCCAAACAGTCGGACCCCCGATGGGCCAGTTATCATCTGCCCTGTTCCGAATGCCTGAGGTGAGCCTAGCATCCGTTTGCTGAATTGCCGCCTTCATTTACGCCCTATGGGGCATTTTCGAGAACCACCATGTGGCCTAGAGAGACAGCTCCAAGATCCTCGGGGCCGCTAGAGCAACATTTTCGCTCAGAACAGAAATGGCCACGGCGCCGACGCAGCCGGAGTCTATCGCTCGCCGCGTTGCCCTTTGGGCTGGTGTGGGTACCATACATAACAACGTGCGCATCGCGGCTAGCTCATTGCCTTGTGCAAGCCAGGTCGGTAGGTACATTGCACAATTTTGAAGCGCAGATACGTGTGGTCCGCGGACGCTTCGTATGGATTGCGTTCCCAGGCATCCGCCAATGAGGCTGACAGTTGACGTCACAGACAGACGGGTGTTCTCGTCAATGCACCCCCCAAACCTTCGCATCGCAGTGTCATATGCGTGACTCAGAACAGTATCGGTCCTATGGCATTCGACCGGGATCATCTTGATCCTGCGAAGCTCATCTGTCCCGAATAGAACTGATCATTCCAAAGCCAGAAACAGGAACAGGAACCACGGATGAATGCGGTGATCGCGGTAAGATACGCAACTGCAGGTGCAAGCCACCATAGGATCCCGTCTCAGCATAAGTGGAACGCGGTGGTGGCCGAGCGAGAGGGCAGGCATGAAGTGGCCGCCAGGGATGTACGGTAAGTATCTCCGATGCGTCTATGTTGTCGTACTAGCCTCTCATAGCATACGACCGCAGTGCTGTGGCATGGTTTGGGCATGGTGTTTCGATTCTTCCAGGGTGGAATCACTGTGCTCTGCAATTGATGTTCATCGCAGCATAAGCAAAAGTGCTTGCATGTGGTGAGTTAGTACACGCGGATCTGCGGTCATATCCGTTATTGTCTCACGGTGGAGGGAACAAAGGCGGCGACATCCGCACAGACATTACGGCAGATGAGCAGTGCGCGCGTGACAGGGCCATGAGTGTCTGAGCTCACCCGAACGTGTATTGCATTGCACTGACATGGGTAAACTTGAACCTGGTGTTGTGGTACACTGGTAGTGTCCATCACGACCGTGACAGCGCCTCGGCTGTAGACGTATAGTGCCAGATTAGGCCCGAAAGGTTCGATCTATGGATCCATCTAGAGGCCTCTCAGATTCGCGGGAGAAGACAACTGGCAAACGTGGACAGCTCCGCGATCCCCCATGACACCGGGCGCAAGTTGAGCTGATGGATCTGGATGTGTAAAATGTCACGATCCGACAATGAGCTTACCAGGACGTGCAGTCGTACCTTACAGTTTCAACCCACGGCATCGCATCCCTGAACCGTAAGAGCCATTCACCCTTAGTATCCCACTCCAACTCACTGCATCGCAGCGGTACTACCCGGATGACGTGCCAATGCGGTCGAAACACCGATGGAGAGTACCGGTTGCACTCGACCGTCCGTACACGTCTACCGCATGCCCGGACCTGCCCAGGGCCAATGCAAGGCAGCAATAGAAGCATGCCACGAGACCCTTTACATACATATCCATCTCGGCTATATAAGAATCCGGAGAACAATCCCGCTTGTCATATTCTTGCTCCACTCCACCAGCGTATGGACGAATGAACAGAGACACCACGGTGTTCGTGGAATTCGCAGGCTCACTCGAGGCGACATCCAAACTGAAATTACGATGATCACCGAAAGGTGACCGGATCAGGTCAGTCGGCGGATACACGGACTGAGAAAGCGTTGTTGTCAGGTGAGACTGCCAGCACTACATTGGTCCCAGAGTCCAGACCTTAGTCATGTCGCGCATTGCGGAAGTAGGGTATCCATAACGTCCTGTCCCGTGACTCTGCCAGATTTCCTCAAACCTTCTTAGATCCCCTTCGACAGGAAGAATACCTACTGTTTAAGCAGCGTGAAGCGATAGGACACTGTTCCAGATCGCCTTCCAGTGAGAAGACACGAACTCGGAGGCCACGCTCCCGGTAAGTCGTATCGACACCTCACGAGAGATGAACTGATTTGGTCCCCCGTTCTTCCACGAAGGCTTTGCAATACGCCGGCCGCGAAGAGGCGTAAGTAAGTCTGATCGGCAAAGTAACCGTGTTGAAATACTGATAGCGCCATGAATGTACATTCTTGGCATCGACGTCCTGAGGAGAGAATCCTTGTCAGATGCGGCGTGGTAACAGGTAGTCCGAGTCCTAGGACATCCAATGATGAAGGCTGCATAGCAACTGTGTCAGATTCAAAGGTATTCCACATCAAGGCCTGATTTGGAGACGACAATGCAGCAATAGCGAAGTATCCCATACATCCAGCAGTAGCTGCGGTATGTCCCGATTCTTGCTAAGACTAGCTCCACTTATGCTCATGCCAGAATCGGACTCACTGTAGCCTATAAACAAGTTGCTTCGCTGTGTTGACCTGGAGCGGTGTGGAGTCCTGCGCCCACCAGATAAGCTATCACAGCTCCCGTTCAAGTTGCTTCCGAGGACATGCGTCGCTTGTGGCAACAGCTGTTGAAGACTTGAAATGTGGCGGGGTGTCGGTCCGTCCGTAGACTCCATCCTTCTCGACTTGCTAATTGAATCGACCGCTCTTTGCTCCATGCCGTGTTCAGGATATCACCCTCTCCACTGTGACACTCTCCACTGTGACACTCTCCACTGCGACACTCTCAATGCGGACGTCAATGTGTTATGAGATGAGTTCTCTGAGTTCGGGTCTACATTTTACAGAGGCACGGATGTATATTCAATTATATCGCCCGTTCAAGTTGGCCATGTCCCGTTGGCACTGAGAGACCACTGCTCACGCAAATAAAGGGTTAAGCGACCACCCGGCAGCATGTAAGGTGGCACACATGTAAGTGTGCGGGACACGGCGCCTTCATGTGTATGCTGGCACTACATGGGCAGCCGTACAGCCGGGCCTCCGTCCGATTGAGCCAGAGAGCATCTGTGGACCCGCTGACAAAGTGAGGCTGAAGATGGGTCGAGACGATACCATATTGGTAGCCACCTTGCTCGTACAGGTAATTGTGGACTTCAATAAAGACTGACAGGGATGGCGCGGATCGAACAAACCAGAAAACACGTGCGACCTGCAGCCCAGTGAGAACGTGCAAGATCGCCTGCCATTCCCAGTGTTTCCCAGCTGTTCCCGCTCCACCCCGCTCCACCAAACGCTGGGAAATGAAGGGAATGGCCATTTGTCCGATTAACAGATGGGTTTCTGTTCCCTGTATGTTCCCTTCAATTCGTTTCAAATGCATGTATGTTGCGATCGAATGGCAGCAATTGCCGTCTGTTTAGTATACGAGCTCTGTATCACTCGAATCCGTGCCCAAATTGGAATATAATTCGATTTTCACGGAATTTATACTACGCGTCTCGTAGCAGTCCGAATGTACACTACAATACAATGCAGGTATGCTATTATGTGGTAGTCCCTACCCCACTGAAATACGACACTGAACCCCTCGCACTGCGCCGACGATAGGCCGCAGTAGTACCTGTCACCCGACTTCTGCACTGTTGGGCCTCAGGCTCCTGTCTGCATACTCGGGAAAGGTTCAGAGACTCGAGTCCACAAGTGACAAGATTAAACTACTTACGTTTGTGTTGCGAGGCGAGGAGATTTGAGTAGTCATTGTGACAGACGAAAGGCAGTGGTCGGTCGAACATACCTCATTCTCTGCCTCCGCATTTACTCTGGTATTCGCAATGCCTGTGTCGGTAACACCGACGCCCTCCCCCGGCACCGATCATTGGCTGTAGCAGTACCCGTCACCTCAGTGCTCGGTGTGGTGCGGTGCGAGCCCATCACGATGTCCTCGACGCTCGCGTACCTACTCTGCGAGCTGCTTACGTGCAGGGTCGCGTCGTCGGAGGAGGCGAAGCACATGACGTGGCTCTGCACTGGCATACTGGGAGACCATGGGCGACCTGGGAGAGGCCATGGCTGAATAAGGATACGTACGCAAGGAGGTGGACGGAAGATCCTGGGGAAGACAGTGGTGTTGGTGAATGCGCGTGAGTAGCCATGATGTGACGGTCGCATTTGGAGGCAGCCGGACGGATATCTACTCACTGTCCTCCCCGCTCGTTGACCTTCCCGCTCGCTGGGGCTTTCCCTCCGAACGCGCTCCCGCCATCTGGTTGCGTGTTCCCACCATCTGGTCACGGTCGCACATCCCCACCAGGCCTTTACCCGCAGACACCGCTCGCTCCCGTCCACACGCATTGCCACCTTCCCGTCTCTGTGCCTGTAGCCGCAGCGTGCTCGTCGACTGCGTTTGCACTCGGGGCACTGGCCCTACGTGCTCGCGGTCGGCGTGTGATGTGCGGCACGTTGCCGTGCGCCCATTCTTCGCTCACGCGCACGCCGTCCGTGCGTCGACCGTGTCTGCGCGCTGAGCGGTTGCCCCGCGCGCTCGCGGTCTACGTGTGCGTTGTGCTACACGTCATTACGCCCTGTGCTTGCGGTCAGCTGGCGCCAGTGGCACGTCTCTGCACTCACCTTCCTTCGCCCGCAGTCTGCTCGTGGGCTGCATCTGCACACAGGGCAGTCGCCCTGCGTGCTCGCCGTCGACGTGTGTTGTGCTGCGTGACGACACGCCTTGTGTCGACCCATTCACCCACCTGCCTGCCCGCCAGCTCACCGGTCTCCCCACTTGTCCGCTCTCCCGCCCGTCCACCCGCTCTCTCGCTCGTCCAGTCACTCTCTCACCCGTCCACCCGCCCGCCTACCCACTTGCGTGCGCGATGTACGTTCGTCGGCCCTATCTATGTGCTGGGCATTTGCCCAGCACACTCGCGGTCGGCGTGTATGCTGCCGCTCGACCGCTCGTCCGCCCACCGCCGTCGTCGTGCGTGTCGTGCCGCACGTCGCCTGTGAGAATCAATCGCATATACCTGTCAAGCATGAACGCACGAGTACTCGAAGAAGTTCAGGAGGGCAAAGGTGGTGGTACAGAGTCAAGGATGTCTCGACCTCGACAAGCGTGAAGTGCACCGTCAGTGACGTCGTGGACAGTGGTCACGGGACCGCAAGCCGGATTGCAGCGAACATCTAATAGTAATACATAATTGGGCGGAAATTGGCGAGCGATTGGGGGAAAGCATTCATTTGAACGTTTGAGCATTTTGAACTGCGGGACACCCGGGATTTGTGAAAATGTCAAATCGTGAAAGCAATTTATGGGCTCGCGATCGAGCATTCGCAGATGGTTCGAATGCGGCAACATACACGAATCAATGGGAATAGAATTTGCTGACAGGCGCTGACAGCAACACACAGGGATCACTGAGAATGCAAGGGAATCTTGCACGTTCTCACTGGGCCTGCAGTGTCACAAGCTAAGCTCGTGCACACGACACGATCGCAATGAGGAAAGCGTAACTACTACGCCAGCGTCGCTTCGCGCACTCAGACATAGCTGGGAGACTGCTTTGGTATTACATAAAATACAGGAAGAACGGCTGTGTGTGGAGACCACGTATGGCCTGCTGCAGGACATCTGGTTATACACTGTGTATACAATACGCTTGAAAGCATGGTGTATCGCGGGACAAAGTATCATAAGGATAGCGAGCAGGACAGCGATTGGAGAACGGAGCTAGCACGCACACAGCAACTAAGGACGAAAGCGATCTCCTGCGATGAAAACTGAACCTTTGACACAATCAGTTACAAAGTCATCATGCAAGCGAGCGAAATACCGCCTTACCCTTAGTCGAAACCTCTCACAGGCAAGAGCGTCACTTGCAAAATCTTCCGTATCTTCGGCCCATCCTTCCCGAAATACCGTTCGGTCATGAAGCTCCACTCTGCGTTTGCAATGATCCAGTCCTCTAAGCCCTGGACGTACGTCTGGACCTGTGCGTCGATCTCGGGTCCCCAGGATGGCAATGCCGCCTTCCCCTCGAGGAACCGTTCGACGGTCTTGCTGCACAGGTTGCCGGCGTAGTCGATTGCCGCCTGTCTCTCGAGACCGAGGGTCACCATAACGGCGCAGACCAGGTTATGCGACTTAGAAATTGCTTTCCATCAGCGAAGAAGCAAGCAAACTATGAAATTAGTACTCACGTCTCCGCGTGATTGCTCGCGATTATAAGAGAGTATATCCTGTGCGGTCCATCAGCGTCAGACTCTTCGCAGCCGAAAGCGCCCATATAGCAGGATGAAACCGAGTTAAATGGGTGCCTTGACTTACGTTAGCCCAACTGACGCTGTCATTCGTCGCATCAAGAAGACCCTGAATGACAGGGTGCTCGACGACCTCGTTCGGCAGGTCGATGCCAGCAGCGTACTCGATCAGCGAAAAGCCTGTCTTGCAGCCGCTGGTGTCGCGACGCAGGGAGATATACGCCTCTAGCTCCGGCACCGTGTTTGCCGCTCGATCAGCAGCTTGTTGCATGACGCCTTGAAGTAGAGCCCAGCGTATCGACAAACCGCGTGCGACAGTTCGGTCCGACCGTCTTCAGCATTCGTGTCCACCATCTGTATGAACAATGAATCAGACGCGGGTCAAGTGAGCACGGAACAGATGAACATACGACTTGGCCGTACGAGCAGCGACTGCGTCGGAATGGTAGGTCTCGGGATGGTTCAAGGTGTTCATTACCGCTTCTTCCAGGCCTTTCGTCCCGCGCTATCGAACTCGTCACTCCAGTCGTCGAGTTGAAGAGGAAGCTCATGAAGTCAGAGCAGACGCGCAGTTGCTCGGGCTCGCACTCCGCGTAGCACATTCCGCAGAGCAAACCCGCGTTCAAGCCGACGAACTTGTTCAGCTGCTTCTCGGAGAATTCGCATACTCGATGATGAACGCGTCGGACTCGGCGGACACGAATCGTGTATAAGGATTGAGACGGAGAGGGAATGGGATCGACTTCACGAGATCGGGGAACACAAGGGCTTCGCCGTCTGTCGATTCCGGCTTCGGTGACGTGGAGGTAGGTTTGGGAGGTGGCGGGAGTGAGATGCGACGCGAATGACGCGGACGTGCAGGAACCGATTGGGAAGAGCCCATAGCTATCGAGGGATGGAGGAAGTCGATCGAAGACAGCGGACGAATGCAGGGTAGAGATCGGCGCAGATGGCTCTTAAATATGGTTGGGGACCCTGCGTCAAAGGGGATTGGCGAATAGCGGCAGGGACAACCTGCTGCAGAGAAGGACGCGGCGGTAGTAGAAACATCGCATGGAATGATTCCGTAAAAATACCTTACAAAGGATGGTGTTTTTGCGTCTCAGGCCCCATATGTCTGACAGAATCCCAAAGCTCGGCTTGATGGGGAGGGCAGACTCCGAGTAACAAGTGTCTCAAGTCCCTCAACTCGGTACGCCGGGATCAAATCCCGCCACAGAGCATGGACATACACGGATTGACCATATGTCGGACAACTTGAGGTTGTGGGCCGTACATAGTGCCAGCCTGGCGATGTGAACACGTCACTGCCATGGGATTACAACCATGAGAACGTGACCGAGACAATGGTTACCGGCCACGAACCACGGTTCAACATTCAATTGATTGAGTACGTCAGGCAGTCGCTTAGCAGGCCTGGTTCCGTCTGCGTGGGGATTCCGTTTGTGCATTGAAAAGGCAGGAGTGGACCCATATGTGGCCCGAGGGATTATCAGAGCCCGCAGATAAAATTAGTGAGGTGCTGGCCAACGCTAAGGGGAATTTAGTGTGCGCCACTCCCTCAGATAGTGCGCCAGCAGGCCACGCAGCGCGCAGGCTTGATGTTAAAGCATGCATACAGGCTGTCCGTTGACTCCGTCCGAGTAGCACGCGGTGGGAGACCTGATCGGCAAATCGAAGCTTGCCACCACGCTTTGATCGCATCTTCATGGACGGATCAGGGCCACTATGAAAACCGCGAGTGGTCAGCGCCTCGGCCCCATGTTGAATAAGCAGTGCTATTGATTGCAGTGGCCGGGTAAAACAGACACATTTCCAGACAACGCGGAAAAAATTCGTTGCCTCATGCGAGGAGCAACAATGTTGCTGACGGGCCACGCTGGCAAGACGAGGGGCGTGCCGACGAAAGTACGCGATAAAGTTCGGCTACTTACTTCGGGCTAAGCTACAGGCCGCGGAGGAGTGTTTCGACTTTGAACCTGGCCGCCAGCTGATCCTAACGACATCCCCGCAGTCTCGCATCAGAGCTCGCATGCAAGTGACGCAGCTTCGGAAGCTAGATGGACTGTCACTGGAGCCCATGCCTTCGGGGCCGCAGCGGTAGATAGGACGTGGTGCCAGTGAGGATATTCCTGAACGCACTGGCGGCCAACTGGTTCCGCGAGAGTAGTATTATTTTGGCGTAGCTTCATTACGTCGCTCGGAGTTGCGCAGATAGGGCGACTCGCACCGCAGAATTGAGGGTTCTCCGGAGAGGGTTGAGCGACTTGCAAACAGGGTTAGCGAGTGAATATTGTTAGCGAGTGAATGAGAGCGTTTGAAGGAGGAGGAGGGAGGGCTGGGTGGATGTTACGGGGCCGAGGGTGGCAACACCACGTGCCGTGTACCGATCGCGCGAGGCTTGCCGCGAAGAGGGCGCTAACCGGGTTCGCACACGCAGTTCATACCGGGTTCAACATTCGTACCTAGTTCATACCACCACATGCCGCCACCTTCTGCTCTGCCGTTGAACGTCAGCGCGTCCGGCGCGCCGTCCAAGTCGCCTGCCCCGGCGGCCACCACAGCCGCCGCATCATCCGCGAAGACGGCGACCTCGTCGGACATCTCGAGTCCCCACGAGCTGACCGCGTTTGTAAGGATGTTCGCAAGCACCTCTGACATATTCAGTCAGATAAAGTGGCTTCTCCCAGGTGGAATCGCTTCTGGAACAGCTCGATGCCAAATTCGATGATATGTCTTCTCAGATTCTCGACCGCAGTATGTCGTATCGCTCCAATGCTCCGTTGCTGCGAGTGACCTCACGCCCGTACTAGTGATGCAGATGTCCACCCGGGTGGACGCCCTAGAGGCCGCCATTCAAGATATCATAAACGGGGACACCGTACCGGCCCCGCCAAGCATGCCCCAGTCGCCTGCGGTTGCACAGAGGCGAAGTGGCGGTGCTTAATTGCCTGCAGTACAGCGCTCGCTGAGGGTAGCGACACCGCTTGCGAATGTTCATGTGCGCCAGATGTGCGCTGTACGTGCTCTTCTTCGGCCCGGGAGCTTGTTCACTTATGGGTAAAGCCCCCCAATGATCCATCGTGGCTTGTGCTATCAACCGCTCAATGGTGTACTCTCAATGCAGGCGGATGTTGTGCTCATGCACGTGTATTGATGGTCTTCCGCGTTCTCCGTTTTCCGTACCCTCGTTGCCCTTTGCGGGCGACGATTCTATTCATCCCGCCGTGTGTGGGGCGTGCATGCTGCTATTCGAAAGCAACGCTGCTGGCCACGAAGAAACCTTGTGACATCAGCTACACGGAAGTTAAATCATGCCTGACCTCGATGTTGAGCTTCCCCTGAGCCTGGTGGTAATATTTTGCCAAGGTGTCGGTAGGCGAGACATAACCGTAGAGCATTATGTCATTCCTCCAGGTGAGTCCACGTATTATTCCGAACACGAGGGCGGGCAGGTCCCAGCAGGTACCGCGTAGCAGGTGGAACGCCTGAACGGCAGTTGGGCAGTGACAGCCCGATCGAGTCGACGGTTCGTACCCAACAGGGGAAGGTCTACACACCGATCGGCTAAGACTACACCTCGGAGGCTCACTCTTGCATCATACCGCCAGCCTTAGCACGTCGCACGCACACTGAGTCAACGGGGCCCTCCCACCGTCCACGGTCAAATTGGAAGCATGCGATGTGCGGATATCTTAGTAACCACCAGGATCTACAACATGATCGTCTTGCTTCAATGATCAGCCAGTACTTTGGACGATCTGGACGATTGGAGCGTTGACATCATGCGTCCTGAGTATATCCCCGTGAATCTGATATGGTACTAGCATTCGTACACACTTCCTACAAAATGGTAATGTGACCGATCACAAGAGTGTCCGACTGCGAGTCCTGGATCCTGCCTGGATCGAACGAGGCGTCGTACATCTCGAATCGGTGAAAATCCGGGTTATTTAGTCCAGTCCAGGCGATTTCGTCGCAGGTGGCGGGGACAACACCCTCCGCGCGGGTGGGGCGGGCGAGGCAGCGCCACCGAACATGGCCGACAGCATGTCCCCCAGAGGATTGGCGGCTTGTGTCCTTGGAGGCGGGATGGCGAAGTAGAGCTCCGCTAGCTCGATCAGTGCCTAGTTGGCGTCCACGTAAAAGACAGTCAGCTATGCACTGCGGCGCGGAAGGTAACAGAAAGCGCGGAAGTAATGTGTGCAGCCGCTCACAGGGCGACAAACGCACACTGGGAAGAGTGATAGGCGACACCAAGTGCCCTACACCGGCCTCGCGGAGCGCAGGGACGAGGAACTGTACAGAATAGGTAGAGTGCCCCGATAGGTCTCACCTTTCGAACTTCCTGGTGGCCATGAGCCCGCCCTTGCTTTGATATGTTCCACAGAGTCGCACCCATGCCTCCCGCATGGCTTTATTCTGTGCACCCTGGGCGCGTTGGCACGTCAGCACGGCAAGCTGAGCGAAATTCAGCACAGAATCTGTCGAGAAAATGATCTCGTCTGTCTGGCCCTCCTTGCTAATCCTGATCGGTATAGGTGTTGGTTGGAGCGTGGACACTAGTTCAGGTCGCTTGGACGTAATTTGGGATACGAAGTGCGTAATGAACGTTCGCGCGGCGAGGATGTTGCCATTGAGAAGGTAGCTAATCGCAGTTTGGTAATGAAGGGTGGACGGAGCGCGCACAAATCTGTCAAGACTGGACTGCATTGAGATAACGTGATGGTACTTACGGTATGGACCCTCGCAATGCGAATGCACCCGCGGTGCCGCCTGTGGTTGCCCACTCAGCAAACATCTGCGCGAGGAGTCGAGCGCTATCGCGTTGTCCCGAGGCGAGGAAACGCGGTTCTGCCTGCTCAAACGCCTCCTCTTAAGCGCATAGCAAATTGGTTAGAAGGCGACAGTAAGCGCCAAATACACTACGGACCTCTGTAGAGCAGCTCGCCGATGTAGTGATGCAGTTTAGCATCGCCAGCTGGACAAGGTCCGTGTTTCGCTGACCAACTTCCGCCAGCAGCCTTCAGTTAGGACCCACACCATAATCCGGGAGCGCGGAACTCACGCGATAGCCTTGTCAATGATGGTCTTTCTCCAAGTACCAGAAGAGCCAGCCAATGCGATGAGTTGTGTGATACGGCCTGGCCAATCGTTTGAAAACGTATGAGAATAACAGTCGCGTACAGAGGACGGACGTTGCGCACCTCGACTTTCATCGTTGACATTCTCGCCCTTACTCTCATACACATCCAGCATAAACGACGCCAGATCCGTACCACTACCCTGCTGCCCCGCCTTCAGCAGCTCCCGCGCGGATTGGAACAGGACGTCGATCGCTGTGTCATATTGGCCCGACTTGTTGTACCTGGACGCGAAGGTCCGCGCTTTCTGATGGGCTTCATAGGACTGTCCGGCTGTTATGAGTGGCAAGATAGCATTGAGTGCACGAGAAGAAGGCTGGCTGGCCATCGACGCCATGGCAGTAGTGCGGATGTCGGTGAGTTGACTCGGAGGAGGCCTTTCCGAGTCGATGGGACTGATCGGATTTCCTAATATGGTAGTCGTCGTAGTAGTAGCCAGTGCCCGCCTTCGATCGCTCTTCAACGCCACCACTACTTAGTACCGTGCGGGCTTTTGCTTCGCAGCTCATATCTACAAAGAGGTATGTGGTTCACAACAGTTGGCGTTGTCTGATGGCGTTACATATGTCACAAATGTAGAGAAACCTCGCCATACAATAAGTACTACTAGTACTTCTGAAGTCACTGTGTTCTTGTGACCTCCAGGTTTGCACTCGTATGTGAATAGTCTCTCGACCTCAAGCACTGTCAGTCTAACCTGGGCCCCTTATTTTTGTTCTGGAAGTATACCCAAAACGATGCCTATATGCACTAGTTGTACCCATCCTACGCCATATCTGTATACTGTCTATGAATCTGCATATAACCTGCGCCTGGAGCAATGCGTAAGTCTTCCAGGTCGAAGAGAATAACAGGCCTAAGCCCCGCGTATGTTGATGTTCATTTGATACGCAGGCAGAGTGTCATGCGTTCGCAGACCCATACGTGGAACATGACACCCTCACTCTGTTACTCGACCTGATCCTCCTCAAACGGGACGTGTACCGTCATCTGTTATTCAACAGAGGCCGCGGTGCGCGGAAGCTACGAAGGTCCGGGCCTGCTTCCGAGGCAGGCGTCTCGCCACAACGGGGACCGGGCTCGGTTGAACAAGTGTTAGCTCGGTCTCCTGGAATGGTGGACCACCCTGAGGCCTGGGAACCCGCAAGGGAGAGAGTGCGTCCATTTCAACACTGTGTCCGGCGCCGTGTTTTGATATGGCTCCGGTATGTAGGCTAGGTGGTATTTGATCGCACGCCTCGGTACGGCACTAGTCATCCTGGATGCTTGTACGTCGTTGTTCGATCTGCTAGGTGATTGTTTTAAGGTTACCCCACAGTCATTAGGTGGACGCACCTCAGTACGTGTATGTGATATGGTCTGATCGCAAAGCCACCGATACGTTCGAGCAGGCTCCCGTGTCGGTGCTCCTCAAGGAGACATCTCCGAGTGGAATACCGAGGCAATGGCCGGTTTCGCCCGCATACATGTCGGTTGTTTCGTAGGTCAGTGGAACATGTATGAATCGATGTCATGGAGTCGAGCTTCTGACCCATCTCGTCCGTACAGAAACGGTCACATTCCACGTCGGTATAATCATTGCCTCCTACGTTGTGCTGCAATTCCTGGACCGCATACGGTTACCTAAACCATCAACGACCAACGCATTGCAAGTTTCCGGCATCCGCAAAGAGTTTAGGTCTGATTGCCGAGCACTCTGAACTCACATTCGAGGCTCAATATTTCGCTACAGGTACTCGCATATACCGCTGACGCTCCTCTACTCGTCGTTGACGAAGTTGTTCTTGCTATTTTTATTGGCGATATGGCGTCCTGCGCCTGTCGAGCACGGCAGCCCATCCGAGCCCACCGATTCATGGATGGGACAGGCACTCAGCCTCCTCGACGAGGATCGTCTGGATCGTGGATGGATTGTGCGAAATGTCCTGGGAGGTATGTCCGCAGGTTTCGGACTTCGAGGTATGTAATGTTGTCCCAAACATGCATGCAACGTTGCTCGCCACTCACATACTACTGCATTGCAGTCGTTTTGGACTGCCATCCCCTTCTCACGACCAGTGTGATACTCGTGGGCTGGGCTGTCAAAACGCTAGTCGCGGGAATGATCAGTCAATGGGTGGGAATCGGGTTCAATGCTTACGAAACGGCCGGCGAGATGTGGCTAGCATATAGCATTCCATGACTGTTCTACACCGCATGCAGGCAACCAGACAGCAGCAGCAAGACTCTATCTACCGTGTTCGAATTCAGAGGGCAAGACGATTGTCGTTTCAGCCAACTGAATGGGCCATGCAAAACATCGCAACCCTGAAGCATTTGCAAATCCTTCCGAGACCTGTCAAAGAATGAAAGGTATGATGGCCTTCCTATTACGCGGATAAGCGTCTCCAAACTCGCGCTTGTACGCTTTGTGCTTCTTGATTGCCCAAGTCGACATGGTGAAGGCGCTGATGGCCACGAACAGCCAGGCTGGAGACAGAAGCATAAAAGTAAGTTCAGTCGCTCGAGCCCATCGCCTGAGCAGTGTGCACTGACCCGCATAGCTGCCGGTCATGATGGCGATGGCCACCCATGACAGTATCTCGAAGAAATAGTTGGGAAATGAGACAAGCGAGAAGCCGTACCGTATGGTATCGCCCGCTTCTTACTTCCCTCAGGTCGGAGCGAGCGCATAGTAAGGTGTGCAGAGAGGTTTGACAACTCCGCGAACTACGGTATTCGTTAGTTCGGCATCGTGCCCGCGCCACAGGAAATGGGCTTACCGACCACAGGGCCACGCAGCCCAACAGGAATTTCGGCTTTTCGCGAGCGGTACCGACGATGTAGGGCGAGTACGCGCTATATGCCGGGCTGTAGACAACTGTGGCGAGAAGGAAGCCGCTCAGGAGCCAATAGTGGGCAGAACTGGTGAACGGGCAAGAGGTCAATCCTTCAGGGGCAGTATTTGGTTGGCGCACTCACTTCCTGAATATGTTCCTGAACGGCATGGTGCCGTGCGAGAAACGATGGACGAAGACGGTCTCCCACTCGCGCTTGATGAAGTGTAGCATGGTCATCACATAGACCGTCCTGAACACGTATGAGTCAGGGGGAGGTGTAGCAGAACGGATCCCTTACTCCTGCAGTCTGCTGTGCGGGACACGGGGACCGCCATACACAGCGGGGTAATGGTAGAAGATGGGGTGGATGAGGAGCGGCCCGACCTATTCGCGCAATGGGTTGATGAACGAGACAGGAACTGCAAAACGCACGTATTCAATGAGGAAAACTGTGCGCCATCCCAGCTGAGGTCCAAGATCCTTGACCGCGAGTTCATCACCGTCTTGGATTCCGCCTCCTGTAGCGTACTCTCGTCCGCGAGTGCTGTCTTTTCTCCCTTCAGAGACAGCTTCTGCCGCGAGGTGTAGAACTAAGGATGCTCTTAGCATGCACGCTGGGTACACATCGAGCTGCTCACCTTAGAGAATTTGGCTGCTATGGCAGACTTGACATCGGCGACCGTCACGTCTTCGAGGGTTTTGTCATCGAACGAGAGCGTTACGGGCAGCTCCCGAGCGAGCGGTGCACGCCCCGCGGCAGACACAGTTACACTGACCATCGTGGTTCCGACGCACAACGTACAGACCTGCCGTCTGACGTAGAGCAATGGCAAGAAGCGCTCGGGTCCTCTTGTTCACAAATTCAAACTCCGAAAGGCTTCACAGCTTGAGTGCTTGTGTCGTGCTAAGCACATCTGCTCACCATCGACCACCTCCTCTGCCACTCTTCTGTAGCTGCGCCCTGTGTTCGTCACCATGTCTAAGGAGGAGAGCATCAGTCTCGAGGAGACAAATAAGATCCGTATCTCCTGGGTCTCAAGCCGCTGACGGACGATAGCAAGCCGGCAGACGACAAGGAGCAGCAGGCAGAGGACAACTATGCCCAGCAGCGAGAGAAGGAAGCAAAGGAGCGAGAAGCAAAGTATGTAGTCGACTCTCGCTTTCTTGAGGTGGTTTTTCATGGGTTGTCTTTGCAGGAAGATCCAGGATAACATCGCGAAGTGTGTACCGTCATTCTTCTCATCCGCAACTGTTGCTTCTACCCCCTGTTGGCCGTACAGGCCCGCGTATCTCGCGAGCAGTCATGCTCATTGAGCCGTCTCTCTAGGGTGAGAAACCGGCGAGAGCTCAATGCTAAACTGAAAGGTACGACGCTTGGAGATGCGGACGGTGACACAGACAACACCTTGAAATGGCTCAAGAGGAGCAAGAAGAAGGAGAAGGAGCTGGCTAGAAAACGACAGGAGGAGCAGGAGAGCATGGACAAGGTTTACCAAGAAGAGTACACAGAAAGTGCGCCACAAAACCTCGACAACTTGACAGATTACTCATGTGCTGCATTTCTGCAGAGGACATTGCCGGCTTGAAAGTCAGCCACGACTTTGAAGCGATGGAGGAAGGCGAGGATCGCATACTCACGCTGAAAGATAGTCGCATTCTGGACAATGAGGGTAAAGTTATATCTCATCATGCGGTGTTTACACGCTGATATCGCCCCTCAGATGATGAACTGGAGAACGTCGCTCTCGCTGAGGATGAGCGGACAAAGAAGAACAACGAACTCAAGATCAAGCGGCGAGACTATACCGGGTACGACGACGAGGAATTTGTGCCTGGCCATGCTGGGATGAAGCGGTCCGTTTTATCCAAATATGATGAATTTTTGGAGGGTTCGAAGGAGACAGTGAGTAGTTTCTTTCGCGATGCTCTCCCCAGCTCTCATACCCTTTTAAGGGATTCCGTCTGGGGGGATCTATCGCGTCCAGTCAGACCAAGCGTGCCGAGCAAGAAGCCGCTGCCACTACTGTCAACAAGTCTCTCCTATCCATTGACTACGCTAGTGCGTGACATCATACTTTTGCTATACGATGCTGACTTATGTTGTGCAGAGAACATCGAGTCAGCAGATTACTTGAAGGAAGGAGATGTCGGCTTCAAGAAACCCAAGGTGAGCTTGCCAAGATTGCAAATGCGTTGGTCCCACACTAACGTATCTTCTTTGTAGACGAAGAAGAAACGCCCCTCACGTAGAGTAGCAGAGGACTCCGACATCCTTCCAGTCGATGGAGGCGACCAGATGCAGGTAGACGAGAAGCCGATTGTGCCGCGACCGCGTAACCTGGACACCAATTTCGTAGATGACGATGAGCTTCAAGCGGCGCTTGCGCGTTCACGACGAGCAAAGCTGCAAAAAGCAAAGAAGCTCTCGCCTGAAGAAATTGCGCGTAGAAGTGAGTGCGTTTTGCTGTCGTCATATGCAATAACTGAATTGGTCATCTTGTGCAGTCGCCGAGGAGCGTGCCAAGTCTGAGGGTCCTGCCGCCGAGGTCATCAAGATTGAAGACGATGACAATGATGACGAGGGTGGTCTGACATTCGATGACACCTCAGAGTTTGTCCGCGCCATTACGTACGATCCTGTGGCAGTGAAGAAGGAACCTCCTGCAGAAGCACCACTACCCAGGCAGACACCGAAGCCACGATCGCCGTCCGCCGATGTCAGAATGGAAGAGGGTGACCAACCTATGGACGAGCTTGAGGCTGGTGAAGTCCGCGTCAAGGATGAGCAAGAAGACGATGAAGAGATGCTCGCAGCGATCGAGTACGCCATCAGGGAAACCGAGGAGGCCGAGAAGGCTGCTACGGAGAATTCGGATGTCTCGGTCGGCACTTCGTCAGAGCAAACATTCAGCTCAGGCATGGCATCGACTCTCAACATCTTGCGCCAGCAGGGCGTACTTGCACCGTCCAAGGCCGATGAACGAGAGAGAGAGCGTGTGCAGCTGCAGAGAGATCTCTGGCTCGCCGATTACAGGCGCATGCTCGCGGAACGGGAGCTTGACAAAGCGAAGGCGCGTGGCGGGAACAAGGACCAGGCAACGCGCGAGTACGAGAACCGTGTCCGCGAGCAGCAGGAGGCGCGTCAGAACCTCGATCTGTACAAGAATTACAAGCCCGACGTCAACATCGTCTACTACGACGAGTTTGGCCGCGTGCTCACGCCGAAGGAAGCGTGGAAAGCACTCTCGCACAAGTTCCATGGCAAGGGCTCGGGCAGGATGAAGACGGAGAAGAGGCTGAAGAAGATCGCAGAGGAGAAGAAGCAAGAGGCGATGGCGAGTGGAGATACGCCATTGAGCATGAACCAGGCCTTCCAAATCCGTCAGGAGAAGGCGGGTCAGGCCCACTTCGTTCTCTCCGTTGGTAACAGAGGGTGAGTTGCACAGCTCCAGACCTAAAAAGGCAGTGACACTGATTATTTCCTCCCAGTGCCGTACCACAAGCTGCAGAGTTCCTCGATGCCCAACCGCTGTCAAAGGGTAAGACAGAGAAGACGAAGAAGAAAAAGAATGCCACGACGTCATCGACGCCTCAGCTCGATTCGAGCGGCTTCATGACTCTTCCTGCCCCGACGACACAGAACGGCAGTCCTGCGCCACTAGCCGTCGTGTCCGGAGCTCCGTCGACGAGCAACGGCTCTCCCGCTCCCCGCCCGGGCTTCTCGCGGATCTCAAGTGTCGCAGAGCCTGCACAGTCCTCGAAGGAAGGCACACCTGTGTCTTCGGATCGTATGAAGTTCTCCATTGGCTTGGGGGCCAAGCGGAAGGCGACTGGTGATCCTGTGGATTCCCCACCTCCCAAGAGGCGGTAGCTCGCAACTTCTTGTGTTTGTCCCGGACGTTATATTTGGTCACTGTATGTCGTACCCTAGATATACACCGTCATGAGATTTGAGGTAGGCCTGTATGTGCAATGCGTGTAATGAAATGCGGATGTCATTTGTGGAGATTCGTGAAGGGTATCATGTATGGTGGACTGAGCCTCACAAGCTGGAGACACTCCGTATGCAGAGGTCTTTGGCTACTGCGCAGCGGTTCTTATCCAAGCCTGTACCACTCTCGAACGCTTTCGTCAGGGATGCCTGGCCGTCATCAATCCTACAGCATTGCCCAGCGTCAGTGAAGATTCAATGTGCACCCTCGGTTAAACAGGAGTATACGTACCACTCAACAGAGTGTGCACTTTTGTCCAGAACCATCTTGACAGTCGTCCAGGAGAAACGGACTAATGAAGGAAAACCAAACGTTGGCTCCATGGAGCTTTTGATCCAAGCCTGCGTCTTGGGGTCTACAACATGCACATCAGCCACCAGGCTCGAGGATGCAGAGAAAGCGTCTCAAACCAGAGGGGTAGCCGCTGCCCAGTTCTGTTCCCCATGTAGGTTTCTCTTGCTTCTTCGCAGTAGTATTTGATAACTCTCCACCGGCTGATGCTCCTCGAACATCCAGCCTTCGACCCAGGCATCTCGAGTTACTTTCGCAGCCACACTTGCTGCGCCGACTATCTTGAATTTGGAATCGGCTTTGGCGGTCACCGTGAAGCTGATACCAGGGAATAGAGAGGTTAAATAGGCCTCGTATGTCTTTGTGGGCCCTAGTGCATCTACGTATACCTATATACGGTGATGAGCGTAGCGGCATAGGGAACAGGGCGACCAGGACCGTACCTCGGATAACTCGATGCCACGCTCGAGGACTTCACGTATGAGCAAAATAGTGGCTGTTCTGACTGGCGATTGAGGTTCGTTGGAGGCCTCCGCAACATGCCCGAGGATATTGCTTGGGGACTTGGTGAAGACAACATTAGTAAGGACCGCGTTCCGAATAGAATATAGGAATGCATATACCACAAGACTCGGACGGACCAAGCCAAACTGGCGGGATCAGAGCACAGCGTCTTCAGTAGTGTGGATCGTGTTGCAGCGGTCAGTGTCTTTGAGTCTGTCGAGTACATCATACATTGCATGTACTGTCATGGGCAGTATGTGTGCGTACCTGCGAAGCCTAGCTTGTCTAGATCGTCGTGATATGCAGCAGGGCAGTAGGCGACTCCGTACACGAGAGGACCAAGCACCGGACCTCTTCCCGCTTCGTCAACTCCGAGAATATAAGGACCAGGAGCGGTAGGGCAGGGCGAGTGATAAGTGTATGAAGCAGTTAGTGGAGCGGAGGGTCGAGAATCGAGGGGACGCTGCTCGATGCAGATGCCAACGATTCAGGATCGTCCGACATATTTCCAAAGTACTTGCTGAGAGGTCCAGACCGTTTGGGTTTCAAAGCGACAGAGTGAGAGGCAGACATGCACGGCAAAGAACGCGTCGCGTGAAGGAGTGAGCGCGTTGTTGGTCCTTGTTTGCTGCGTACGCGCCTGTGGCGGAACGTTCCGTGCTACATACTTCCTAAAAGGGTAGGTGATCGAAGCCTTTGGACAACAGGCACAAACAACCGCTTTCCGCTACTGCAGACTCAGAACACCCAATCAGGTGCGTGGCTCTCGAAATTATGTCTGCACGTTCGGGACCCTCACTTCCTCAGTCCTTGCTCGAGGAGCTGAACGGTCAGACGAGTGAGTGTGTCTCTCATTGTAACAACGTCGTGTCATCTAAGTCTCGTGCAGACGACAGTCACCACCGGAAGCTGAAATCAGGAAATCGACACCTCTCGAGGAAGGAAGCCCGGAAGCAGGAGCGCGAGGGCCGCAGACAGCGCAAGACTCAGTTCTTCTCATCTAATAATGTTCAGCACAAGCCCACAAATCCTAAGAGGCATGCAGAGCACGAACATGCAGAATCGCCCCAGCGCAAGAAAGCGAAGCTAACCCAGTCTACATCTATCGCACCAACGCCCGTAAATGGTAGCAAACCTTCGATTTATACGAAACCGCTAAAACCCGCAAACATGCTTCTGGCCAGTCAAGTCTTCAGTCAGAGGCAAAGCTTGAAAAGGTCGTACACCGCTCGAAGAAGGCGAAGTCGACATCCGTACTCTCGACCCTGCAGCTATATCGCGTTCCGACAGGAGGAAGCAGAGGATGCCTACATTGCCTATCTGGAATCCAAGCTCGGATACCGTAAGGGAGGGAAGCAAGGTGCGAAGTATGGGAAGGGAGAGGACGATGGTCTCGACGGTACGAGCCTCCTTGCAGTATGGCGAACTCGCTATATCTGCTCCCATAGATCTTTTCCAGGACCTCGATACTATCGAGGCGACAATATTGCCTGCCTCCAAGGTATGTGTTTCGGTCGCCTAGCTCACCGCAAACACTCACTATTCCTTAGTCCGCCATCCATGAGCTGGAGGAGGGATCATCTGAGTCTGACGCTGAGTCTGACATTGACGCAAAGAGTGGTACAGAAGATGAGTCCCCTGCAGACAAAGAAGAAGACTTGGAGACGAGTGACGCGTCAGACCCAAATGAAGACGAGGAATGGGGCGGCATACAGGAGGATGATAGCTCAGACAGCGCAGATGATGATTTGAAATATGTGGTTTCTCGTGAACATCCTAGTCCGGCCTCCGTGCAAACGTCTGGTTCGTATTCCATTAGTTTTATCCCACTTGCTGTGGTCCCTGATGCTTGGTCAGTAGCAGCGACACCGAGTGGGCGTTACGTTCCTCCACACTTGAGGAATCGCACCAAGGATGAAGATGCGGCTCCATCCGAGGCACAGCTGAAGCTCACGAGGCAGTTGAAGGGATTACTTAACCGGTGCGCCTCATTCGCGCGTCGACATACTCCCACTGATGCTTGCCACGAAGACTGAGCGAACAGAACATTGCGTCAATAGTGGATGGTGTCGAGGAGATATATCGTAACCATCGACGACACGGTCAGTACACGTCTGCCTCTTTGCACGTTCGTCTGATGATCTTCGGCGCGCAGACGTGACTTCCACCCTGACCACACTCATCGTGGATGGGATCTCTGCCCATTCAATGCTTCTCGACTCTTATGTTGTCCTTCATTCCGCGTTCATCTCCGCTCTCCACAAATTGGTTGGCATCGAATTTGGTCCGTGATTTACTGAACAGAGGCCCGGAACTTGTACTGATCGTGCTTCCAGCCGCGTACTTCGTCCAGAACTCCGTTGCATCATATGAGCGCCATTTCGCAGAGGTACAGAACGGGCAATCACCGAGCCCACCGATATCTGAGGCGAAGCTGGAGGAGGGTGCTGGAACCATCGGCAAGGAGGCCTCCAATCTCATCGTCCTGCTCTCGGAACTTTACAACTTTCAGGTCATCTCTTGCGTGTTGGTGTACGACATCATCCGCGACCTGTTGGATGGCGACCTCACGGAGTTCAGAATAGAACTGTTGCTGAAGATCACGAGAAGTGGGTGTTGCTTGTCAGCATGGTCCTGCGTTCGGCTTCTGACTAGGGGCAGATTCCGGACAACAGTTGCGGCAGGACGACCCGACGGCTCTCAAGAGCATCATACAAATCGTGCAGTCGAAGCTACCAAGCCAACCAAATGCAATGAGGTTAGTTTGAACCGCGCCTCAGCGTATTCACTCTGACGAGCTGCTAGCTCCCGAGCGCGCTTCATGGTCGAGACATTGACCAACCTCAAGAACAACAAGGTCAAGAACGCTGGGAGCACTCCAGGGGCAGAGACGGTTGAACGTCTCAAGAAGTTCCTCTCGGGATTGAGCAAGAAACGTCATGGTACGCTAACAACGGCTGTCATAGAGCACTGGGCAACCACTGACGTATATCTGCAGTGTTGTCGCACGAGCCTCTCCGTGTGAGCCTTGACGATCTTCACAACTCGGAGAGCAAGGGCAAGTGGTGGCTCGTCGGAGCAGCCTGGGGAGGCGATCCGCTCGTGGAGCGCCAAGAAGCTCAGCGCGAGGTTTCGGGCAAGACAAACGTAGATGCAGAGGCGATCAGCGAGAACACCCTGCTGAAGCTGGCGCGGAAACAAGGGATGAACACTGATATTCGGAGAGGGATCTTCGTCGTGCTCATGAGCAGTGAGGTACGTTATCGTCTGGGTTGCACGACTGTAGGGATCATGCTCATAGTCAATATAGGACTACGTGGATGCCTGCGAACGACTGTCCCAGCTCAAGCTGACTGAGGTCCAGCAACGCGAGGCCATCCGCGTCATCTTACACTGTTGCGGCAACGTGCGTCGTTCTCTTCTCATGTGCGCCCCCCCCCCGCTCATAGAACACCCCACAGGAAAAGACGTACAACCCGTACTACACGCTCGTCGGGCAGCAACTCTGTCGAACCTCTCATTCGCACAGGATTACATTACAGTTCTGCCTGTGGGACTTCCTCCGCGACCTCGGCGAGACGAGCGTAGGCGGCGCGGAGGTCATCAAGAACCTCGGCGAGGATGCAGGGTTCGACGTGAAGAGCATCTCGTCGACGAGGCTACGGAACGTCGCTAGAGCGTACGGGTGGTGGATCGCTAAAGATTGCTGCACACTCGCGATCCTCAAGGTTCGTAGCATGATGAAGCATATCTTTTGCGACGTATTGATCAATTCGTGCGATATAGCCCGTCGACTTCACCGTCCTGAGGCCCCAGTCACAGAAGTTCCTCAAGGAGCTCCTCACCCAAGTCTTCGTCAGCACTCAGGTTTCCACTCCGCTACTCAGCGCGGACCCGAGCGCGCTTCCGACCACCCGGAATAGAGGAGCCCTCGAAGAGGCCTTCATCAAAGCCACGCGGGTACAGAACCTTGCGGTGGGCCTCATCTACTTCCTTAGCGAGACATTCCGAGGGAAGGACGCGGGCGATGACAACGGTTCATCAAGTGGGCGAGTCAGGTGGCGAGAGATACGTTGCGGACAGGGATGGACGTCGTTGCGGGGTTGTAGCAGATGATGGCTTTAGACCTGCTTTTGGAATGCAACGCTGGAATAGACGTTGCCGCTTTTGCCGCCAAAGAGAAGCTCGGGAAGGGGATACGAGAACTGCGTGTGCGGTCGTGAGCAGGTGTATCAGACGGTGTCACGGAGACGTACTGGTACGTCAACCCGGTCTCCGATGTGGCGAACTTCGACATGAGTTCCTCTCTGTGAAATTGCAGGCTGAGGTGATGGGAAGTGAGTACGGCCGGAGCTTGAGAGGAATGGAACATACACGTTATGAGGAAGTACCCTCCGTGCTTCACAACCCTCCCTACTCTGGATGGGTAGCCGTCTGCAATATTCGTCCCGTGCTCATCCTGTCCTGCCAAGCAATCGCATCGAATGTACCCTTGTCAAGGACGAGATCCCACGCCCTATTTCCTGTACACCATCCAGCAAGGGACGTCTTCCGCAAGGAAGTCGCACACCGCAAACGTGATTGCCCCGGGTCCTGTCACACTCGCGTCCTCGTGTTCCTCCTTCTCTTGCTGCTTAGATGTGGCGATCGCCGCTGCGAGCTTCACCGCGTCCGCGCTGTAATCCACGCCGCGATCCGCTCTGCCGCGAACCCGCTTCGTGCAGCGCGAAGAGGAGATTGCCGTTCCCGGCGCCGACCTCGAGGATGTATGGCGATGGTCGGTGGGGACGTGATCCAGAGCCCAGTCTACCATTTTCTCCACACTGTCCTCGCCGAACCTGCAAGGCGAGGTGGCCTATGGGTAGGTGATATAGAGAGGGGTGGAGCACTTACCACACTTCACCCTCGTCCCCGATCTCTTCGAAGTTCACTAGCTCCGAAGATACACGCCATCCCAGCTGCGGAGAGCGAACTGTTTGCACGATCAGCGAGATATCATTGGTACACGTACTGTTCCTTCGTCCCAAGCTTGGATGGCGGCAGGTCGATCGAGGACATGGAGGCTGAATGAGAAGAGCACATATGCTTAGTCAGCACACTGCAGACAATATTCTTGGGTGACGGTGAGCGTGAACTGAAGCTGAAAGGGATGCGGACCTGCCCGTGTCTCGGAACGCAAGTTGGACTGACATTGCACTGATGTGGTACCGGGAAGTAGGTTGCACGCTGATTTGCGTGTTGCGTCCGATGGCGGTGTGAACATGCAGGAAGAAAAGCTATTGACGGCGGGCCGAGTCGAATTGTTCGTGCACTCAACGTGATGAGAGGGGAGCGAGTGGTTCGTCGGCCGAGTGGTGCTGGCATTATAAGGTATGGTACAGTAGAAACATGTTACATCGTGAACAGTAGGACTGCTAACCGAGTGAATACAGCGGGCAATCGTTATAACAACGACGAGCAACGCACCTGGCACCAGAAGACCATCCTGCTACCTCTTCTCCAATTTCTCAAGCATGTCTTTTGCCTCGTTGATTTTACTGGCGAGGTATGGCGAACCGCCGCGGTCGGGATGGTTGGCGAGCATGATCTGGCGGTGTGCGTCCTTGATCTTGGTCCTTAGTTGCGGATTATCTCTGTAGACGTGTATATTCCGTCAACGTATGAGCATGCGTGCGAGCTGCCAAAGGGTTCGTACTTGAGTCCAAGGATCGCAATGGCTTCTTTGCGGTCCATCTTCACCTTGAAGCCGCCCTTCACCCATTGCTCAGCGGCACCTTGGCCAGCTCTGCGCATCATCTGCCTGCCTACAACGGCCGCCGCGATGGCGCCGACACCAAAGAGGAAAGGCGTCGCCATGAGAGAGCAAGAAGCGGATAGGTCTGAAGTGAGGAATCAGAGGATGTGGAATGACCGAGCGCGTGCGCGCTCGTGACGGTCGTGGCGACAGTGACTGACAGAGCGCCCGTGCGTCGACCTCTCGCCGAACGCTCATCGCTGCAAGTACCAGTGTACAACTTCGAGTGTGGTCCACCCTGTTTACGACTCTCCTCGCATAAAAGGATCGATTTATGACGTATTCAGAGAGTCTAGGGTTCACCATCGAGTCACGACGCCAGAAATCACTTCTACCAGCAGCGACCGCCATGCCTGTTGGAAGCCCGGTGCGTCCAATTTAACGACACAAACCCCGGCTGGAAGGCCTTGAGATGAGACTACCACCCACAGATGACGCATCTGCAGAAGCGACGCTGATGCATATAATAACTTAAGGTTTGTCGCCTTGAGGCATTTATCCCAGGGTCTTCATGAACACATCCACGCGAGAGCCATAACAACAGCTGCGATACGCGTTGGGCGTCGCTGGCTCGTATAAGGACCGCCGTGGACGCCGTGTTGCCATCCCACAACATGGTACGCCGCAGCTGGACTCTAGAGCAAACGCTCTTCAGGGCCCCTCACCCTGAGGTGCTCGTGATGGAAGTGGACGAGTCAGACCTCGTCAACTTTCCTCTCGACGCTCTGACCGCCTTGTCCGACGACGCGTTGGGAGTGGCTTGCATCCAAGGTGCTAGAGGTCAACTGACCCACATATCCTTTGCAACCCCCACACACGTTCTATGTGTCCGTATGTCCAGCCCCGCGTTGTCTTCTAGGGTGAGCTACGACAAACGAGTGGCACCTAACCCCCAACAATATCCGCGAGGCCGCGGGACTCTTCGCGAGATGCTCTTGGAAAGTGGGGAGCACCGCAAACTGGGATTCGATATGCACAAGATCGCCTTGGCACTTTACTATGACTTCGAGTTGACGATATCCAATGCCATAGACATACACTCAGCATGGTGTGATAGTCGTCGGCAGGTCGTGGACTTGTTCGTGGAGTCGGCAGGGGGCGAGCGGGAGGTGCACAGACATGCTTTTTCGATGCTTTATTGGTGCTGGATTCGAGGGAGGTGGCGTACGGAACCTCGCTCTGCGGGCATGGGCCGCTTGTCAAGTTGGTTTACTGCCAGGGGCGATCACACGGCTACAGAGGGCTGCTACAATCGATACGATGGACATACCGAGACAAGTGAGCTTCTCATCGCTGTCCTCCTTGTTCGTTTGACCTGAACCCAGACAGGATCTCAGTTGGTTGGCTAAGTTTACTCGCATATCGTGGCAGCTATACGCTCTCAAGCCCTCCAAAGTCAAGAATGACGTTCACGCCGAGTTCAGCAAACAGGATGATATACTGAATGTCAATCAGACACGCTTCAAGACGCGCATGAGGGATGGCGGCAACCAGGTATACGTCCTTCCACGACAGAATGCATATAAACTGACGGATGTCCTCGCAGAAACTGCATGTCGAGTTCAATCTGCAGAATGGCGCTACAGTCACCACTCAAGGGCGCGTCAATGAAGTGCATGGCAGATCGGCGAGGATCAGTATACACAAGCCGGTCGCCGCGTCCGCCACGATCAAGAGTATTGTCACGATTGGCAAAGATCCTCCGACCTATGCTGAGTCGGAGCGTGACCTCATTGTACTGTCGGTGTTGCAGCGAACGCTTCCGTTCTTTCAGCAGCCTATCGTCCACAAGATCTTCGACCAGTCCTCACCCGGGCGCCCGCGTGAGCCCAACACATCGGATTACGAGATCCACCTCGCGGGTCGACGCCTCAACGACTCGCAAGCCGCGGCAGTCGACCGGATAATCTCTGATGACCCGGACGACCAGATTTGTTTAGTGCTTGGCCGCCAGGCACGGGTAAGACGACAGTGATCGCTGCGTCAGTCGTCGACATGGCGGAGCATCCTACGAAGAAACACAACATCTGGCTGCTCGCCCAGTCGAATGTCGCCGTCAAAAACATTGCTGAAAAGCTCGCAGACGTCGATTCCTCGACTTCAAGATTCTGGTGTCTCGAGACTTCCATTTCGATTGGTGAGATTAGTTCCCTTTATTTGCTCGCTGGACCTTACGCCCTCACAAAGGCACGAACACCTGTATACGAAGATCGAGAGGAACGTCATACGCTCGGATGCCTTCGGCGATCATGTCGTCGGTTCTGAGAGGCTGCTCCTTGGATCGACAGTTATCTTGTGCACTCTTAGTATGCTCTCAAGTCAGCGCTTGGCCACGTCGGGCTACACCCGCCTGGTTCCTGTCGAAACAGTGATCGTGGATGAGGCCAGCCAGATCGAGCTCGGCGACTACTTGCCATTGCTAGGCCGCTTCGATCGCAGCATCAAGAAGCTCGTCTTCATTGGAGACGACAAACAACGTGAGTGGACTTGCTGGCTGGTCGTTGCGCAAGAACTAACTAGCTGAGCGTAATTGCAGTTGCACCATATGGACAAGACGATCTAGGTGACATGCCCAGCATCTTCGAGTTGCAACATCTACGACAAGATGCCTTGTTTCTCGACGTACAATGTACGTGTAGTTTGCTTGCGTCTTCAGCCACATGAGTGACCCGTCTACATACAGACCGAATGCCAAAGCCGATCGGTACATTCATATCGAAGCACGTGTATGGCAGTCGCCTGAAGACAAGCCACTCCATAAACTCTCGACGGTCGTGCCTTCTCGTAGACGTTAGTCACGGGAGGGAAGCGAGGTCTGGTAAGAGCTGGGTCGTAAGTCTAATAGAAGTGATCCGACGACGTATGCTGACGGAGCTGGCGTTACAGAACAACGCTGAAGCAGATGCCATCGTGGTGATAGCGAGGAAATTCCATGCACAGGGGAAGACATACCGCGTTATCACGCCTTACGATGCACAGCGCAACGCCTTGGAGCGGAAGCTGAAAGATGCGAAGCTCCCTTGGGAGAATAAGTGTTTCAATGTCGACTCGTTCCAGGGTGAGAAACAAGCTGTGCTCAGCAAATGACGGGCTGACACGCCGACATATTTCCAGGTAATGAGGAGGACTACGTTCTTATCTCCGTCGTGCGGTCGAACAATGTTGGGTTCCTCAACAACTTGCGGAGAACGAATGTCATGCTCTCACGCTGCAAGCGCGCCATGGTCGTCTGCACGAGCCGGGCATTCATGGAGGGGAAGGCCAGGTCCTCGCTTCTGGGCAAACTCGCGAAGGAATGGCCGGACGGATGGGTTTCGTGGCGGGACATGTTGCAGGGCGGTTCTCACGGGGTGCACCCTTTGACCTCGTTGCCTTAGTCGCTCGTTATCTTGCTTCATGTCATTTAAAGATACCATCTATGAATGTTTACGTCAGATCCGCGCTTTGACCAACCCCGCAGTGGTCCGTCTGTTCTGGCACGTCGAGAGTCTTGAGGCCACGCGCGGTTCTGCAAGCCGCGCGCCACCCATTTTTCTTAGTTCGGGCAGGGCTTTTCACCGTTTATAACACTGACAGCATTTATATTCACTGTTTTACCCAGTACATTTCCTGAGATGAACCCTGTGCAGAAAAGGGATTCCCGTCCTCATTGTCTGAAATGAGGATGCGGAAAGACGGTCAGCGTGCGCGCTCGTGACAGTCACGTGACGGTGACAGCCGTGGTGACCTAGCGCCCCAGTGTTTCCCTCTCACCGGCACCGAACCTGCACCGAACGCTCATTGCTGCAAGGTACCAGTGCATACAGCTTCGGCGGTAGTCCACCGTAGTCCACCTTAGGTCCACCCTTACTTATCACAACCCTCCTCGCACACGAGGATCAATTTCGGTGGATCTAGAGACTTCAAGGTTTGACGTTGAGCCACGACGCCAGAAATCACTTCGACCAGCAATGCCCCATGCCTGTTGGGAGGCCCGGTGCGTCCATGTTAACCAACGCGATGTTCGGCAGATGATCCTTCCACGATGATTCATCTTTGATACAAGAAAGGACTCACCAATACCACCCGCAGATTCGATGCGGCGCTTCAGAAGCGACGCCGCTGATGTACATATATAAGGTTTCCGCCTTGAGGCACATATCCCAGGGTTTTCATGCATGTCCACACGAAGCTCTGCATGACAACAACTGCGGTGCACGTTGGGCGTCGGTGGCTCGTATAAGGGCTGCCGCTGAGTTGGACAGCCTGTAATTTTCCCCCAGATCATGGTACGCCGCAACTGGACTCTCCACCAAACGCTCCTCAGGGCCTCTCACCCCGAGGTGCTCGTGATGGAAGTCGACGAGTCTGATCTCGTCGATTTTTCGCTCGGCGCGCTGTTTGATCCCTCTGAAGACGTCTTGGGGGTAGCGTGCACTCAGGGCTTCAAAGGCATATTGACGCACATCGCTTTCGCAACCCCAACGCGTGTACTGTGTATCCGCATGCCTAGTTCAACATCGACTTTCAAGGCGAAGAACCGCAAATCAGCAAGGGCGAGTTCTCAGCAGCCTCCTCCAGGCCGCGCAGTCCTCCTGAAGATGCTCCTCCACGGTGCTGAGCACCGCAAGCTTGCATTTGACATGCACAGGCTAGCGCTAGCTCTGTACTACGATTTCAAGCTGACGCTTGTCAAGGGTGTGGACTTGAAGTCCATGCGGCCTGACGATCGGCAGTCGCTATCCATGCTTGTGAAGTTGTTGGGTGGCGAGCAGAATGTGAACAAGGAGGCCATTGCAGATGCCTTCTTGGGTAAAGCCTTCGAGGCTCGTAGTGTTCACAACCTCGCCTTACGGGCGTGGGCGGCGTGCCAGACTGGGTCACTGCCTCAGTCGACCAGCCAGCTTCAGAGTGCTGCTTTAATCAATACGACGGCGATCCCCACGGATGTAAGTGCAACCTGCGTGCTCTTCATATGTGTGTTTGTCTGACTTTGCGCCAGCATATGAAGTGGCTCGCGAAGTTCACCCGTATAGCGTGGCAGCTATACGCTCTCAAGCCGACGAGGGTGAAGAACGACGTCCGTGCGGACTTTAGCCAGAAGAACGACCAACTGCACCTCCAGCAGACACGATTCAAGACACGCATGAGGACATCTCGGAACCAGGTACTCATTGACCCTTTGTGTACATGCCTCTACTAGTACATCCGCCGACGAACGTGTTCCAGGTTTTACAGGTGCAGTATGGGACGAAGAACAGTTCCGTAAAGACCGCCGAGGGGCGCGCCATTCGTGTCTCGGGGAAGTCTGCCAGTATCACGCTGAACGCGTCGGTCGCGTCGACCGCCAAGATCTTCGGTGTCGTGACAGTCGGACGGGAAGACCCGACAGCTGCTGAGAAGATGCGCGAGGCGATTGTGTTGGAAGTGTTGCAGCGAAAGCTTTCGTTCTTCGAACAAAACATCGTCCGCAAGATCTTCGAGCGTCCCCCTTCCAAGCGTGCGCGGAGACACAAACCCTCCAACCGTTCACAGGCAGAAGTCTATCTCGAAGGTCGACGTCTTAACGACACGCAGGCTGCAGCAGTCAACCGAATCATGTCGGCGAGCCCGGACGATCAGGTTTGCTTGGTGCATGGACCTCCTGGCACAGGCAAAACGACCGTCATAGCTGCATCCGTCATCGAGTTGATGAACCTTCCGAAGAAGAATCGTGGTATCTGGTTGGTTGCACAATCGAACGTCGCCGTGAAGAATATCGCGGAGAAGCTCGCGCGCGTCGATTTTCTTGACTTCAAGGTCTTAGTCTCGAAGGATTTCCATTTCGAATGGTGAGTTTAAACAGTCGCTTTGGCCGTCGCCGCGGCAGCTTACAGTATCCCTCCGCAAAGGCACGAGCACCTGTACGAGCAGATTGAACACAACGTCATACGCTCGGATGAATTCTCTGAAGACATCGTAGGCACCGAGAGGTTGCTGCTAGGATCGAAAGTTGTCTTATGTACGCTCAGTATGCTTTCGGCGCCGCGCGTGATCACGGCAGGCTTCACTCGCCTTGTTCCTGTCGAAACTGTGATCGTCGACGAAGCCAGTCAAATCGAGCTCGGCGACTATCTGCCCCTGCTGGGCCGCTTCAGTCACAGCCTCGAGAAACTGGTCTTCATCGGAGACGACAAACAGCGTGAGTCCGCAGGTTCAAAGCTTCACGCATCGAGTGGGGATTAATGCTATAAGTGGGACCCAGTGGCGCCATTTGGGCAAGATGACTTGGGTGAGCTATCTAGCATCTTCGAGATGCAGCATCTGCGGCAAGATGCCATTTTCCTCGACACGCAATGTACGTTCCTTTGCTAGTTTACCTGGTGTGCGACTCATGATCTGTTCACAGACCGAATGCCGATACCGATCGGCGAGTTCATCTCCAGGCATGTGTACGGCAATAATCTCAAGACGAGCCACGACGAAATGGATCGACGCTCCTGTATTCTCATTGACGTTAGTCATGGGAAGGAGACAAAATCCAGTAACAGTTGGACCGTAAGCGCCACCTTGGCATATTCACTGTTTGGACGGCATTACGCTGACACATTTGCACTGCAGAATGACGCAGAGGCCACTGCCATCGTCGTTGTTGCGAGAAAGTTCCACGCGGAAGGAAAGACATACCGCGTGATCACTCCTTACGACGCACAACGCAACGTCCTGGAGCGAAAGCTGAAGGCCGCGAATCTTCCCTGGGAGAACAAATGCTTCAATGTCGACTCGTTCCAAGGTGAGAATCAGACTGTGCTCTTAGGACGCCAGGTTGACACATCGTCGCTTCGCTAGGCAACGAAGACGACTACATCCTCATCTCCGTCGTTCGTTCGGACAAGATCGGCTTCCTCACCAACTTACGGCGGACGAACGTCATGCTCTCGCGCTGCAAGCGCGGCATGGTCATCTGCACGAGCAGGGCTTTCATGGAGAAGGCCAAGTCGTCGCTCGTGGGCCAACTCGCGAAGGAATGGGCGGACGGATGGATTTCGTGGCGGGATGCGTTGCAGGGGAGGTTCTAACGGGGTGCACCTTTTGACCTCGTTTGCCTTAGTCGCTCATTTCAAGACACCATCTATGAATGTCATTGTCCGATCGTTGTCTGCGCTTTGACCACCGCCGCAGCGGTCCTTCCGTTCTGGCACGTTGTCGAGACTGTAGAGGCCACGCGCGGTGCTGTAACCCGTCACCCAGGTTGACTCTCATCCACCATGGCTCATGTCTCGGACTCCGTTCGTTACCTTGCGTCAACATTCCTCGTTTGCCTCGACCTACATCACATCAAGTCCAGTCAGGTGTGTCTGTCCGCTCTGATTTTCCGTGTCGGTCTTCATGTGATAGCGGAAACCCACAAAAAGAACGTACATATGCATATCCTCTCGTCGTCGCCGCATCATTGCTGAGATACACATAGCGCGGAGCAAACAGTCTGAAGTCGTAGCGCATACATCGAAGTTACCGTGATTTCGAATCACTGCAGTAGCGAGTGTCGCTTCATGTTGCAGCGCAGCGGCAGGCTCTCTGAACTGATCTTATCGGCTCAGTCTCCGAGTCGGGGGTATGCATCCTCAGGCTATAGATCTGTGATCGTCAGCTAGTCCGAGCACTCAAATACGGTACACTATGAGCTGTGCGATGACGGGTTTTTCACAGCATATTAACGGTATATCCAATGTTGTGATTTCTATCGGCGCGCGGGGATGTCACAAAGTCGCTGTCTAGTTCACTGAATTTGGGCAGGGCTTTTCACTGTTGGTACACTGATAGAATGTACATTTAGTGTTTTGAGCAGTACATTTGATGTGTCTCGGAACTGGCAATATTAATGGCCGCGCTGAGGATGCGGACAGACAGGTGCTCGTGACAGTTGTGGCGACGGAGCGCCCGACCTCTCACCGAACGCTCATCGCTGCAAGATACTAGTGTGTACAGCTTCGACTGTCCACCCTTATCACAATTCTACCTGCACACGAGGATTAATTTATGGTGGATCCAGAGACTTCAAGGTTTGATGTAGAACCACGACGCCAGAAATCGCTTTTACCAGTAGCAACCGCCATGCCTGTTGGGAAGCCCGGTGCGTCCAAATCAGCCAACGCGATGCTCGTCCGACGGTCCTTCCACGATCGTTTTCCTTGGTCCGAGAAAGGTCTCGTCAACACTACCTGACGCGGCATCTTCAGAAGCGACACCGCTGATAGTACACATAAGGTTTTCCGCCTTGAGGCACATATCCCAGGGTCTTCATACGCATCCACGCGAAAGCTATCTCAACAACTGCGGTGCACGTTTGGTATCGATGGCTCGTATAAGGGTTGCCGCCCAGTTGGACGACGTGTACCATCCCCCACATCATGGTGCGCCGCAGCTGGACTCTCGACCAAACACTCCTTAGGGCCCCTCACCCTGAGGTGCTCGTGATGGAAGTTGACGAGTCCGACCTCGTCGACTTTCCTCTCGACGCGCTGTTTGATCACTCTGACGATGTCTTGGGCCTATCGTGTACTCAGGGCTCTAAAGGCATATTGACGCATATCGCCTTCGCGACCCCAACACACGTACTATGTGTTCGCATGACTGGCTCTGTGTCGTCCTCCAAGGCGAAGAAACGCAAAGCCGCAAGGGCGAATCCTCACCAGCTTCCGAGAGGTCGCGATATTCTGCAGACCATGCTCCTACACAGCGCGGAGCACCGCAAGCTCGCTTTCGACATGCATAAGCTGGCGCTAGCGCTGTATTATGATTTCGAGCTGACGGTTATCAGGGCTGTGGACCTGCAGTCCGCGCAGAATGAAGACCGCCAGTCACTAGACACACTTTTGTCGTTGTTGGGCGGTACAGGGGCGGTGTACAAAGCAGCCGTCACCGATAACTTCATAGGTAGAGCCTACGAGGCGCGTGGCGTCCAGAACCTTGCCTTGAGGGCGTGGGCGGCGCGCCAGGTTGGGTCACTGCCTCAGTGGACAAGCCCCCTTCAGAGCGTCGCTCTGGTCAACACAACTGTGATCCCTGTACATGTAGGTTTCGCCTTCATGCTTCTCCAGTATGTCTAACTCCCTGGGCTTTTTCTAGGACCTGAAACGACTTGCAAATGTCACTCGCATAGCGTGGCGCCTGCACGTCCTTAAGCCGACAAGAACGAAGAACGATGTCCGTACCAGCTTCAGGCAGAAGGACGGCCATTTGCAAGTCAGGCAGACACGATTCAAGACACGCATGAGAACTTCTGAGACCCAGGTACTCGAAGCTCGGGGATCTTTCGCGACGGCATCTTCATGTTCTGACGCACTTGTAGTTTCTGCAGGTGCAGTATGGGGCAAAAGACAGCCCTGCGAAGACCGCCCGAGGGCACGTCGATCGTGTCGAAGGAAAAATCGCCAAGATCACAGTCAACAAGTCCGTCGCGCCAACCGCTAAGATCGTTAGCATCGTGACAGTAGGCAGACAAGACCCGACGGCTGCTGAGAAGGAGCGCGAGGCGGTCGTATTGGAAGTGTTGCAGCAGAAACTTCTGTTCTTCGAACACGACATCGTCTGTAGGATCTTCGAGCGCCCCAAGCACGCGCGGAGACTCGAGTTATCGACAACTGGAGAACTCCATCTCGCCGGCAAACGTCTCAACGACTCGCAGGCCGCAGCAGTGCACCGTATAATATGCGAGCAAGCAAGTGATCGGGTGTGCTTGGTGCACGGACCCCCCGGCACAGGCAAGACGACGGTCATAGCTGCGTCAGTCCTCGAATTAATGAAGCGCGCGAAGAGCGCGAAGAAGGACAGCGGCATCTGGTTGGTAGCGCAATCGAACGTCGCCGTGAAGAACATTGCGGAGAAACTCGCCGGTGTCGATTTCTTCGACTTCAAAATCTTGGTTTCGAAAGACTTCCATTTCGACTGGTGAGTGTAGTTCGCTTTCAGCAATTGGTGCTACAGCTCATGATCTGCTCCAAAGGCACGAGCACCTTTACACGAAGATTGAGAGGAATGTCATACGCTCGGAAAGGTTCAAACCGGATATCACTATAACTGAACGCCTCGTCCTGGATTCCAAGGTCATTCTGTGCACTCTCAGCATGTTCTCACATCCGCATATGGTGCCGGCAGGCTACACTCGCCTGGTGCCTGTCGAAACGGTGATAGTTGATGAAGCCAGTCAGATAGAGCTCGGTGACTACCTGCCGCTCCTGGGCCGCTTCAATCGCACCATCAAGAAACTAGTCTTTATCGGAGACGACAAGCAACGTGAGTTTGCAGTTCAAAGCGTCAAGCAGAGACTCACGTCGTGAGCGAATGTTAGTTGCACCATTCGGTCAAGATGACCTGGGTGAATTGCCTAGCATCTTCGAAATGCAGCATCTGCGACAGGATGCCCTTTTCCTCGACACACAGTGTACGCTACTTCACTGGTTTGCTCGTGTGCGACTGACTTCAACCGGCCGGTTCGCAGACCGAATGCCGACACCGATTGGCATGTTTATCTCGAAGCACGTATACGACAGCCGTCTCAAAACAATTCACTCTGTAACGTCTCGTCGCTCGTGTAAATTCATCGACGTAAGCGAAGGGAGGGAGGAAAGGTCTGGCAACAGTTGGATCGTAAGCACCGTCTTCACTCTTCCTGATGGTGTGTGTTGACGAGGTTGTGCCGTAGAATGACATAGAGGCCAATGCCATCGTCGTTGTTGCGAGGAAGTACGACGCAGAAGGCAAGAAATTTCGCGTCATTACTCCCTACGACGCACAACGGAACGTCCTGGAGCGAAAGCTGAAAGACGCGAAACTTCCCTGGGAGAACAAATGCTTCAATGTCGACTCGTTCCAAGGTGAGAATCAGACTGTGCTCAAAGGACGCCAGGTTGACATATCGTCGCTTCGCCAGGCAACGAAGATGACTACATCCTCATCTCCGTCGTTCGTTCGGACAAGATCGGCTTCCTCACCAACTTACGGCGGACGAACGTCATGCTCTCGCGCTGCAAGCGCGGCATGGTCATCTGCACGAGCAGGGCTTTCATGGAGAAGGCCAAGTCGTCGCTCGTGGGCCAACTCGCGAAGGAATGGGCGGACGGATGGGTTTCGTGGCGGGACACGTTGCAGGGGAAGTTCTAACGGGGTGCACGTCTTGACCTCGTTGCCTTAGTCGCTCGTTATCTTGCTTCTATTCATTGAAAGATACCATCTATGAATGCTATTGTCCGATTGTTGTCCGCGCTTTGACCAACGCCGCAGCGGCCCTTCCGTTCTGGCACGTTGTCGAGAGTGAAGAGGCCACTGCGCGCGGTTCTGCGACCCGCCACCCAGGTTGACTCTCACCACCATGGCTCCCCCTCCGCAAACGCGTACGATCCTGCAGAACCTCGTTGACAAACACCAACCGCCTATCAAACTGCATACACTGCTTGAGTCCAAGCTCACGGACGAGATCCTCGACGAGTTCTTGACGAGCGCGCCAACCCACCCGAACCCCATCCGTATCGGTATCGCGCCTGCATACAGCCCATCCGACCAGCTCCTCGCCATCGCCATCGCGACCGAGTCGCGCATCCTCGTCATCCAGCTACAGAAGAGCAAGGGGGACACGTTGCACCGAGGGCGCGCGCTGCTACTCACCAAAGTCCTCTGTAACTCGGACTGCATGCTATACGCCTTCAACATTGGCCAGCTCGCCTTATCCCTCTTCCTCGACCATGGCTTGCGCATCGTTAACGGGATCAGCATCGAGGGCATCTGTCCGGGAAGCCAGGAGTGCATCATCTCGCCTCTTGAGGCGGTCCAGTTCGCGGTCGGCGACCAGTGGCCCATCTACGAAGACAACATCAAGGCGGCGTTCCGAGAGAAGATCTGGGACCCGACACCTGCTCGACAGACGCCTCTCGCCCTCAAAGCCTGGCTGGCCAGCTTCCTTCCGGCCATCCCTGACATCGAGGAGCGATACAACAGTGTCAAGCGGGTTAACACAAAGGACAAGAGCGATTCGGTGAGTAATCAAGACGAGATACCGATCATGTACTCACCTGCGATCACGACCGTCACACATCCAGGAGCTCGCCCAGATCGCCCAGATCGCGCGGGCTGATCAGCGACTTGCGTCGCAGCGGCCGGCCACGTCCGCCAACGAGTTCAGCGCGCCGTCTGCCAATCAAAAGAAACTCAAAGTCAGGTCTGACCGATATCAGACTCGGATCCAGAAATCATCCGTGAGTTCATTGAGAGTCACCTCCATTACCACGGCTGTCATATAAACTCTGAATATTCTACAGGAGGTTCAAGTCACTGTTCGTGATGAGCATGGGGCCACATACCAGATCCATGGGCAGACAGCTGACAGAGTCTTGGGTCGTGCTGCTGAGCTCAAGGCTGAGACAAGCCTTGAGGGAAAGACAGTAATGTCTATCACCTCTATAGGTGCAGACAGGGCTACCAATGCAGAGCAACAGAAGGCATTATATGTCCTTGGAGCTCTGCAGGGCCAGGTCAACCTCTTTGAGAACCCTTTTCAGAAGTACATCTGGTGCCCTGGAGATGACTTCAGCTGGCCTGAGAGCTTTGAGTCCTCTGAGGAGGTCCCTGATATCACTGCCACTCTACCACTCAATGACTCTCAGTACAGAGCTGTTCATGACATGCTCTCAAACACCAATCCCACTAGAGTCACAGTGATTCAGGGCCCTCCTGGGACTGGCAAGACATCTGTCATTGCAGCCTTTGTATGCTCTGCAATAGCTGGTGGTAGAAGGGGCATCTGGCTGGTTGCTCAGACCAATGTGGCTGTCAAAAACATTGCTGAGAAGCTGGCTAAGATTGGGTTCCTGGACTGGAAGCTCCTTGTCTCTGCAGACTTTCACCTTGGATGGTATTTGATGCATTTCTCATGATTCCTCAAGCCATGTAATTCTAACCTTTCTATATAGGCATGAACATCTCTATACAGCAGTGAACAAGAACATCATCAGCTCTTCTAACTTCAAAAATGCTGGCAAGCTCCTCAAGGGCTGCCCTGTCATCCTCTGTACACTCTCCATGCTTTCCAATCCTCGCATCAAAGGTTTCACTGCCTTGTGTCCATTGACTACCTTGGTTGTGGATGAAGCTAGCCAAATCTCCATCAATGACTACATCCCTGCTCTTCAGCAATTCTCTTCTATTCGCAAAATGTGTTTCATAGGTGATGATAAACAATGTAAGTTGATATGAGGTCTAAAATGTTTGAGGTTGACCTGAGCACATTTCTAGTGCCACCATTTGGGCAGGATGAAAATGAGGAGCTCAAGAGTATCTTTGAGATCCCTCATTTGCGCTCAGATGCCCTCATGCTGGAAATTCAATGTAAGTTGAATTTTGATGTTATGATACAGATCTCATTGTATGTTCAGACAGAATGCCACCCCACATTGGGGACTTCATCTCTGAGGCTGTTTATGATGCTCAGCTGGCATCTAACCCTCTTCACCCTGTCAAGATTCCAGAGAGCTACTTTGTTGATGTTGAAGGTGGTGAGGAAAAAAGGAATGGCACTAGTTGGATGGTACTGAACCTTCTCACATGATTATGTATATATGCTGATATACTGTATGCAGAATGCTCCTGAGAGGCAAGCAGTCCTGAAGATTGCAGCCAAGATGCAGGAGGAGGGCAAAGAATATAGGATCATCACTCCTTATGATGCCCAGCGCAGTCTCATTGAAGAGGACATGAAGGCAATGGGCTTGGCCTGGCAAGACAAGTGCTTCAATGTGGACTCCTTCCAAGGCTAGTAATTTACTTGATTATATAAAATCTTAGCTGATACTCTCAATAGGCAATGAAGAGGACTACATCATCATCTCTCTTGTCAGGACAAGGGAGCTTGGCTTCCTCACTGACCTCAGGAGAACCAATGTCATGCTGAGCCGCTGCAAGAAGGGCATGTTCATCTGCACCACTTGGAACTTTGTGATGGGCACAGCTGCCAACACTCTAGTGGGCCAGATGGCTGTAGCTTGGGGTGAAGAAAGCTGGAAAGGGGCATGGCAGTGGGATGAGCCAGAACAGGCTGAGTAGCATGTAGCATGCAGCCCTTGTATAAGACCAGCCTGGCTAGTTGATAGTCAATTGTACTGCTTGAGTGGAATTGCCCATATGCTTGTATCATACCAATGCTACTACAGATGTGAATTGGCCTCGAGACAAATGTATCTCATGTCTGTCATTGCCTCACCAATGGCTGCTTTGAACCCCGCTGTGGATGTAAGTGGTGAGGAGAACTTCGACTCGATGCCAAACTTGACCATGCTAGGAGCAGCAAGATCTATACAGGCATGAGACACAGCGAGCTTCGACATACGAGACACGGACTCACAGTTGATTCCGTAGCCATCAGGATATGCGGCGCCGAAACTGGAGGACGTGATGAGCATCAACGATCAACCACAGTATCATACCGGAAATCATACCCCGTGCCACGGAACTGATGACCCTCGCTCAGTCCACTCGTACTCAGCTTCCACGTCTGACTGAGCGCGAAGAGCTCGTCGTCGAACAAGTCATGCCGTTCGCGCGCAGACCCATCGAGCATCAGCCGTAGCCCGAGCAAATGCCGGTCGATACCGCGACCGGTTGCGGCATGGCGCGTCAGGTTCGTATGCGTCTGCACCGCACAGCGCAGCAGCGATCGTCGCGCCTGCGGCTGGCACAGATGTGAGGCGGCTGAGGATCGCGGGCAAGGAACGACGATACGTACTGTGCTTTTGGGATCGCCCATGGCGAGGACGAACGCGCGGCTGTCGGTGGTGAGCGTGCGGATCGTCTCCGTCCGGCCGTTCTTGAAGAGACGCGTCAACGCGGTCTCGTACGTCGCGGTGAAGCGGCCGTGCATCCGGTACCATGCGAGCTGCATCGCCATCTGGATGTATGCGTCGGGCGACAGACGGGCTACACGAAAGATGAGCTCCTGACATGGCACAAGCCAATGTGCGACGTAGATGCACCTTCATTCTTGATCCACTCCGCACCGTAGTCCACAAACCACAGGAACCCATCGTCCGAGTCCTCAACAACAGTCTTCACCCTCCGCTCCGCCTCGCCGCACTCCCTCCTAATCCTCTCATCCACTACCCAATCCAGGCGCTCCCAGCCCTCGACCGACCTCGCGCTCGGGATGCGCCCCTCGGGCAGCAGCGGCGGGAACGCGTCCTCGTCGATGCCCTCCACGACGGCGAACTCCGCGCAGATGCTCGGGACGAGCGCGTCGGCAGGCGAGTGCTCGCCGATCGCGCCTGCACGCGTGTTCGACTCGACGACGAGCGTGTACGCCTTGTCATACCACCGATTGTGCCCTGGGCGCGGCGTCGGTCCGGAGCGGATGTTGTGCAAGTGCGCGGTGACCTCGGGGACGGTGTTCGGTTCGGGAAGAGGAGAGCCTGGTTGGAGAGAGGCAGCAGACGGAAGTACGTAAGTGAAATGGTCGAGACTGAGTGCGAAGAGGGAGTGATTGATGGTACGAAGCACGGCATGATTCGTAGGCGACAGGGAGAGGAGATGGCTCAAGTTCTGCGTTCTGTAGGTTAGCAAGTAGCGGTGATCATAAATTCGCTGCTCACCTCTGCCCAGCGATCCCGGTCGTCTGCTGTGAGTACGCCCACAGCAGGGGCCACCTCGCCACGCTTCAACCGCCCGTCGGCGTCTGCGACGACAGCCAGCAGGCGTCGTTCGATTTCTGCGGGCTGGAGCATACGTTTGTCCTCGTCAAGTACCTCGATGGCGTAGAACCAGTCATGAAGCAAGACGACGACTTTGCGGGCGTCAGGGTCGGTAGGTAAAGGGAAGGTTGACAAGTATCACTATTCGCGTGAGGAAGGCGAGAGACGTTAAACATCTTCGCTGCGACATCTCGGAGCCATATGCCTAGAGGATATCAGAGGTGGACATGCAGCGAGCATTAGTTAGACTCACCCGCTCTGGTTATCCCTATGTGGACATCCGGTCTTACAAGGCAAAATGAGGGTATTATTCCGCACGTCCACGACGACTAAGGGTTGATAACATACCTTTCTAAACGAGCCTTCCACTCCAATGTACGGCGGACCAGCCAAGCACCCCTTCGCACCTGCCAGTCAGTGACGCCGACAGCTCCGAGAGCAGGACGACGGCCCAGGATAACGTCATGCGGTATGATTGGGTCGTTATGAAAGGCCAGCCACCAATTTGAGTTGACGATGAGGGGAGCCCGCCATTCGTGGTACGCCTTCTTCACCCAGAAGTTGTCGTCGAGCCAGTTGGTGGGTGAGGCCCTGTCAAGGGCTTAGTACGCGCACCCTTAGGTCGGACACCGCTCTGCAAACATCATGCTAACACTAACCTAGCAGACGTTCCTGGCATACTTTCCCGATTCCATGCTCGAAGTCCTCCGCCCACGTCTCGCGGATACGGCGAGCTTCGGAGAACCTCAGGCCGCCCCGAGCCTCATCCTCAAGGATAAGCGGATCCAGGGACTGCACGTATTTCTGCAGCGTTTGGTGAAGGTCGGGGACCGGGAGGCGGGCGAGCGTTGGCGCAGACGTCATGGACCGGTAACTCGAAGGACGGTATGTTTTGCGAGGTACAGATTTCGTGGGTTTAATGTGAGCGACATAGTTCATGCTGGGTGCTGCATGGTTGGTGCCGCAAGCAACTCAATGTGCTTGGTAGCGCAGGATGATGAGGGGGACGGGGAGCTGGTGCTCACTGCAGAATACGTACTCGACGGCCGGTAACGGGTCGGGCGACCGACGCGCTTCATGAATGCACGTGATGGCTGTAGGGGATCTTTTGAGTTTGTCGCGTACGACCATTCGCTCCATGCGTAATTTCTCATGTTCTTGGGGCTGGTCGGAATAAAGAACTGGGTTTCGTTGAGACACTGCTTGCGCAGTCTGTACAGCAGACCTCATCAGCTACAAGTAGCACGAGAACCAAGACTTGGGAACGCGTCAGTCAGTCGAGCTCCATTATATACATGTCTTTCTGAGATGACCATTTCGTGGCCGCTCGTCACAGTGACAATCATCAAGACAGGTTTGTCTGCTTGGCATTCGGTCTTGATACCTGTTTTCGCCATGATGATATTGACTGAATGGCCGATACGTCACCGACGATTCACTGTCACCGGTATTCAGTGCAGCAAAGTTCCATGAGATTCAACGGCAATAGCCCCGGCTTTGAGTCAGTGTTCTCGCCCTCAGCGTCCTTGCGACATCGCTTGCTCGAAGGCGTCGAAAATAATAGGTGCCACAGACGCGGTAGAGCTCACGTGGGCGTGTCTCACTTGCGCGCGATCATCTTACGATCACAAAATCTCTGACAGATCTCGTACAACGCCTGCGCGCGGTACGGTACAGTCAGCTGCCCTTGCTGATTCAGTCTGCGCACCGCCGGAACCGACGACCGTCTCTTACTCATCGCTTACGCGTCCCTCGCACCTCCTCCTCAAAAGGGCCCGTGCACCAGAGGTCCGCATCCCGCCTGATAGCTTCCCTATACGCACAACTTACAAATACTACGCAGACCGAGTATTAATGGAGCAAGACCACGTTGAAAACGAACAGATCGAGGAGGGCGAGGAGGAGGAGTTTATCGACCCGAACGATGTCTACATCGAGGTCGCCGATGATGGCGACGACCTCATGGATGAAGACGACGCCGAGGGGGAGATGATGGGCGGCGAGGGCGGACCCCAGTCAGACGAAGAGATCGTCTACGAGGACAACTCCATACAACACTTCCCGACGCACCGCAAGTCCGTCTTCGCAGTCTCCACACATCCCGTCGCACCCATCGCCGCATCGGGCGGGGAGGACGACCTCGGATATATCTGGGACTACACCACCGGGGACGAGATCGTGAAGCTGACGGGCCATACGGACAGCGTGACGAGCACGGCGTTCAGCTCTGATGGAGAGCTGATCTCGACGGGTGGGATGGACGGCAAGGTCCGCATTTGGCGGAGAGTGGGCAAGGAGAACTGGAAGCTGTGGGAGTTTCTGACGGAGCTCCAAGGTCCCGACGAAGTCATGGTACACAGCCAACATCCTGTCCATCGCAATGTTCACTCACGCATTCTGTTCATTACAGTGGTTACGCTGGCATCCAAAAGGAAACGTCCTACTGGCCGGATCAAACGACTCAACAGTCTGGCTCTGGCAGCTTCCCTCCGGTAACACAATGCAAGTCCTCGCGGGACACACCGCGCCCGTCCAATGTGGGGACTTCACGCCCGACGGGAAGCGGATCATCACCGCGGACGCGGAAGGCACGCTCATCTTCTGGGATCCGCGCTCACCCACGCCCGTCTTCAAGCTCACCGCGACCGACGCGCGGTTCGACATGGGCGGGATCACCTCGCTCGCGGTGAACCCCGCGTCGACGCTCGCCGTCGTCGGGGGCGCAACGGGCAGCGTGCGCGTCGTCAGTCTGAGTAGGGGCGAGGTCGTCAGCGCGCTCGGCGGGCACAAGGAGGACGAGAGCGTCGAGGCGGTCACGTTCGTCGAGCTCACGCCCGGCGCGGCGACACAGAGCGCGGGAGGCGTTGTGGTGACGGGCGCGACGGACGGCAAGGCGTGTATCTGGGATCTGGGCACGATGCGCTTGCGGGCGACGCTCGAGCACGAGGTGAGTTGTGGGTGCAGTTTCGCGCCGTCGGCGTGTTCTCGCCGCCGGGCGTGGTCCTAACCCGTCTGTATGGTTCTGACGTGGATTTGCGCTCTCTAGGACGCGGTGACGAGTCTGTTGCCTTTGCCTGCGCCGAAGGGACACCTGGTCGTGTCTGGCTCTGCTGACAAGACACTGCGGACGTGGGACGCGCGAACGGGCACACTCGTCCGTGCACACAAGGGCCACCACGGTCCTATTCTTGGTGCGGCTCTCGGGCTTGAAGGTGGTGTGGTCGTCAGCGCTGGGGACGACGGTGTCTGTCTGGTCTTCACGACTGAATGATGGGATACGCAATACGAGCAGAGAACGCAAAACGCTACAGCTGTATTTCTGGACAGGTACGAATATCATTATTAATGTAGCCATACACAATGTCACATCTGCTGAGATTCCCTACTGCTTCTCATCCGAGCTCAAGCTCGCTGCAAGCACCCGGTCCGACCGTCAGCAGCGTGGCGACTCACGCACGACATGCAGCGTCAGACCAGACGGCCTCCGAGCGCTCGCAGGCAGCACAACTCTATTCGCCCGCGTTCTTGAAGTATCCTCATCGCTCGCACGCTCATTGCGTCCTGCGCGAGGAATAGGCGTGCACACAACTGAACGTCATACGCAGCCACTAACTGCTCGAGTTATTCTTGACCGATGGGCACGCGTCTGGTTGTAGTGCACATGAGTGCAGCATGGTCTACGGGCGTCGGATGCCAACACGTCAGTTCACTCCGGGCCCTTGTCTCTAGCGACTACTTAGGCCATCGACGCATACCGCGCTACTCAACGTTCTCCCCTTCGGGGAGAATCCACACGAAGCGGGGTGTCCACCCAAGCATCCAAGAGTCTAGGCAGGACAGGACATTCTGTCTTGGTCACTTGGCCGAAACATCTGGAAGACAGATCTCCGTCTCGGTCTCCGTTTTGACTGACAGACGAGATACCAGTTCCCGAGATGAAAGTCTTCCGTGAACAGTCCAGGTCGCTAGTCAGCAATGCACGGACGATACTCCTATCCATGACGACTCGTCTATCTACACTGACGTATGTGCGGTGCGTATTCCATGTGAATTGTGGGACGGAGATGGGCCCAACGAGACGCGGATCTCTTGGCTAGTTTCGTGCATGGGCTCGGTTGTTGCACAGAAGACGTGACACGACCGGGCCGCGGTCATTGATGAATCATAGCGTTGATGACAATGGAACCACCGTGAAACCGTGTAGCAGACGGCCCGACAGAAAAAAGAGAAAAAATAACTTTAGGGGGTAGGGGGGAGGGGACCAGCGTGCTGGGAAGGCTGGCGTGCGCAACGGCCGAGGAGGAGGGTGCGCCGACGAGAAGGACCGAGACGATGATGGGAGCAGCCAGCGAGTGTTGCCGCCGAGCGCGGAGGTGCCTCGGCGCTCGCGGACCAAACAGGTGACGCCGGTTTTCTCCGGGCTTATAAGACGCCGTCTGCCATGCATCATTCGCCGGTTCGTTCTTCCCCTTCCCACAAGCACTCCCCGTCCCGTCGTCTGTGTTTCCGCGATCCCAACAGCAAAGATGAAGTCCGCCATCCTCTTCACCGCCGCTGCCCTCGTTGCCAGTGCCTCTGGCCTCACTGTCAACACTCCCGTAAGCGTTTGCTCGACGAGCGTCTATCCGTTGGCCTCTTCCTGACCTGTGCTGCGTGCAGGGGAAACGTTGTTGAGTGCGAGCCGACGGCTATCACCTTCACGGGTGGTACTGGTATGTCGTTTCTGTCCTGTGCCATGTCTCGAGCCGGCTAACATTGGCTCAGCTCCATTCTTCTTGAGGTATGTCGACAGCCCCCCTATCAGCGAGCAATTTTGTTCACAGTGTACAGCTTCAACCTCCAGTCGAACCCCAATGGTGACGCTCAGCAGAGTTACGGTCCCCTCCAGAGCTCTCCGTTCACCTGGACGACTAACATCACCTCCGGTACTGATCTTGTCCTCACCCTCAAGGACAGCACGGGCACGACCGCTCAGTCCGGTGGTTTCATCGTCGCGGCCGGTGGTAAGTAGCGCTGTTTTGTACACGCAACATGAAGTGACACAATACCCGCAGACAGCAGCTGCTTGACCTCTTCTGGCTCTAGCTCTGCCGCCAGCGGCTCTTCTAGCTCAGCAGCAGGTGCCTCGTCTTCCACTTCCGCCTCTAGCTCGTCCGCTACAGCTGCTTCTTCGTCAGCCGGCTCGTCCGCCTCCTCGGGCGCTAGCTCTGCCAGCTCTGGTCGCTCTTCGGCGACCTCTGCCTCCGGGTATGTTGACATGTCCACGCGGTTCGTATCAGCCTACTAACAATCCTCGTCAATTTGCAGCACTTCCTCGGGTGCCGCTTCCGCGACCTCGACCACCTCTGGCGCTCTGGCGAACGCTGTCAACGCTCTCGCTGCTGGTGTCGTCGGCGTCGGTGCCATTGCCCTCCTCGCTTAAGCGTTTGAGGGTGCGGCAAAAGGGGCTCGTTCCCGTCCCGAACTCTGGTTTCCTTGAACCGAATTCCGTATTTGTCTTGTGTTGCGTTCGCCTGTCGTCGTGATACCTCACGCTTGCGGCTTCATACAGTATTCGCCCTTTTTACACACCTGCCAGCTGTTTGTAATACCTGTCGAGAAGCAGAACTCTTTTGCCTTTGTGTCTGTCTGAACTTGCCCCTCATACATACATGCATCGGTTTGATACCTGTTGTCTACTCTCCACGTCCACCGCCCCTTTCCTGGCTCACTCGCGATAGGCCTCTGAGCATAGCTTTCGGGTTCGAGAGGTTTCGTTTGTATAGTACAAACCAGAAACGCTTATGATCCGAATGACCACGCTCAATGACCTTTCGTCGCATCATTTTTGTTCGTGTGATATGGATTCAGAACAGGTGTATCTTTGCCATTCACTTGGTTACCGAATAACGACTGGTGAAGAAGAGATACAGGCGACGCTTGTCGCCGTGCTTAGTACTTCGTATCATACCCTACCCTACGTTATGTGGTACTGTGATAAGATAGGGATATGACAAACCTGTCGGCGATCGCAGTTTAGGCTGTGTCTGAAGCAATGAATAACTGTGGACAGTGGTCTCGTACCCATCCGATGGGAGGATGTCACACCCTATCACCGCACACCTCACTAACGCGGATAGGGTACGACATCCTCCCATCGGGTGGGTACGAGACCAGTGGACAGGATCCATGATGGAGAATAGTGCTGCAATGTCAATACCGTTACTGGCGCTGACTCGGAACTGCTTGACAGCGCGAACGTTGCAGCGACGAAAGGGCGACTCCGAGTCAGACCCAGAAAATTCAGGCTGTGGTGAGAAGGGTTTGGGTCAGAATCGAACGTCGTGAATTGAGATTTGCGGAAGTATTCGAGACGACGTACATCTTAGATTGTGATAGACATTAGACATACCGAGTACCTCGGTAAAAGCCGATGGCTAGTTCACGGCCAAGAAGCTACATTACCAGCCTTCCCATGCACGAGGCAGACTACTTTCCTGCACGACGCATTCGTTCTTATGCTCCTTCATGGCACCTTCCTGCAGTCTTTCTGCCGGTGATTTTGCAGGCAATCCCGAATCCGATGAAGTGACGCGTCGCGTCGCGTATGCATGGACGGCACGTGCACCGCGTCACTTGCTAAAGAGAGGCAGCTCTCCTTGTGACTTTGGTTATATGCACCGAGGAGCTTGAGGGAGTCCTGGTCCCTGGAGCTGGAGCCCATTTTCGTGAGTTGCTGTGCAGCTTGCACCTCTATTTCTGCTCTGCTGAGTCTCGTGACGATAGCAGCACGCGTATACGAGCCAGCAATCGCACCGCCCATCGCAGTTGATGCTGTGTACCAGTATAACTGCTACGACCTCGAACTCTACACCCAGACGTGCCGGCGATGATCCATGGCACGCAGACCACACCCCCACGTTGCTATCCCCTCAGGAGCTGCCCCTCCAACCAACCCATCTCCCTCCTCTGCCTGGTCAGCATATCTTCTGCCATCATCGTCTCATGACCCCTCCACTTCTAGTTATTACACCGATTCCGGCTATGGCGGCTACTCCTCCTCTCAACTCTCCCCGCTCGCCCCTAGGATCAGCCTGGATGCCCCGTCTCGTCCCACCAGTCGCCCTTCGAGTTACGTCGAACAGGATGCGAACCGTATCAGGTTTCCCGAGCCCCAACTCTACCGGTCTTCATCCCAGCGCGCCTCGCTTCGCCCTGGCCCGCCGTCTCTTGCGCACCGAGCGACGCGGAGTGAGCTGACGGTGAGCCCCATTCATCGTTCGTCAAGACCGCCGTCGTTCGTGTCGACGTCTTCGACGAGCAGCCCGGAGGTGTGTCTATCCCGTCATCGCGTATTCGCCTTCACATGTCTTGCATTGTGCCAGTTTACGCCGACGGAACTTTCTGAGGAGCTCTCCGGTCTGACGTAGGTCTTTTCCGCACACCCCGTGCAGATGTTTCATTAATGCGCCGATCGCGCTAGTCTCGCATCAGAGGAAGGCCTCCGGCGCTTTCAGGCGGGAGAGCTGCCCGAGAACGACCAGGAATGGTACAAGCTCGTTCCGCCTGAAGCGCGCGAGGTGCTCGACAAGCGGGAGTGACACGGCAGTCGATTATGTTCGAGATCATCAAGTCCGAGAGAGATTATGTCAACGATCTCTTGTTAGTCAAGGAGGTCCTTCGTTCACCTGTCTCAGACCCGGACAGCACCTGACGGATCATCGCTGTAGGTCTTCGTGGAACCGCTGGTGAATACGTCGCCGGTACCGCAACACCGCTTGCAGGGCTTCGTGAAAGAAGTCTTCTACAACCTCGACGAGATCCACGACCAGCACCAGCGGATGCTCGGGAGTCTCTTCCAGAAGCAGCGCGAGTTTCATCCGTTGATTGATAGCGTGGCGGAGATTGTCATGAATCGTACGCCACCTCTCAGCTTGTCATTTCACGCAACTGAATATGTTCTCAGATGTCCTACAGTTCATGTCGCCGTACGAGGAATATATCAAACATTATCCTTGGCCGGAGCGCGGCACCGCACGGAGCTGAAGCGCAACTCGCGGTATCAGTACTTCATCAGCAGTGCATGCAGGACCCACGTGTTCGAAAACGCGACCTCATCACTTTCCTCTCGCGGCCGGTGACGCGCCTCCCGCGTCTATGCCTCCTGCTCGACAACGCGAAGGACACACGGCGCCAGACCACCCCGACCAGGAGACGCTCCGATCATTCTGGAGATCCTAAAGACGTTCGTGAAGAGCACCCAGCCCGGCATCGCCGCGGCAGAGGACAAGGTCAAGTTCTGGGAGCTTGCGAGAGCCTGTCCTACCAGAAGGGCGAGATCTTGGTGCGTGGCGCTGCCCTTCGGCGTTGTATGTGCGCTTGGAGGTGCTGATTGGGGTGGCAGGACTCGACCTGTATGACGAGAAGCGGACGCTGGTGTATTCCGGTCCGCTCGGGAGAAGGTGGAATGAGAAGATGAGCCAGCTCGAGGTGCCACGTACAGATGGATCGATCTGCACGTTGCCCTCCTCGACAACTACCGTAAGCAGGCGTGCTTCGTGGCGTGACGTCCCACTCAAGTTTGTCCCATCGCAGTGCTGCTTCTGAAGCCGGAGAGCCGTCCCGGCGGAGTTACCAAGCGATCTGTAGTCTCCCGCGTAAGTACTCCGACGTTAGTCCCAGTTTCTTCTGCGCCGCTCACATTGCATCACAGCCATCCCTCTGAGTATCTGCGCTCGGCTCTTCTCGGACCCGCCAGAGAACGAAAGGAGCAGCGGAGGACGGCAGTCTGTTCCACTTCCGGAGCAACTACCGCGACGTATGGCCGTTCACGATCTATCATGCGTATGAGAAGTCTCGCCGGCGGTATACCCTGTTCGCGAATAGCGAGACGGTCCGGGAGAGGTGGCGTTGCGCGCTGACGGATGCGCTTGCGGTGCGGGAGGCCAGCAGGAGTCGAACATGGTAAGTGCTTTCTAGCCATGGAGTTCTTGCGCACTGAAGGAACGGGCGGGCGATGTGTAGTGGTTTGCCCCACATACTGTCCACGAAAGGTTCTTCAGGTATTCGGAGTCGTTGGTCCCGCAGGTCGGGAACCTGACAGGAAGATCACTGCTGTGGCTCCAATGAGTGCGTAAATCTGTTTGCTATCAAGGTGTCACCACACGAGACTTGGACAGTTAGCGGAGGGAAGAGCTTACTCGTGGTCGGCTGTGCCTCTGGCGTATATGCCGCGCTACGCAATGAATTCGGTATGTGACCCTCGGACTGGGTCTGGCCTAAACTTACCTGCTTGTGTCCGTTGTGGCATGTGCCTTCCGTTCAGACTACACAAAGTTCTCAATTGTCGAATGCGACAAGCATGGTTGCCCTGCCCGAGTTCAACAAGCTGCTGATCCTCTCAGACCACTACCTGTACGCCTACTCGCTCGACCTCATCTCACGTGCAGCTGCAGGCCAGTCGACGACGGAGCACCTGGAATCGACCCGGCAGGTCATTGCAGGCCATGACGGTGGCGTACTGTTTTTCGTGCAGCCAAGATCGGGAATCGCCACATGAGTGCGTGCAGCTTTTTTGGATCAAGGAAGTATTGTCACTGATCCGCTGGATAGTCCTGTATGCATCAAAGCGGATTCTGCAGGTCTTCTTCAATGCTATAGAGGTTGTGCGTTCAGATGAAGCACCATTCCCGCCGAGACGAAATACACAGTCAGGCGCACCATCAAATTATCGACCGTTTGGCGAGGTATTTGATCCTCTGGAGATGATGTCGTGTAATGCTCAATTGTGTTCCTTGCACTTCCGTAGCCTGTCCGATCCCGAAAGACTCGCATGACTTCACGGCGCTACACACTCGCATCGGGGTATGTCATGAACGGGGCATCACGATTGTCGACCCCACCAAGTATGTCTTCGTCCTGTTTGGGGAGGCTCCACTTACCCATCATCTCCACGCAGTCCGGGTGCATCCAGTGTGAATCCGGCTGTCATTCCGAAGTTCGGAGGGGCGGACAGCAGTGCACCGTTATACGCGCTGAAGAGTCGCTGTCAAGATGCAAAGCCATTGGGACTCGTGCGCTGTCTAAATGAGGAAATATTGGTCGTTTATGATGGTACGTCCAACGCGCGTGGTCGGTGGGTCGCACCGGTTCTCATGCATGTTCTCAGATGTCGGATGCTACATCGACAAGCATGGGGTGCCGTGCCGCTCAGCGGGGTATCTCCGCTGGGAGGCGAAAGCGACCGCGTTCGCACACAGAGGCGACCATATCTTGCTCTTCTCGCCAGAGTTCGTCGAAGTGCGCACAGTGCAGACGGGCAAGCTCGTACAGGTCATTGAGACCCCGGACGTCCGCCTGGCATATCAAGGAATGCTGCCAACAGACCCGACGGTGCTTGTTGCATGCCGAGGACGGTCGGAGCGCGGCGTTGTCACGGATAAGATCGTCGAGCTGGTGGAGACGTCGGAGATCACAACGCCTCGCGCGACGTCGGCTGTCACACCTGGAGTTTGGGATGAGTGGGACATGTAGATCGGTTGACTGGGGAATTTAGGAGGCACTTGGTTTCGATGACGGATGTCTATTGCTACTGATTGTATACCGCAGAAAGGTCGTATTGTATCTGCAGCTTTCATTATACCTATGTAATGTACAATCTCAAAGTAGTGACTTATGTAACGCTGTAGAAGTCGAGATAGTATACGTACTGTATTTTCGTGCTCAACCTCTGGTGAATCAGCATTTGTGGCAGTTTGAGACTGAGTACAATGGGCGCTAAACACGAACCACGTGATGAACGCGTTGTTGCACGCGACACGCGACAACCGAACTTTGGTTCCCTCCTCGACCTCCCCGACCCCGGCCCGCCGCCCATACATACTCGCCGCCACAATCCGCGGCCAAGTCGTGCGAACCTCTACTTGTGAGTCTTATTCTGGACCTGTCTTTGCGGACACGAATGGGTGCCTATGCGATCGCGAACGTATCTCGGTAACGCCAGTCGACTCTGCTCGACTCTGCTCGGAGAACTGCATCTACGGTCTGTCCAGCGATGCACAGATTGGTAGTCCTTTACGCTCCCTGAAGGCTGTCTTTGGCCGGCTCTGATGCTGGCTGCCGTGGACCAACGTCACGAGCAATGGTCTATGCTCAGTGATATCAAGGGCGTACCTGCTGTACTGCATCGGACAGCAGGAACCAATGCAGGAGCCATGAAGGACTTGAACCTAGGCTGGAAACTGTAAGTTTACTAGGCTGTCACTCAAGCAGTGCCAGAGCCAAATCCACGCAGGACCATCGCGATGTGCGATGACATGGTGTCTACCTCCGAGTGCTTGTCTGGACATGCGTCAGCGTCCGTCCCTATACATGTCTCCGGACGAACTGCATACAACCCTGCATGACTATCAGTAGGGCCTGATGCGAGTTCTAACTCACGAAGCGACGGGAAGCACTGCAGGGTATTCGTAAACACCTTCGCTTGCTGTTCGCAGTTTACCCTTTGCTGTCGATCGACTGAATTGACTTCGCTATAACTTGCTAACGGTGTCCTTCATTATACAAGGTATCAATATTATCGACGCGGCCCATACAGGACATAGGTGCGATGGATGGCTCAAACGACCTACTCAAGAAACGAGAACGATTTCGCGAACAAATCCGCACGGCCTTGGAAGAAGATCCGGATCCTCTATCCGCCTACGACAACTTCGTCAAATGGACACTCGAGAACTATCCTAAGCAACACCTTGCTCAATCCGGGCTGCTAGAACTCCTCGCGGAGGCGACACGACAATTCAAGGACGATGCGGCGTATAAAGGGGATCTGAGATACCTCAAGCTCTGGTCGCTATACGCCAATCATGTCGAAGATCCGAGCGTTGTATACGCCTATCTTCTGGCGAACGGCATAGGCATGGTATATGCACAAACATATTGGGAATATGCTCTAGCACTCGAATGTGCTGGGAGGTGAGTAGAACCTTGTCAGCATATATTACAGGTCTTAGATGAAAGGCAGGCGAGCCGAAGCGGAGGCAGTGTACAAGCAAGGTGTCCAGAGACGGGCACGTCCGGTAGATCCCTTGAAACGACGCTACGAAGAGTTCAAGAACAGAACCTCGCCTCCAACAAGCATCGCAAGTACCAATGCCGTGCTATGGAAGGGGGCTTCGTCATCAACACGAGCGCTTCGACGGAACCCTCTGAAGTACCACACATCTGACTCTCCCTCTGCATCTAGCTCTGCCGATTCTCAACCCACGTCTTCAGCACCCTCCACAAGTCAAACGTCTTCTGCCGACCAAAAACGTGAACGCTATGCCTTGATGCTCGCCCCACCTGTTCCTGGCAAGCGCCCGGAGAAGCTGCGCTTCAATCTTTCGCTGCTTTTCACGGAGGATGGGACGGAGTACAGCATGCAGGAGGCACGCGCCCGTTCAATGGGGCTCCTAGGCAAGAAATGGGGCCCACCGCCCGAGGCAGCTGCTGTGCGAGTGAACTTCAAGGACGGACCGAGCACGAATAGTAGCCGGACGGGGATGACGCGAACAATGCGCAAGGGCTTCGAGCCGACAGTCACGCTGGCTACGAAGGAGGCACTCGCAGACGTCTTTGGGATGTACAACTCGCCCGAGAAGTCGATGCGTTTTGGTGCAGTCGCGGGAAGCAAGCATGCACCTGTGCACAAAGTCGCATCTGTCGCACCAATGTCGCTCGAAGCACAGTTCCGCGCAGCCAGCAACGAGAACGCGCTGGTGGCTACGAAGACTCCAAAGAACAATGAGAACGCGATGATACCTGTGAAGACTCCAAGGGCGAATGAGAACGCGGGCGTGCCCGCGAAGACGCCAGGTAAGAGCTTTGCGATTTAGACCGGCATAGACTCATTGGATCCATAGCGGCCCGATCGTTCGTGGACGAAAATGCAAGTAGTAAGAAAAGCTCAACGCCTGCACCGGTGAGATGATCTCTCTATCCCAATGAGATGATGTCTAAGGCTGCCACAGTTCATACCATTCATGGACGAGGACCGCCTAGCAAGCTGCCTACATATACTCCCAACCACGGACGCAAAGCACTTTCCGTCAAAGATGTGTCCACCCCAGCACAACCTGCCAAAGATGAGCTTTCGCAAAGTACGAAGACCCCAGGGGCGTTCAAATCTGGACCCGTGTTTTCTGCCGTCTTTACCCCCGCCGCCGAAGTGCCAAAGGACCGCCCTGTGGCGCGTCGGGATACGGGGCCAGATCAGCAACCTCCATCGAGGGCGACGAGTGCATCCCCCGTAGAAGCCCGAATGTCTTCACGGCTTTCCGTGACACAAATGAGCCGAGGAAAGTGTTCAGCCGACCTCCCACGCGGAACGAAAACATCCCTGCACCTGAGCCGACTTCAGCATTACAGTCGAGCACTATCATACCTTACGTCGATGGCGCCGACGAGATAGCAGCACCCACACCCGCTCGTCAGCCATTGAGCGAACGTACACCGTTGCGAGCGTGTTGACTGCGCCTCAGTCGTTGAGCCTGAGGAACTTGTGGAAGAAGATACGCAGCAAACCATTGACGACTCATACGAGGAGGATGACGAAGAACTCGATGGCGTGCAGGACGAACTGGATCAGCCTTCACCGGTAGATGAGTATGACAGTATGCTTGACGACGGGGAGGAACTTGCCTCTCGCCCCACCCCACTTGGCGGAAGGTTCGGCAAGTTCGATGTTCTGACGCCTATGCTGAGCGGACCATCGAGTATGCTGCGAGTATGCGCTCGACGCCGAACGACACGATCAATGCCCGACCCACGCATCAGGATCCTGTCGAGGCTGCGGAGCTGCTTGCGGCGGAACTGCTTGAAGAGGAGGAAGCAGAGGGACGGCAAAGGGAGGCGGCGAATGCCCTCTCCGATATCGAGGAGAGGACTGGTACACTGAGCCTGTCGGACGCCTTGACTGCTGCCTCCTCCTTCCAGCCCCCAAATCCCTGCAATCCGTTCGATCCGCCTATATCAAGACACTGCTATCGCTCCTTCCGCAGGATCACGACTTCACGATCTCAGGCAGCAGGATTCCGATCGGCTGGAAGCCATACAGAAGTTTGCGAAGAAGAAAACACGTCGAACAGCGGAAACACAACCGGTCGTATGACCGAAGACTTGACCACTCTGGAGATCAATCTTCTGGACCGTCGTTTCGGCATCGTAGATAAACTCGGCGAAGGCGGGTTTGGTGCGGTTTTCGAAGCCGTCGATCTGGACAAGCAGGAGGAGTTAGATGAAGCTGACGAAGTCGATCTCGACGCGGAGGAGCAATCCCGCGTTGCGCTGAAAGTGGTGAAGCCGCGTAACTTATGGGAGTTCCATGTCTTGCGGCGCATCCATCGGACTCTGCCTTCTGCGCTGCGAAACTCGATTATCACTCCGCAGGCTCTGTACGCCTTCCGGGACGAGAGTTACCTCGTGCTCGAGCTACGCAAGCAGGGAACTCTCTTGGACGTTGTCAATCGTGCAGCACAGAACGGCATGACCCAGCAGGGTGGCTGTCTCGACGAGCTTCTCGTCATATTCTTTGCCATCGAGCTCATGCGCCTTCTGGAGGGCCTGCACCGGGCCGGTTCATTCACGGCGATGTCAAGATCGACAATTGCCTCCTGCGCCTCGAAGATGGGCCCCGTGGGCCCTCCGGGTTGGCGAGCATATATCAGCCTTCGGGCGAGGGTGATTGGTGCTACAAAGGCATCAAGATGATCGACTTCGGGCGCACTATCGACACACGTCTCTTCCCTGCCGGACAGCAGTACCTCGCAGAATGGCCGACAGACGCGAGGGACTGTCTGGAGATCCGGGAGGGCCGACCGTGGACGTTCCAGACGGACTACTTCGGACTCGCCGGGATCATCTACTGCATGCTGTATGGCAAGTACATCGAGGCATCCTCCGTGAGCCTCGTGCCGGGAACGGAGGATCGATACAAGCTGGCAACACCGATGAAGCGATACTGGCAGGGCGACCTCTGGACGCGACTTTTCGACCTTCTGCTCAATCCTTGCCTGGCGCGGGATGACGGGCAACTGCCGGTTTGCGACGAGCTCGCAGGACTTAGGGTAGAGATGGAGAACTGGCTGCAAGTCAATTGCAACCGAGCCACGAACACTTTGAAGGGGTTGCTGAAGAAACTGAGCGTGGTGGCGCTCCGTGGGTAGACGAAGCCGACTATCAATATGTACTCCATGCCCTGTACTACCTCTTGTTTATGCCCATGTAGCCTTACGAGCACTCATACTTGCCATCATTCGATCTTCTAATTCATATGCCCCTCGTGCTTTTTTATTGTTTTGCATTGCATCACAACAAATTGCAGCGAACAACATGACATGACAGCCAGACGACAACACTGGACCGCAGCGATAGTACACACAGGGCCATACCTCGCTCGCGTCACAGAGCACCTGAGGCTCCTCCGTATCCATATACTCCGCAGCAGTGCACACCAAGGCAGCAGTATGGACAGACGACACAAACCAGCTTGGGACCACGAGCTCAGGCGTGGCCGCCCATGGGCACAGGCGGAGCCTGCGAGGGGTCGTACGAGTGAGGGGGTCCGGGGGGAGGCATCAACATCGGGTAGGGCACAGCATGTTGTACTGTCCGGGGGCTTGAGTCGGACGAGAAGTCTACCAAATAATAGGAATACGTACGCTGTGGGCTTTGCTGGTAGTATGGGTGAGCGTGAGATGGGATAGGGGTAGGGGGCATAGATGGGCGATGGCCGGCGCCGTTAGGCGGGACTGGGTAACCAGGCGGCGGGGCCTGCTGCATGTAGGCTTGTGGAGCTGCAATGCGGCGTAAACATCAATCTCCGCGCGACAGTAAGGCACAACGTACGAGGCATTGTCCCATGGGCGCCAGGGTACATCGCTGGAACAATATCCTGTCACGATGCAACACGTCCTGGACAAGAGTTCTCACCATTCGGGGGCATATGTGGGTAAGGCATATGCTGCATGAACGGCGGTCCAGCAGGAATTATGCACCAGGGGGAGGCGGAGCCATCCCTGGCATCATCGGCTGGCCATACTATCACACAATCACACAACGTAAGCGAACCAAGCCTGTGCACGAACCACGCCCACTATCGACGACATACCTGAGCAGGGTAGTAAGGAGGGTAAGCATAGACATATCCCGCGCGGCGGCCTGCTGGGCCGCGTCTTCTGGCGGCTCGTACGGCGGCGGGGGCTGCATCGAGGGAGGGGGAGGGTGTTGCATCGGCGGGGACTGCTGCTGGGCTGGGGTAGTGGCGGGAACATCAGCATGTAGCGCTTGCCCGAATAGGGCCACGTCGCGCCTGTGCAAGCGCCGTCAGTATACACGCCCTCCGTCAATGCAAGGACGCATACGCACCAACTTGATTCGGCTCCGTGACCTTGTGGTGCTTGAACGGGTTGAAGTCCTCCTTGATGTGCACCACCGCGCCCTTCTTGGGGAGCCGTGTCCCGAAGAACGGGTTCGGCGGGCCCTGCGTCGGGGACGCGGAGCTCTCCACGGCTTTCACCTTCGGCGACGCGGTCGACGACGAAGTGCCGTTCGGGTTTGGCGTACCACCCTACGAACACATGAGCCATCACCCATACATCACAAACACGCTACACTCACAGGCGGAGACACAGACTTCACAGTCGGCCTGAACGAAGACGCGTTCACATTCAGCCTGTTCACAGCCGTCGGGCTCAGCGGGCTGGCCACACCAGGCCTCTGGCCCGTCGGCGCCGCACTGGGCGTCGGCGCAGGCATCGCACTGTTGCGCTTGCCCTTGAACGGCGGGATCGACTGGATGACCATCGGTATCCTCCCCTTCGCCAGTTCCTTGCCCGTGGCGGGCTTCGCAGCCGAGCTCTTCCCGAGCGCAGCAGCGGACGGTTTCGCCGACCCAGGCGGGTGCGAGGGTGTGGCGGGCGACGCGAGTGCACGGCTTGCGGAAGGTGACGCGGTGAGCGTGGCGGAGGTGCTGATCGCGCGGGCTTGCGTGGACTCGGCATCCTTGCTGGACTTCTCCTTGATCTGGCGCTGCTTCTCCTCGTCCTTGGCCAGGATCGGGACCAAGTCTTCCGGGATGGGCTTGTTGAGCTATCGTGTGTCGCGTTAGCGCGTAGCGCGGACATGCGGAAGTGAAGAGAACGGACGACGCACCTTGAAGCTCTGGCTGAATTTTACCAGCTCCGCCATCCGCCTCTCCATCTCGTTCTTCATCAACGCCTGCTTCTTCTTCATCAGCCGGTCCTTCTCATTCGACACAAAGTCCCGGAACGCAGGCACCGCGTCCGCCGTCGGCTGCACCACACACCACGATCAACGACCTTCCATAACTCACGTAGAACGATTGACGCACCTTGTTCGCGCCAGGGGCGGGCGATCCTGTCTTCGGAGCGTCAGCGGCCTTCTTCTCCTTGTCAGCAGCCACCGCCGTCCCGTCCGGCGCGTTAACAGCCACACGCGGGACGTCCTTCACGCCCGCAGGCGTGGCCAGGCCCGCCTGCCCAGTCTTGCGCGCACCGGGAGGCACATACGCGTTCGCGCTGCGCACCACAGCACCATACCTATCGCAGAAACAACAGCAGGTCAACGATCAACATCACTCTATCCTTGCGAACAGCCATAACGCACTTCTCCTCCTCGTCCTTACCCTCCCCAACGAAATCCTTCGTGCGCTCCTCCGCGATATGCACGTTACTCGCCTGGCTCTGCAGAATCTCGTTCGCGATGCCTGCCGCCCAGCGTTCGCGCTCCTTGAAGTCGGGCGCGTTCCTGTCCAGCTTCGTCGTGTACAGGTCCTCGTCGAAGTTCGCCTTCACGCCGAACAGCCGCTCGTTCACCTCAAACTGGTTCCACGCGCCGCCGTTCGCCGCCCCAGGGCCGAACGTCTGGTCGTCCCGCGTCCCCCCGTTCGACGTGGGTGCTGGCGCGCCCGACGCCGCAGACGCTGCGGCTGCCTCGTCCGCTGGCTGCCAGGCTTGGAGCTCGCGTTCTCGACGCCCGGCGGTTTTGGTTATGTCGGTGTCGGTCTTGAAACCTGCGCAGAAGTTGAGTCAATCGATGTTGAACCATAGGACAGCAGAGAGTGCCAACGGTGCGCTGATACGCCTAAGCGAGATGCGCCAGAAGACTGGTAGAGGTGGACAAGCGCCAGATGGCGTAGTCCAATCGCTTGTATGCGTGCATACCGCTTCGGTTTCGCAATGCAACTTATCGCATCGCGAGACACGGCTTACTGCAGGCCTGGACGCCAGCCCACGGACATCGGATTGAGACATCCAGCACTACGATACGACTGCTCGTGGCCGATTCGCCAAGAGAGGACCTCGTCACGGCGGATAATCCGGTCCTCCCAGTTAACAAACAATAGGCGGAACACTCACTGTCACCATTGGCGCCATTGGTTGTCGGCGGCTTTGCATCCGCAGGCCCGCTGCTCCACTGGTCAATGTTGGTGCTTGCAATAAAAAGTATGTCGCGCAAGGGCGCGCCGGGGTTCGAAATCTCTTTCACGTCGCGCAGGGTGACGCCGGTTGTGTCGCCCTCGCCGCTTGTTGAAGCGACGGAACCCTCGTAGCGCACGTGGGTCTTCGTGGTCAGGGTGATGGTAGTTCCCTGCGTCATCGACATCGACGGATCAGGATCGTGCGCGAGTGTGTGTTCGTGGTCGACATTCCACGGGTTATCCGGATAGGACGGGTGAGCGTACGCAGAGGACAATGTAAGTCAGTGACGGGTTGAAAGGTAGCTGTATGAGAACGCACAACGAGGCCAGAAAGTTGAGAAAGGATGCGGTCCTGCGGGGGTCGGGTTGCGTCCGCGGGGGCGGAGTGTTGCTCGCGCCGTTCGGCTGGCCCAAAGGCGGGAAGGCGCCAGGCTCGCGGCGGGTGCTCCGTTGGGAAGACGAGCGTTGGCGGTGTTCGGAGAGAAGGTTGGGGAAGCGCGTGAGTTTGACCATGCCGGTGCCCGACTGGATGGACGTCAGCGTATGTTCAGTCGCGGTCGGTGGGTCGCAGTCGCGGCGGCGGAGTTGCTGGGTATGGTACTCACCGAGCAGCGGGCTCTGGCACGCCCCCTTTGCGCTGGGGCTTGGGCTGCCTCGCTGTTGTGGCCATCAAGGACTCGGGGTTGGAAAGCCGGAGACGAGCTGGGGCGGACGGGATGGGAGGATGGACACGGGACGAGAAGAGAAGGGCAGCGAGAGGAAAGGAAGGGCAAACACAGAACGAAAATCGCAGATATGCAGTCCGGGCAAGAGAATGGATAAGACCAGCCGGAGCTGCTAAGCGGAGATGGGCGAGCTAGGACAGTCGCAAGGACGGGGGAGCGTCGAGGTCGAGGAAGTAGACCCGCCAAATAGCCCACCGCCATCGCCACTCCCTCCGAGGACCCCGACACACTCTGTCTACCGCCCCTCCCATTCCCTCCTCCGTCCGTCCCTTATCCTCTGTCTCTCGCATCTTCACGTCCGTATGCATTCCCTCTCACTACGAAAGTCTATTCCCGACACAGCAGCCCAGCGACGGCACCACATGCGCGAGAGGGGGTGGCCCGTGCTCGGGGTGGCCGGGGCCCTGGCGGGGGCGTGTCCAAGTTCTGGACATGTTGCGCTCTTGCTCGTCTTCCTCCGCGAACAGCAACCCGGCCATCAGCGCGACTTCGCCTCTTCCGTCTCTCCAGTCCCTACCACGCTTTGCTTCCGCAAACAGCGGCGCGCGCATCCCCCTCGCCCGCATTGCAGGGCGTACCACACGTACGCGGGACAATCGCTTCAGCTACAGGTTTCAAACCGGGTGGCCAAGCCAGTGTATGATAGACAGCTGGGGCTGAGAACGGAGCGATGCAAGTCGCTGTTTCGGACTGCAGAGGGACAGCAATATTACAAACTTCCACTGTTCAACAATTGCTCAGGGCACCGCACACTCAGCGGCCCCCATGATGTGGTCTGTCTTCCGTTGCGAGTCGCCCGTTGTACCACTCGTTCAAATTTGAAAGCCAATGACCAACGTTTAACTTTGCATGGCACGGTATCTACATACATAGCATCTCGCGATCGGCAGCAAGTAGACAAACCCTTGGCGTCGCGGTGTAGATCATCGGACCAAGCCAAAAGGATCATTGCCGCAATGATACAGTGGTCGTTTAACGATTCTGTTCGATGTTTGCATGAATCAACACCCTCAGGAAGACTCCATGTCTGAAAACCCCAAGAATAAGTAGCCTCATGACAGGAAGACTCAATAGGAGCAAAGAACTCGCTTTACCTCTCAGTCGCGAATACCCGTGCTAGACAGCAACAGACCGAGACCTCATTGTGACCGACAACATATGCATTGTCAATTTAGACACTCATGACGGTACACTTTTTACATATTATGTAACCGGCATTCAATGCCACATACCATACTCCTCCATTCATGCTCACAACGAGAAGTCTTTCCCCCACACCTACCTCCCCGTCCCACCCCCACTCCCACTCCCCATACCCGCACCCACCCCCGTCCCCTTAGCCACCTCCCTCCCCAGCCCCACCAAACACGCCCCCTCTACCGTCGTCTCCCACAGCTCGACCCGCGCCCTCTCCCGCGCCCTCTCCAAGTCCCTCCGCATCGCCTTCGCGCGCTGCAACACCTCCGCGCGCGTCAGCCGGCTCGTGCTCGTGCCCGCCGACTTCAGGCTGAGCAGCGAGTTCAGCGCATTGAGCGGCGACGGCGATGCGCTGGAATGCGAGGCCGAGACGCCAGGAGGCGGATGAAGCGTGGAAGGCCCAGCGGTGGGTTGTGTCAGGTCCGCGGGCTGGAAGGCCGGTGGGACACTATGGGACGGTAGACCGCTGCCATTCAGTCCCGTCAGCGCTGGTCCAACTGTAAATGACCCCTGTGACGCATGGCCGGAGACCAGGCCGTCGTTTCTGGCCTGTGGTTGAGTAGGCAGGAATGCCGGACCGTCATTATGCAATTGCGAGAAATCCGCCGACGGCGGAGTGAACTCGGTGTTCGAGTTTTGCCCCTGAGGTCTGCCCCCAACATCGACCGAAGGCGAAACGGATGCAGGGACGGTCGCGTCCGGGGCCCACACTTCTTGCACGCGGTCTTGAGCGACAACAGGGAAGCTCCCAGTGACACCGACAGAGTCCACGTCCATCATGTCGTCTCCGCCGTCCTTTCCACCACCCGCGTTCGGCACCATTGCGGGCCCACACGCCTCCTCCAGCACCTTCTCAAACTCCCTCATCTCCTCCGCCCCAACGACTATCCTTTCGCCATTCGCATCCGTGACACCCAACCCAACACCACCCAGTCCCTCAGGTCCACCGCCGCCAACGACGCCAGGCTCACCAAATGCCCACGCCCACTCCGGCGTCGCCGGGCTCTGCTCCGCGTCCGCGAGCGACGCAGTCGACGCGAGCGGTGACCCTATTAGGCTCGGCGTCGCGCTCGGCCCAGGGACCGTAGGCGAGAGGTAGTTCGGGTTCGGATTCTGGGCGTTATGAGTCTGAACGGACAGTGCGCTTTGGGGAGGATTCGAAGAAGACGAAGGAGCAGTGTGGATGTTGCTGTTTGAGACTGTGCATGAGGTGTATCGGGGAACACGGGCGCGTCGAAGAGGGCGGGGTCGAGGAAGAAATCAGGGAAGGAATCCAGGCCTTGTCCATGAACCAAGGCATCAAAGGGTTGCCAGCCGTAGACGCGGACCCATCTACGGGTACATCAGCAGCGAAGTCGTCCAGGACGGTCCTCAAATCCGGGAGAGCAGCGGGTCATTGGGATCCCCAGGCGGGATAGACTCGAGAAGCGCCAACCAGTCGTCAAAGTACTGGTTATTGTTGATGCCTTCTACGGGGCCTAGCGAGTCGACGTCCATACCAGATTAGCTTGAGCGATAGTAATGGCGGGCAGAGGGAGCATACCTTGAGCAGACGATCCCGAGGCTATATCTTGAGTGGGTTGCGGAAGCTCCGCTTCTACTTGACCTTGCTCCTGGGCCGTAGGCGGCGTGCTCGCCAACATTGATGCCAGCCATTGGTTGATTGACGAATCCGACTCTGGAGGCGCCGGAGGGAGCGATTGTAACGGAGGCTCGCTCATCGCCTGCCTCGACCCAGAGTCTACCTGGAAACTCGGTCCAGCGCCCGAAGCCGGAGGGCCAACACCAGCACTAGGCGCAACGCTCCGCGCCCTCGCCTGCAGCAGCCCATCCTCCAGCCCCAAGAACCTCTCCTTGGAATGCCCGCCAACGCGTCCCTGCCACCCCCGTTCGTCCATCCACTTCCGCTTCCTTGCGCGCTCCTGCTCCTGCAGGTACCCCGTCACCGCCGCCTTCTTCGCAGCGCCGCGCACCAAGCCGACCAAGTCCCTCACCAGTCGATGTGCACGCTCCTTCGCCCATGTTGACTGATAGTCTGCTGGGCCCTGCCCGTCCTGAAAGGGATACGGCACGTCCCAGTCGCTCGCGCCCGCTGGTACGGAGTTGAGTTTGCGCCGCTTCGGAGGTGGAGGGGCAGATGGGCTGGTACGTTCCCAGCCGGTGCGTCTGGGGAACGCTGGCGGAGCGGCCGCGGCCGTGATGGTACCTGTCAGGAGGCGGACGAGAGACTCGACCAGCGGGAGGACGCTGCCTTGCTGAGCAAGTGTCTGGAGGATTTCTGGGCCAGGGACTGCAGGTAGAGACGGGGCCGCGCCGTCTGCGATAGGATAGCGACCGATGGACCGTGGTTGGTCGCCGTCGTCCTCGTCAAGTACGATGGGGTTGCCTGCCGTTGTTCCCGGCTGCGGGGCAAGCTGAGATGGGTTAACGCCACCAACGAGCCCCGCGACGCCTAAGAGGGCTTGCTGATTCCGCAGGAAGTTTGGCGGCAATGGTTCGTCCGGCGACGGGATAGAGATAGGTGGCGCGGCAAGCCGGGGAGTAGACGAACGAGAGGCAGAGTCACCTCTTGCCTTTTCTTTTCCCTTTTTTGACTTGCGCTGCACGGACGAAGCGCGGGAAGCACTCGCAGACACCCCTCCTCCGGGCGCAACGTGTCCAACAGCAGGCCGCGTACGTACCGGCTGTGCGCCAGGCTGCCCCACCCGCTGCATCCTCAGCGGGGGTGCGACGTTCGTAGCTCGGTCATTGACACTCAACGGCGATGACGCTGACGGATGGACTGATGCTTCAGCGACAAGATGGGAACCAGGAAGTGCAAGGGTCCCCACGTTTTGTGCAGAGCCTGCCGCACCCGGCAGGGCTAGAGGAGATGGCGACCTACCTCTCACGCGCGGCGAGGGCGGGGGCGAGCCGAAGAGCGAGTCCGACTCTGCATTGTGATCGAGGTTCTGGTTCATGTGCGATGTACAATCGGCTTGCATAGCACTTGTGTTGAATATGCGTGTCAACGAGAATTCGCTGACGCTTTAGGAGGCGAGTACCTTCAGGATAGAGTGCCGTGTTGATTGACAGAAAGTATTGTGTGTAGAACAGAATTATTGCTTTTAGTGTTGCAGGATAACGGACGCGATGACTGCGATTCGAAGAGGTGTCAAGTTACGTGGATGGAGAAAGTCGGTGCAATGTTACACAGACCTCATGCAGGGGTATAGAACAGTTCGGAAAATATGCAGCTTGCAGACTTGCACCCAGCTTGGTGGGATGATGGCGAGATGACGGTGGTCGATGAGGAAGATGGACAAGAGCAAAAAGCGAGGGCGTCTGTTCAGTGAGCCGGATGAAGCGAAACGTCACTCCCATATTTGGCAGGTCCTGTTGACGGCCCGAATGCATGCGGCGACACCGTAACTCCAGGAGGGGAGATCTATTACATTCCAGGCGGATGTGTAATGACAAGCAGAGAGAGATACGATGTGTACATTAGAGCTATGAAGACTTCGGGGTGTCCTCTGATGTGGGCTTCCTGTCCTCAACTCTCGGCGCCATCTCATACCCAGCAAATCCTTGGGATGCCTGTACGACATCATCAGGGGCATCGGGCTCAAGATGACCATGAGCATTCCTCCTCGCACTAAGTGATGCGTTAGCATGGACCGTATAGAAAAAATGATTGAAGTAGTACCGGAAGAACGTGTATGACAACACCACGTCGTCGAGATTCCTGCAAGTCGGATCCTCAAGGACATCTTTGTCAATGAAGAAGAGTAGAGGCATGTCCACTTCCTCGCCCGCCAGCAATTTTTGTTCGTCAAAACAGAAGCATTCTACCTTGCCGAAGTAGGGCGCAATCTAAGCAGTGGTCCTCAGTCATGGATGTCAACACAGCGACGTGGCACGCACCCTGTCCGGTGTTACGTTATAGGTAGCAATGCCGATGATGTCCTGACTTGATTTGTTCTTTGCCTTGTAGAAGGCGAGACTAGTCTCACCCGGGAGAACGCTCACAAACCTTTGCGACGGAGTGAACGACCAAGGCAGCGAGTCCGACGTATCCGCATTGAAGTGCACCTTGATGCGCCTTGCATTCTCGACAGGTACCAGTCGTTCCGCCTCAAATTTGCCCATCCCGACCTTCGGTGTCCCAGCAAACCCTGTGGCTGCGCAGAACATCCGGTAGAGCGGCACCGCAGCGTAAGTTACACCAACGCCCACTACTATCTGGTAAGGATCAGCGAATGCCCGGATTGTGCTGCCGCGAGAATGAGACGAAAGACATACCACGGCGGCAGTGTACATAAGCAAACTACGATTCCGTGCTGCATACATCTGCTGCCGAGATGCGCGGTGGGCCGGCTTAGGAGGCGGCGGCGCAGCCTTGGGAGGAGGAGTCTCCGTCGACAGTGTGCGCCATGTCGACTTTGGTGTGCGAGGCCATACTATCCGGTCTCGAGCAAGTGGGTGGCTGTTCTGCATGACGGAAAGGTCTGTATTCTGAGAGACCTGTTCTGTTCGTCGTCAACGTGCCGTCCTGTTCGTCTCGTTGTACGTTGCGCTCACCGTTGCTGTGCATAGACGCGAAGTGTTGACGAGTGACGGCCGCAAGAAGGCGGTCCGGAGACAGTTCATCGCAGGCGGTGGCAACGAGGTCCGCTCGCGCTCGTGTGCTTGAGCGTCGACTTGGCGCCCTGCACTCTGCCGCCTCTCTCCTGACGGTCAACGCGGGACAGCCCGGCCCACTTCCCTTCCGCCGCATTCAATCGCACAGGCGTGTCGCCGACGAGAATAGTCGGCCACATCAATCTCGATTCGCCCGGGCTCGAGAACGGGACAACGGAACATGTCTGCAGAAGCATCCTCCTCCAAGGGCGGTAACGCGAAGCGTCCCGCTGCAGCTTCCTCTGCAGGTACAGATGACATCGAGAAGCTCCTCAGCAGGGAGGCGACCGCCTTCCAGCGCGAGATAGAGGTTGAGCGGATTCTCAAGGCCTTCAAGCTCAAGTACGCCCTTGCCCGCCAATCCTAGTGGTGACCTGACTTCTGACGCTATCCCCATTCGCCGAAAATAGCCCATACGAGATACTAGACTTACAGCAAGACGCCTCAGCGGACGACATCAAGAAGAAGTATCGACAGCTCTCGCTCTGTGAGCCTACCCCTCCCGGCCCAGCCGTGTTGTCCTGAATGTGCATATTGATTGGGCATTGTGTACGTTGTTTGACACATAGTCATCCATCCTGACAAGAATCCCCACGCTCGCGCACCAGATGCATTCGAACTGCTCAAGCAGGTCAGTCTCTACCTCTACTCCTCATGTGCATGCCCAGTTTCTCACTTCCATTTGTCAATACATGCCCCTTCGGGTCTCATTCCTCGACTGTCCTTTGATTTGTACACAGGCCGAGTCTCAACTCTCCGATAAACCGAAACGCGAAGAGATTGATGCAGTCCTTAACCAGGCTCGCATCATGCTGCTCAAGGGCTTGCAGCTCCCTACCACAACACAGGCTAACGACCCCAAACTAAAAGGGTTGAACCCTCCGTGGCAGCAACAATTCTTGGCACAGGCAAAGGAACTTTTGATCGAGGAAGAGGTCCGGCGGAGGAAGTAAGTCACTCATGCATGTTCCCCCCTCGCAGACGCTTTACTAACATACTTGTCGTCGTTAGGGCAATCAAGATGAACCTGGCGAATGAGGGTCTTGAGGCAAAGAAGAAGGAAGATGAAGTCAGCGCTAAGAAGCGCAAGGCAGAGGACGACGCGAGATGGGAAGGTGCGACCTCCGCCTGTTGCTTCTTTTCGACCCGCTCATCGGTTTTGAACGACAGACACACGTGAACAGCGAGTGGGCAACTGGCGGTCGTTCGCGCAGGGCAAATCTAAGAAAAAGAAGCAGAAAGTCGCCATCCTCGGGTGAGCTTCTCGCATAGATATGTCTGCTCGCGTGCCACAGGAACGCTGTATACAAGGGGCCTTGCCTCGACCGAGATGTATCCCACCGCTCTCCGCATTGTAGTATCTGCATACTGTATCATATGTACATAAGATGTCAATAGAACCCTCGGCCATGAACCTGCTGACACAGACAAGAAGTAGGAATCATATACAAGGGTATCGGTACGTCCCACAGCACACTCACGACACAGCCGCAACCGGGCGTTCCCGCTGCATCAGCTCACCGCTAGTCCGACAACTCGATGATGTCCCCCGGATCCTGACTTGGAAGCGGCCTATTCACGCGCCTCCTGACATGACGCGTCGGAGCGGGTATGTTCTCCTTATCGTCGGTGTCAGAGTCTTCTATGGTGATAACTTCCGACGCGATCACCTCAGCCCCCGCACTCCTCTGAGTCTCCGGCCGGCTGCTCCCCGCTCTCCCTCGCGTAGAGCCCGATCCCCGGATCGTCGTACTTCCACCCTCAGAGCCAGACCGAGGGTTAGAGGGCGGCCCTGGGAAGGGCCCACTGGACGCAACGGCCGTCCTCGACGTAGATGCTGTCGCCACCACCGTCCTCCCGCTCGATGCCGTCTGAGGCAGCGCCGAGTCAGCGCGATTCTTCGCGCCCTGCGTCTGCGACTGCATCGCGAGCTCCTCCCTCTCCACACGATCCGCCAGCTCCAGGATCGCCTCGTCGTTGAAGTAGTCCTCGTCGCCCATGTCGAAGTCCGAGCTCGAGCCGTTCGCTGCGGGCACCGCAGGCTCGCGCGCCCCCGCCACTTGCCAGTCCATGTTCTCGTCCTCGTCCTCATCGCTGTCCGGGACGAAAATGGGCGGCCGCCCGTTCGGCGAGAGGATCCGTTCGCGTGCGAGGGCCGCAGAGGGGTTGGACGCTCCCGGGCCCGCGTTGGCGAAGTAGTGCGAGCGGGTGTTAGGCGGCGTAGGAGCTCGGGCGGCCCGTGCGGGTGGCTCTGGCGAAGGGGTACGGTTCGCTCGACTGGGGACTTTACGTCGTCGGGGTTGGCCGGCATCGTCGTCGTGGTATGAGCCAGATGGCCCTGCTGCTACCGGAGAGGCGGGTGGCTCAGAGACATCGCGTAGGGGCGAGCGAACTGGGGTTACGCGTGCGCCTGGTGCTGCCTGGCGTTCTGGCGTGCGTGGAGGAGCGTGTGCGGGTGCCTGCGGGACTGCCGCCACGACTTGGGCTTGTGGCTCTGGCTCGTCGGTGCTGGATCGTGAGGCAGACTGTATGCGTGTCGTGAGTTTGCGAACCTACCGCGTGAAAAGATGGGTTGTAGACGTACCGCATTCGCTCCCGGAGAGCACGAGCGAAGTTCCGGTCTTGAAACGCTTCGAGGTCGGCGACGTGGTGGCCCTTCATGATCACACACTTGGGCTCGAGGAAGGCGATGCCTCTCCGGACGGGAACGTTTTTGAGTATCATCTACTGAGCATGGGTCACATTATGAACAAAGCAACTTCAAAGAGAGGGCACAATGGCCTACGGCTTGTCGAGCCGGGAAGGAAAAGACCAGTGTAGGTTGGGGCGTGGATTGGGCGTGCATCTAACGCAGAACCAAATAGGGAGGCTACCGCTCACCTTAAGGCCGAGCCTGCTCTCTCCGAGCTTGAAATCTGGCAAGCGACGGTGTTCCACAGCAGGCAGGGTGATCGAGCCGTCTGTGAGCTCGAAACGAAGCATTGAACGCGGGTAAGATGGGATAGGCCCTTCGTCCTCGTCGTCCTCTTCCCCCGCGAGACCCGCCATATCCGCACGCTCGAGCTTCGCTTGCCGGACGCTCATCAACGAAAACGCGCTCTGTCCGATCTCCATTATGCTAAGGACTTGCACGAGAATAGGTCCATGTATCGTCGTCTCCTTAGTGTCAGGTGAGATCTGGGGTAGCCCTGTTCCGGGCACCATGGAATCCCTGAGATCGGATTCCAGCAGCTGTATGTCCACATTGTGTATGATTTGGTCCATGTGCGTCACTGGCTCGTAGTTGTATTCCTCTCTGACCCAGTTATAGCAGTCGTTGAGCCATTCCTTACAAACCTGTCATGGATTGAGTGCATAACAAAGATATAACGACGCACTTGGTCCACCCTCGGACGGGGATAAGCACGCTGCAACCATTGTGTAACCTGAGGCGGGGGAGCCATAGCACGGTGAGATAGTAGTCGCGTTCTCCAGTTCCGAGAGTCTAGATGCCTGCGTTCAGGAGTGTCTGTTCCTAGAGAGATCAAGGGTCGTGTGCAAGCGAGAACACGCGTTTGTGGCGAGAGACGCGTTCCATTGGGCGCGTACGCGCCCCACGTGAGCTATATTCGAATTCCTGTACTGGCAGTACTACGACTCTGGCGGCGCCGAGACATAAGGCCTTAAGGCCTTAAGCTTTAAGCTTTATAGGCCGAGGAGAAAGCAGGGAGAAAGGGTATATTGATCTGAATCATATCGAATGCGGTACTGTGTCTGGAGTTCGGTCACACCTGTGGATTGGTTTTCTTCGCTGTAGCCTGCAGGGTGCTGTCACTGAGACCACCAGTAGGCTTTGGTCTACGATTCAGTGACCCGTTGAAAGGCCTACGTGAAGGGTCGTATGCGCAGAGATGCCGATGCTTACTCTCGCCAGCAGAAACCCCACTAAATTGGGAATATGGTGTCGCTGGGGCTTAAGACAGGCATACTATACCTGTGTGCCGGCGAGTGAACTTGAACATGACAGCCTTCCAGTCGGACGCCGGTATGACAACAGCGACTCCATGATCGGGGCGAAGAACTGAAGTCTAGGCGAGGGGGTGCGGTACAAATTGTGACTGTACTGAGGTTGATTTTGCCTCGTTGACCACTATCAAGGTATCATGTAAAGGTTGCATCATTTTGTCGCCGTCGCCGATTTCAGGCTGTTGTAGATCAGCGGGTCCAGCATTAGATTATGTATTGAATACTGATATACCATCCATCCTGAGATAAGCAGAAACGACAGAAGAGCAATGAGATGTGGCGCAGTGGACCAGAGAACAACCTAGGGTGCAAAATCGTTCTTTACCCAGACTTGCACCGCCCCGGGAAGGCAGGTGAAGGTGCCCCATCCGTCCGCAGACACATCAACGCTCCCGGTGCCAATCATCGAGTTGAACGTGCTGGGCCCGACGTTCTGTCCAATCCATCGGCATTGATGCGCAGGTCACCACTAAGAAACACGTACCGTTCCGACGTTCATCCGTACACTGTGAATCACACCCTGGGCACTGAATAGAAACGTCAGAGTTACCGTAGCGAAGCAAAGAAGACGTGACCGTACCCATGGCCTTGATCGGCATTGCTGACGAGGACCGCGCACCCTCCATGTTGAGCGTCACCGGAACGTACGAAGCCTATGCAGTTCCGCGAATGGAAGTAGTCGGTGCGATCGCCGTAGGCATACAGCTTTCGTGCCTTCATGAACACTTGCAGGGCATTCGCAACACGAGCGTCGTAGCACTCTTCATTGGGATAGAGATCGCCGTAGAAAACACATCTATGTGATTGCGTCGGAGGGGCACGATGGGCCTGGAGTATGACGACTCACGGGTGACCTTCACCGCGGAGAAGGACTAGAGCGTAGGCCACAATCTTGAAGTTGGCACCGACCTGCCCAGCCGCAGTGAGTCTCTCCAGTCGTAGTGCCGTGACGCATACTGAACCTACCCAACTCTCCAGGCTTTGACCGATTTGCTAGCAAGGAAGAATTAGGGTGCAATGTCGGCTGAGCCTTCCCCACTTACGGTGCTGGACATTGCTATCAGATCACGGCTCGAATGGCAGATATAAGAGAAGTACACACTCGTGATTGTCGACGAATGTGATAGCATCTCCAGGTCTAAACTTCACAACGGTATCGTTGAATATGGTCCTCAAATCATATCGTGCACCAGCCTTGCTCGCTCGATAGAAATTGTGGTGCAGCGGAACGTCAAAGAACGTCACCTGCATGAGGTGAACTCGTGTCCGAGCGACCAAGTGCCAAGCATAGCTTACCAGCCCTTGGAAAACATAGATATAGGGCTTGATTAGCTTCACGCTTTCAACTGGCATGAGCATGGCTTCGGATAATGGAAGCGGAGCCTCACTTCGCAGACCAGTACTCCGCAACCGCGAAAACATCTTCCCTCCCCGTCGCTCTTCGTACATGCTTGAGCTACGTCGGAACCATATGTTCAATGCTAGACGCAACGCAAAGTGAGTGACCTACGAAGTCAAGTAGAAAGTATCGATCTATGTGCTTGATAGCGTCTAAGCGGAATCCCGCACCGCCGGTCGTCTGGTGCCCTATGAGCACATAATGCGTAGATCGTAGTGTTTTGGTACCTTGAGCACCCATTCTCCCCATGCGAAGATATCTTGCCGAACATCCGGATGACGATGGTCAATCTACTCGTTTGGTAGGTCAATGGCTGCTGTGAGGAATTGGCGTACGAACATCGGCTCCGAGTAGGTAGTCATAGTTGCCAAGTTCACTGTCGACGAACTTGGACCAGCCCTTGTGTGACCCACCGACGATACGATAGACCCCCTTGAGCCGTTTCTTGTGATCCCAATCCAAGCCTGTGTCGTTTCGGAATGGAAAGGTAACATCACTGGAACAGAAAGTAGAGACGTACCAGTGAAGTGCTCTTGCGTCCATTTGAACGTACTATACTACGAGTCGTTCAGCATCCTTCTCAAAGGGAATGGAAAAGTGTTACATGATTTTTCCTCCCAGGGAAGTCAAACGCAGTCCAGCCCTGTATTCCGAGAGGTCTGGGTATCGCTGAAAGGACGGCATGCACTTCCAGCAACACACCTCGATCTCCCTCGGAGGCGTCAAGTCTCTGAGACGGTTCTGAGGATCCACGGGCACTGCTTCAAATGTCTCTGTTCTGTCCGCACCAATCTTGTGCTATTGTAGCAACCATTACACAGTGAGAGCTCGCGCCGATCATTCGCTGAGAGGCTACGTACATTCAAAATGGCATCGATCAGGACGTCAATGCCGTGGGCCTTCGCTACCTCAATGGCATGCACGAGCTGGTCTTTGGTACCCCATCTGGTAGAGACAACGCCCTTCTGGTCGAATTCACCTAAGTCCCACTGGAAGTCTTATTGAATGGTCGGTGAAGATCAAAACGTCCACATACCAGGTCATAGGCATCGTAGCCTTGGCCTGTCTACTCGATACCTCATCAAATCTCGAAGGGGTAAGCAGTACAAAGCCCTGTTACCTCATTCATTGCCTTGTTGGGCGGCGGAAGCCAGACCTGAGTGACGCCGAGGTCGGCCAGCCTCGGGACTTCAGTCTCGAAGTGCTGCCACCAACTCATGTTGGGATGCTTGCTGTCCCAAGTAAAGAATTGAATCTAACAGACTGTTATGAGCGACCAGTTCACTTCTAGACCTCCTCGACACGTACCATCAAACCATTGTCTGGAGTACTTCTATGACTTAACCGCATGCGCTCTAATGCGGGACGAGGGTATCCTCTCAGGCGCGTGAGCACCCAGTCTATCAGCGAGCCATTTTGGCCCATGTCAGGTAGTGTAACAAGCGGAATGGGTGCCAGGAGGGGATGACCGTTGTCCGAGTCTAAGTTGAGCTGTGCGCTGACCGAGGCTGACCGGCGCAGCTGAAGGCGCGAACGGCATGGAGGGCGCGTTTCGGGCCGTTGGCGACGCGACGCGTCTAGTCACATGATCGAATGTTCCCACGAACCGCCAATAAATTTCCACCGCGCCTCGAAGTGTTTTCAACATTGCGACCACCACTGCACGCTCTCGCTTTCCGTCGGTATTCTTCTGGCTTTCAAGCGCGGGTCGATTGCTTTCTAGTTCGTGGTGGTCCGAGTGAAAGAGCCTGTTTAATCGCTCTGATGGCACTGTTTCCATGTCATACGGAGTTTCATGCTTTGGCGACATATAATTCACCCCATCTCTCCTTGTCCTCCATTTGTATAGTACGATCTGTGATATCTTAGCGAATGCTATTGCTCTAGCTTCTGATGCTCGTTCACTCTGCTCGCCGGATGTCCTCCTCATCACTGGTTTGCTGTGCATTCTCTTACTCTTGGCATTCTCGCCGCATTGGCTAGGCGGAATGACTCAATGGTGCGCTGGCACTGCCAGGTATGAAGCTTTGAAGCTCGAGGACTGCAGCATTAATGCATGACTACTCGAACCCGGCTATTACCCACGCATGTGCCGTCCAAATGAGCCTAACGTAAGATTATTCCACTCGCTGCTCAGATCTTTAGGTGGCCGAATCATACTAACAACGGAGCTAGGCACACTTGAGGCACACAGAGCGGACTCAAAATCGATAGTAGCAGAGTGCACTCGCAGCAGGTCGTCTGTGGCTTGTCCAGACTTATGTAGCACTTGCACTTGACCGGCGTTCAAAGGTTCAACGTTGCAACGTTGTGGCACCGTCCTACTCGGGATATCCGAGTCGGTGCCGAGCGACTCGAGCGACTAGCCATCACTATGCAAGCCTCAATGCATAGGTCCCAGTCGATGGAGAGGCATAGAGCATCACATGTGAGCACGTCCGAGTCTACTTCATATTCGCACCAGTGCTCATCGTTGCCAACACACAGTGACAGGGGAGTTACCCGGATACAAGTTTGCACGCCGACAACACACTCGATCATGATTGTCCATGCTCCCATCATCAGGCATATCGGTAAGAAGAGCCGAAGGCAAGCCTGAAGAGGGATTCAGAGCACTCAAATTGTTGTCTGTGTGATCAGAGGCATGGATTCACGGTCATGCGACCGCAAGGGGTGGATCGCCCTTCCACCTCGACGGCAAATTTAAGGGCGGGTACGCCAAGACGAGGATCACTCCACATGAGGTCGAGGCGACTTCCGCCGTACGTTCCCTACGTTCTCTCTCGCCTCGCTTGTGCAAACTTGACACGTCTACTCAGGTCGGAGCTCTGTGGAAGTGCGGTCTGGACGACCAACACCGGAATTGGATGATCGCCAGGCAAATGCCTCGACACCACGTCCGCGTATGCGCGTGTGCGACACAACCCGCAGCAATGTTGGGCGCTGCTGGACCACGCCGTAGACGTCGCGACGGACGCAATCCTAAACATTTACCACCGCACTGGCTGGCTTCACAAAGATCCCGTTGTGACGAACGTCCTCTTCAACGACCAGGCCTCCCGAGCATATCTTATCGACTGGGGACGTGCGTCGAAACAGGCTCACGTGGTGAGTACAGCTTTCCGCACACATAGCGACCAGTTGACTGAATAGATTCTGCCGCGACGCTATGGTACACGTGAAGATGGGTAGCACTGTCAGAGCAGAAGTGACACACACGGTGTCGGGCTCCAGTCTTTCCCCCCCCCCCCCCCCCCCCCGCGGCCCCCGCGCGCCACCCTGCGCCGGGGCTTCCGTCCGTACAATACGTCCCCGCGCGTCATCCTCAGGCTGCGGCGAGCCGTCCATCCGTACAATACATCTCCGCGCGCCACCAGAGGCGTTCGTAGTCGCTGGAGCTCTGGAGGCTTCGGGGGATGCTGCCAGCCGCGCGACCGTTGTGGTATCGCCAGAAATTCCAGCCACAGCGTGCTTGTGTCATGTCACAGTGTGTGGCGCGAGTACTACAAGGCCTGTCGGACATTTAGGTTGGATATCCATGCTTGGGGACGTTGCAGTGCTCTTGACTCAGAATATAGGTGTTTTTACGGTCTGGCACTTTTACCCTCCCGCCGTCACTGCACGACGCTCTGAGAACGACGGTTTAGGGATTCGACGATGCACTTACAGCTCGTCCGACTGCGCTAGCGGCGACAGCAACATGTCCCACACGGCATGCGGCGCGGCCACTCCCCAACCATGACATTGATGAGGCCCGTCGCACGACAGCCTATCGAGAAACAACTCCTTTCGGCCGGTACTGATGCGTGATGACTGCATCGACCCGCGGCCGCTGCGCGAGGAGGGGGCCGCTGCGAAGCCCGGCGAGTTCGTCCGAGCTCGGACGCTGCCTTGCTTCTCTGAATCCTTGCTTGCGCGTGCCAAGCGCTGACCGGGACCGACCGCGATCTAAATTGCGATCAAGATCGCAATTTAGAGTTGAGCAAAACGGGATTCTCTCTCCTCTTCTCCTCCTCCTCCACCTCCTCTGTCGGAAGACACACCCGACCATGCGACTGGCTATGCTTCCATCATATCAGGAAATACCGGCAAGAACAGCCTAAGGTGTGATTCAGAGAACTCCAATCAGTGTGATCAAAGGCATGGTCTGACATGGTTTTACGACTTGAAGCATGCATGCGGCATGCCGAGTCGAAAGGGAGCATGGGGAAACGGGCGACCGAAAGGACGTCCTTGTGAGGCCTAGACCATCGGCATAGACCTCGACGATGGCTCACCGAGGTCTGCTCGTGCATCGTTGTCTATGATCTATGGACACGGGCTCGATGAACTTTGCCTTCACCAACACTACGAAACAAGCGATGGTATTCAACGCCAGCCGCCAATCAACGACAACAAAGCCAGAACGGAGTTGCAGATGAAAGTCAACGGGAAGTTACATAATGCATCATGATGCTGTCTTACGCGTACGTCGGCTTGCTATTCTCATCCGAGCCCAAAGACATTCGCTGCCCCTAGTACTTATTTCGAGCGTAAAGCTTCGGTGGCCAGGCGACTCATCATGAATGCTTGCCTATCAGTCGAGTCCTACGTGGCCGAGCTGCCGCCCTGGGCTGCGCTCTGCCAGTGATCTCTGGATGCGAAGACGCGCTCGATGTCCGGATGGCCCCGCTCGCGCAGCTTGCCTCCGTCGAGCATGTCCGAGTCTACCTCCGCGTGCGCCACGCGCTGAGGGCCGACCGCAATCGAAATTGCGATCAAGATCGCATCTTAGAGTTGAGCAACTCGGACACACTCGGCCATGATTGGCTATGCTTCCATCATATCGGCAAGAAGAGCACTACAACTATTGATGGTGCGATCAGAGCAAGATCAGGGACATGAATTCACGGTCATGCAGAACGCACGGTGACAGGCGGTGGATCACACTTCCAGCGACCCATAAAGAGGGCGCACGATGAACTGCAAATCGAGCTTGGCTGGTCCTCCTCCTCTAGTATTGCATTCGTCTTCAACTCTTCCCTTCTCTTTATCTTTATCTTCTCTATCCTCATCTTGAGTTTCGTTCGCATCGTTGACGATCATCTTTCCATGCGACTCTTTATTTCCTCGTTGATCGCCTTGTGTGTTACAGCATGGGCTGCACCGGTCGTCCAGGGCACGGTAAGCATGGAATAGACTGGCCAGAATATCGATTCAAGCGCTGACTGTTTGTATGAACAGTCCTTTGAGCTCCCAGTCCGCGACCTTTCGCGTGCTTCGTCGCATGGGCCACCGTCACGTACGTTCTGCTCGGTCATGCCCAAGCATCACTGCATGTTGACAGTTTAACCACTGCAGATGACCTGACACTGTGGGTCGATAAGAAGAACTTGAAGTTCAAAGTGCGGAAGAACGAAGAGCAAGGCGAGCACGGCGTCGTGTATAAAGTCGTCGCAGGCAAATATAAGGGCGGGTACGCCAAGGCGTTAATATCTGAACAAGAGATCCAGGCGACTGCCGCCGTACGTTCCTTACGCTCCCTCTCGCCTCTCTTGTGCAAAGTTAACACGTCTACTCAGGTCGGTGCTCTGTGGTTGAAGGGTTCGGACCACCATAACGATAAGTGGATCATCGTGAAGCCATCGCCAGGCAAACGGTTCAACCAAACGTCCGCGTACGCGCATGTGCGACACAACCCTCAGCAATGTTGGGAGCTGTTGGAACACGCCGTCAACATCGCGACGAACACAATCCTACACACTTACCGCAACACTCACTGGCTTCACCAACACTCCACTCTTTCGAACGTCCTCTTCAACGACCAGGCCTCCCGAGCATATCTTATCGACTGGGGTTGCGCGTCGAAACCGCCTCACGCGGTGAGTACAGTTTTCCGCACACATAGCAACGAATTGACTGACAAATTCTGCCACGACGCTATGGTACACGTGAAGCACATCCCCGATGTCAGAGCACACGTTGCATACACGATATCGCAATCCGGTCACAGTCTTTGCGGCGCGCGGCCTGCTACGGTTCATCCTCCCGTGATGCACGCCCCCACGTACCATTGTCCTGCGCCGGCACACGGCGCGGTCGCTCTCCAACCATGGCATTGATGAGGCCCGTCGCACCATGTTGACCAGCTGCAAGGCGACATGGTTCTGTTGTGTCCCAATAGAATGAGAAGTGATTCTTATACTAGCACAAGATCGTTGTCGGTATAACATGGGTGATGAATCGCTACACGCTCCCAATTTTAGCCACACAGGAGCAACAGGTGATCCAGTGTGCACAACTTACCGCCTTACGATCAGAAATGTGTCGCCGAAGCAGGCCTCTGGAAATCCAAGTAGTAAACTATTTTATTGACCGGCGAAGAAAGCACCGTGAGCTATTCATTGAACGGCATGACCCTAGCCAACGGCAGGCGATCGAGATGTCAGTCGCACGGTCCAGATCACTCTGCCAGTGGCAGCGGATGCCAGTGCCAGTCGGAGGCTTGGAGCCAACCACTGGCACTGGCGCCGTCTGTGAGTACAATTAGCTATAGTGCATACCTTGTCTGCGGCTCGCGCAAATACCGTGACGTTCATGAGCGTTCATGCATGTGCCAAGCGTACGGGAGATGGGACCCTTCATCATGCTTGGTGCCACGAAATACAAACACACAACTATGCTAGACGAAACATATCGATAGGAGACGGTCCGACTCGAAGAAAAACGCGCGACTCATGATACTGGGCGACTCAACTCTTGCAACACTGTGAGGGAACTTGAGCACGGCCAACTTGGACACGAAGATATATCACTGCTTACGTCTCACCCTGCTGCGAATTCGTTCCACCTCCGCTTCGAGCTGCTTGCGGCGTTTCGCGGGGTCACGGCAGCGATCGTGACCGAGTCGAGTTTCTTCGTCGGGTACAGGTATACCAAGAAACCTGCGGATCCGCACGTTGCACAGCCTGCTCAGCTCCGCTCCGATAAGGAACAGCAGGAATACGACACAGGATGCCACTACAGGGTCCTGCATAGCATCGGTGCCGGTCAGCCGCGCGACCGACGCGCGACCTTCGGTACGAGATTCCAGCGGCACCGCGACTATGGGCGGCGTACTAGTAGCGAACTCGGGTACAAGATGTACGGTGGTGTTGGAGAGGGTGTATGCGAGGAATTTGATGGTCGTACCCGGCGGTACGAGTATTCCGTGAGGGATTGCGAGCGAGATGTTCATATGTACGATTGGTGGCGCGCTGCAAATATAATAGAGTCAACCTCGACCAGCGACTGACAGCGGACACCACATACGTTAGCTCGAGTAACTTGAGCTTCATGATGATCTCTTGTTGGAGTCGTATAGTATGTATTCCCAACAATACTAATATGACCATGGCAACACGAACTGCGCCGGTGAGGAACTTCGTGAAGGACACTGGCAGCATGACGGGGGGTATCCTGTGAATGGCGCGCGGGCTGGACGCAACTTGCATCGGCCTAAATACCTCGCTGGAGCTTGTGACGGCGGATCGACCGAGGCATCGAGCGACGGACGGACGAGCCGGCACCTCACACGTCGTGGACGGTGGTACCCATCGCCGGGAACAGCGTGACGCCGGTGACAGGTCCGCCTCTTGCTGTGTCGACGGTTTGGATCGTAGGGAAGTCGGAAACGAAGACGAGGCTACTTCAGCCTCGGGCCATACCACGTCCGTCCAACCACGCAGCTCTTGATCACTGGCAGAGGCCTAGTAGGCTCATTAGCCGCACATGAGTAACGTGAGTACAACGGACAGTCGCATAGAAAGTGGCGAGTAAGTACCCGCTGGCCGCAGGAGGCCTACATCCACATAACGACTCTGGCCGCACCTTCACGCGATCATGTAGCGATCCATTTGGCACCTCGGCCAACCATCGGCGTATGGATTGGACATCCATAGATATAGGCGGTGATGGTCCTGATGGAGAGATGCCTGAGTATCCGTCATGTCAATTGTATGGCGTGTCTTCTGTGCTCCTCCGTCGCACTAGAGATACCCAAGGACGATACACGTCATTCCCAGCCAAACAATTCCGTCGACCCTCCCCAGCCCACGGGATGCGTGCCCTGCCACGCATCCCCACGCCGGACTTAGATGCGCTGCTAGACCCCGAGCTTGTATTAGTTGCAGACTCGGCGAGTCAGTTGTTAGACGCGTCGCCTGATACGTTAGCCCGGCGAGTGGTGCGCGAGGACCCCCGAAAATTGGCTGAAAGGCCAGATCCGGGACTCCCAGATTTTGGCAAAAACGTCTGGACGTCCGAACGCCAAAATGTCTGGATTGCCATCCGGCATGTCGGTCATGATACCTTAATTGTCTGGATTACGGAATCATGCCTCAGATTTTACAATTTTGTCTGGATTGCTGGATCAGGCCTTCAAATTCGTATTTTTTGTCTGGATTGATGGATCAGGCCTCTATAAAACCGATTTTTTTGTCTGTATTGCTCTTCTAGGGCTCTGGATAGCATTCTCGACGGTGACAGTCAAACTACATAGTCTACTAATCCTCTTCCTAGGTTACTATTTGTATGTATTTCTGTGTCATTGAGTGAAAGGCATAGACTGTATTGAATTCTCCGGGACCATACAATCAATTCTAACCAACTGCATGGCTGGCATTACATGGTGCTTCTCTTGGATGATGTCACCTTGCATTGAGTCCGTACGTTTGCTGAACTTAACAGACAGCAAGTCGCCAGTCAGGCATTGCCATACGGAGTTTGCTCGTAAATCGAAACACATATTACCAACATATTACACGTAAGGATGAATCATTTTAGGCACCGAATATTTACACATAAGACACCAGCGGCGCCACCGTGTATCTCTATGTACTTGTCTGGACAGGTATCCGACCAGATCTACTATCAGGGAAATGTCTGGACTAAGAGATCGGGCATGACCACCAAATGGTGCTTTTTGTCTGGATTCCGATCCGGCCAAGGCCTAAAATTATCCAAAATCTGTCTGGATTAGGCTCAGGCCTTTCAGCCAATTTTCGGGGGTCCTGGTGCGCGACCGCGAGACTGCGGTTGGCGCCCGACCCGATGCCCGACGTGATGCGCTGTACCTCACTCCGTCGCCACATGGCGGGTGAATAAGTACAGCTCAAACTATATATGGCTCCACATGTACGTAGCGTACGGAGGGTAAACATGGAGAATAAAAAATAAAATAATAAAAAGACCCTCCCCAGCCCGTCGTCAGGACTAGTCTCGATCAGACGTTCAGGAGGAGGAGACTGAGATCGAAAAAGCCATACGACTTGTTGTCGTTCAAAGTCAGCGTATTAACCGGGAAGCGAGTCAGTTGCAAGGCTGGCGCCGGGGTCATGCAACCATCTTCGCTGCGCTGCTGAACCGGGTCGAAATGCTATGTGGCAATTCGCTGCTAAGGGCATGCCCAGCCTGCGCCTGCTCCTGCGAGACTGTCGTGAAATGACCTCCTGGTGCCTCGACACGAAACGTGGCCGGGCACTGTGAGCACACAGCCTACAGTACAGCTAGCGGCGTAGGGGGTCATCTTCGTACGCACGGAGCGTCGTCGTGACAGACTCAGCCACTTGCATGCAAACCTACAGTGTGCTTTATGAGACGGTCAAGCTTAAGCTTACGGTCCGAATACTGTCTTGTGTCACTGTTGGCGGCCACATGCTCTGGCGCCGGCCCTATCTCTTTTTGGTCAGCTACGGAGACTACGCCGGCCCCGGCCACACAGCAGGCGTCCATGTCTGAATTAGGCAACCGATGGTTCATTCAGTCGTTCGACCGCCCCCTTCGGACACACAAGCAAGCATAATATTTCTCCAAGAGTCTGCCTCGGCTGCTCTTCTGTCTGCCACCAGTACTCTTGTCTTGTTCTTCCTGCCACGCCCTTGGATCGGGCTCTCCATTCAAGATACCAGAACTACTGGCTCCCGGGCCCACAGGCTGACTCTCGCTGGAGGCTTTTCGTACGTCTCGGCATTTCTTGACACGTTGTGTCAGTCCTGGATCGTCCTCGCGCACAGTTGGTGTCATACCTCAGGTTCTGGCGGCGCCTCCTTCGCATCGCGCTTGCTGTTCGACGCGTCCCGCACTGTGATTCTTAGTACGGCTACTATTAACCTTCCGTATTTTCATTCGGCGATCGCTCTCCTCGCCAGTGAGATCTGACCTTCACATGTGTGAATCACGCGTCACGAACACGGCGCAAGCACGCTTCACGTCGCCAGCATCGAGAATGTAAGTGGTTCGACCTGGGTGCGGCGTTACTGTCGATACCGTTGGCTTATGAGGATGTCCAGGCCATCCTCGCATCGTTGCGCTGGCCTGTGCCCCCCCGGTCGCCTAAGGTCCAAGCCTCGCAGCTTCGATAGTACGGTCACGTCGCCGGGACCGCGAGCTGGAAAAAGCCAGTGCAGTGGCCCGACGCCAATGGCATCTTGCAAACTCTCGTGAGTGCCACAGCTGTCATGCGGGGAAGCTTCGAACCGATCGGTGCGTGCATCCCATTCTTCACAGCTGCACATTTGGGGCTCCTCTCGCGCTGCTTTCTTGAGTCGCGTCTCCAACCAGTTGCTGCATCTCAGCCCGTACTGTCGCTGTCGCTGAACCAGCCCTCTTTCGTCCGTGGAAGACAGAGCTGCTGCCCATCGAAAAGCCTATCCATCATCACCCACAGTAGCTTTGGGACTCAAGGTAATGCCGGGGTTCATCGCGATGCATCGACTATCTCATGCAATTGTTGTAACAGGCCAGTGGCTCGGTGCAACGCTTCCCAACCGACTCGCAGCGACATCCCATCGAATTCACCTCCCTCAACTCACCGCCGTCCCTATGCCTAGCAGTTCGCAGACAGTCACGTCCTCCGTAGCGCGTCTTGCGCGGAGCACAATCGACCAAGTTGGCACCGCCATCGTGGGCATGCTACTAGCTTCCGTCTGCACTCTCATGATTTTCTGCCTATCGCCCAGGCGTACCCTATTTTACTTGATACGCAGTCTGGTCATACCAACGTTGCCCGATCAGTACAAGTATGCGGTGGCCATCGTCGAACTCCCGACCTTGGTGTGGATCGTCTTGGCCATTCTGTTCTGCACTTGGGCTCCGTTTGTCTGCGGTCGGGATCGCTTCTCGGGTCGAGGAATCGGTCTCGCGACACGGGCACTACTCTACATTTCCGCTACAGCGTCTGGCGCGTTGATCACCCTCGCGTCCACTACGCGATCGTCCTCATGGCCGGCGACCCCGCTTCGCTGCGCTTCGTACAAGAAGCCAGTCCTCTCACTCTGTTCACTCTGGGCAACTTCATGCTTGTCTCGCAAGTGGCTTCCTTTGCGTCATGGGAAGACTTTGTGAAATCCTGCGTTGCTGTCCCGGGTGGCGACATCATGATGTTCGAGGCTGGAAACCAGGTACATGGTATTGTCTGCAAATCTGTCAATCTATATCAACTGACTCTGTGGCTTCGACATAGAGTGCCGAGGGAAAAGAGCTCCGTGCCTCGAGTCACGGTAACACGACCCAGGAGGCCCATCTTCGAAACCAAAAAGACAAGACTACGTTGTGATGTACGTCCCCGTGATCCGCGCACATGGCTTGACTGATCACTGATACACCTGGTTGTCTCGTTCATCATAAACAGCCTCCACGAGGATCACCTGCCAGCATCGTTCCTTCCGCCCGAAGCTTCAACGACTCAAACTATCCTGTCCATCCACAATCTTTGTTGTTCCATTCGTACATGTATGCCCGATCTGTGTTATGCACTTACGCGTCTTACCACAAACGCCTGGTCTCGATTGCACAAGGACGTTTAGCCCTTACGTTGCCTGTGAACAGACACCGTTGGACTTAGGTGCCGAGAGCCACTCATACGCTGAATACTGTGAAAGCTGAGTTTCCGTGTTATGGCTCCGGATCCATCCGGGCCCCAGGTCACTACACAGTTACTACAACGTACTGATCGATGATCCTCGCGCGCCCCTGAGGGTGGACCGAGTATACAACTGTGACCGAGCGGCGCACATGGTCAAACCAGCCTCGAAATATATTGTGAATTGATTCGAAAATGCTTCAAGCTTGCAGACCGCCCTCCCCTCCGTCAAAGAGATCTTCAGGGTCCGCCTATGGGAGACTAAATCGAAAGAGCACGATGTTACACGATTAGGCCATTACGTCTCCGATTTGCCGTGTGGGTACCGTACCATCGTAACTTACATCGCGGGTCATTAATACAACGATATGTGAAGAGCGAGTACCCGGCGACAATAGCGCGGGGCCCGTCGACTCTCTGGCAACAAGCGAAGCGCAACACGGTACTACCTACCAGTGACGAATTGTAATGCACCTATGCTTCTTCATTTGTCGACGGTCCTGTCAGTCTCCAAGTTCATGCCATATGACATAAGTTAGGAAGTGTTGTACTGATACAGAATGAGTGTGCTACAGATCAGATCCGCATACATACCGAAGATACAAAAGAAGGGCGTCGAGCATTTTACATATCACTGACCCCGGTCTATTGCTTCCAGGGCCGAGTTGAGCACGACCTTGGGAAGCAATAGTATACGGTTATCGAAGGGCTCCTCTGCGTTATCGTCCGAGGCCGTCGATGCCCTCTTCGACTTACGCGTCATACAACGCAGCCCCAGCTCTGTCGTGCAGAGCACCTTCCCAGTGTTCGCCCCGCCCGCTCGCGCCCCGCCTGACTTGCCGCTCGAGTAGCTGTGCACGCTCGCTGCGTCGTCTGCGATAAACTCCTCATAGTCCCTCATCTTGTTCGACATGCTGCCCTCGTCAAAGGTTTCTCCGCTCTCTACGAGGACGACTTCGAAGCTGGTGGAGAGGATCTCTTCACGCGTCACTCGTGCCAGTCTGTACACGGCTTCTGCGATACGCCGTAGCTGGGTGCTGGGTACGAGAGCAGGCGACGGCTCTGTCGTCGGCGACGAGCCGGCTAATGCGAAAACAGTCGACGACCACTTGAGCATGGTCGCCACAAGCTCCGTGATAGCGTACTCCTCCAGCCCAGGGTACAGCATCCGGATTGATCGATGCGTCAACGCGCGCCATCGCGCAGACGTCGCCTGCGGTTCTAGAGTAACCCACACCGCTCGTTGAGGTCATGGATCAAACACGAAGGGACCGCACGTACCGGATGACTGCATGTGCGTGAGCACGCGCGAGAGAAGCGCGTCGAGCTTGGACGGGAAGCCCACGCAGAACAGCGACAGCGAGCGTGCACAGCAGGTCGCGATGCTGGCCTGCAGCGCGAGCTGGACGAGGATCGGATCCTGCGTGTGGTCGCGGGACGACAATGCATGCGCGAATGCCGCGCCTAGCCAAGGTGCGCTCTCCTCGTCCTGCAGGGGACCCGTGTCCGACGTCGGGGGCGGCGACCTCGCCTTCAGCCTCTTCGCGAACGCACACGTCTCCGTCGCGCTCGCAGCAAACTGATTTATCTCGGCGTTCAGATCCTCTACGGCCTGAATGACCTGTGCGCCCGACCAATTGTCCGTCTTCGTCATGAAGATATCCATGCTCCGTGTCCGGGCTATCTGCTCGGCATCCATGACCGCCTGCGGCTTCTGGGGACGGGGGTACGTTCTCGATCCTGCGCGGTGCTCTACTCCGGCTCGGGGTCCGACTCCGGCGACAAGTGTTGTGCTGCACCCCGTTCTGCTCTCTGTTCTCGGCCGCCCCACTCTCCAAAGGCGCCCTCTGGCTCTTCATTCGCTCCTGGTCGCGCTCCGTCCTCGCCTGGTCTCTCTCCACCCTCGCCTGGTCGCGCTCAGCGACCAACCTGTCTCTCTCCTGCCTCAACGTGTCGATCTCCCTATCCTTCGTCCGCAACGACTCCTGCATCTCCCGCAGGGTCTCCTGCAACGCCTTGTACCGTTCGGCGAGCTTCATGATTTCGATCTGTATGTGTGAGCGTGCGGCGTCGCGGTGCGCGTAGGCCGTCTCTAATGAGAGCTCGAATCGCGCTGATGGCGGCGTGCGTGCTTCGACGGGTGCTGTCGATGGGCCGAACGGACCTGATCGCTCGCGTCGCTCCGCGGTGGCTAGTCGCAACCGCAGCGCGCTGCACTCGCGCGTGAGCCGTGCAACGGAATTTGGGAGGGGCGCAACCTCGCCGGAGTCAAATCGGGGCCTGGTAGGATAGACCGCCGCACACCCGCGGGCGGTGTAAATTTCGAGAGAGGGATCGCTGTTATGCCTAACGTGCATCATGCAGTGAGTTTGCGGGATGATGGGGCAGGGGAAGATACAGGAGCGGGAAGCTCACCTTCCGTGCTATATGAAAGGCCTAGAGAGGGATCTGCCCACCTGTGACTTGAGAGCAGCGCTGTCGACTGGTGGTGTGCAGGAGAATCTTGAGTCGCTGCGGCGTGAGTGCGTTAGGAGCGTGCCGCCATGCGCATCGGAGATCGCAAACGCGTGTTGATGGGGCGCTCAAGACGTAACTATCGAGTTCTCCTCGAGTTCTCCAGCCATCGCATCGCGGGGTCGAGCAGGCACAGCGACGAAATGTTGCGCAGATCAGCCGCGATAGTGACTTTCCGCCCTCACAGAGCTACGATTGAGATGTAGTAGACGACTCTGAGAAGTGGTCATTGTATTAGCGCTCGTGCGTCTTCGCGATCACAAGCCGCCTACTTACCGTTACCCGCTAGTCCGTGGATGAAGGTCCCGCGCCACACGCCTCAGCCACCTCGCGTCTCGCGGCCGTCGCCTTCATGCAATGCCCAATACCTCGCTCGAAACTCATCGTATGGCCTCGGCGACCTCATTTTCGGAATCTACGCGTCAAACACTACTCAGGCATGTTGTCAGAAAGGCCAAATCGAGAGGCAGCTGCGCGCAAGACCCCACAAGAGTCTGGACGAGTCGGCGAACACCCGCACGGACTAGCGGGTAACGGTAGCCGCCGCATTAGGCAGGAAGGAAGAAAGTAGGAGGCGTAGATGCGCTTCACAGCTGCGCCTTTGCGGACATTCTCATTGATAAGTGATACAGTCGAATGTACGTCTCAACGGCGCAAGCACGTACGATTGTCGGGCATCCCAACGTGCTTCGAGTCTCGCAGCACCGTGAAGAGCTCCGGCTGCTTGATCATGTGCAGTGGTAGGACTGACCTGGACTTATTCAGGGAAATTGGCCTCTCCAATCGGAGCCTGTGCGTTCACTTAGCACTCAGTGACCGAAGGGTCTCCATCCGGAACCAGACCGTCTTACCGCGCGGCCTTACGCTGCCTCAGTGGACAAGTCTCCAGCACCGCACGATAGCCGACGCATCGTTCCATCGCGTATCTGCGATGTGGCCGGAAATGAAGACCTCTCTTATACAACAAGATGCACGAGGATGCGTGAGGACACTGTCCTGCGTCATCTGTGGCACCGAACGACTCCGGCTGTGCAACAGGGTGTGCAATCCGCTGACAGCGGGAACGTGTAGGTTGTACGTTATTGTGGGAGATACGTGGGCGTCCTCGAAGTCGTGTTGACCTGAGACGTCGACCACAGCCACCGAAGCATGGCCCAGTAATGACCGGATGCTGCACCGCGATGGGGACGGACAGCGAGTCGGAGAACCAGGATATCAGGGCTGCGTCTAACAGGGTTCTGGGTACAGGTGTGGGCGGTTGGTATTAGAGATCCGGTTTCAGTGTCGGTATGTCCAGACCCAGCTTGTGTGAGATGTTCAGTAGCTGGGGCAGGACTCACGCACCTGCGGACTCGAGTCTAATAATTGGCAAACAAGACTCCCAACCGTAACCACGCGGGTCTGGACCACTACAGGAAATATCGTATTTTGCTGCGCCATGATGCCAGATGGGTCGAAAGACGGATCTTCCTCATCGAGACGGTGTCTTCGGGATGACATGGTGGACCGTGGACGCGCCTCGCGTGCCTCGCCACAACCGCGTTGCGGACGCATGTAGCTTACGTAAGCTGCTGTAACACCCGCGATCGCCGCATTCGCTCAGAAGCCAGAGCTCATAACTATGCCTCGTGGTCGACCTCACCATCTTTTCTTTCCTCAAGCCCCGAGCTCCGAGCTCTTCTTATATCTCGGACGGCGCGAACCTTGCGCGTCCTACCCACCATTATCTCCAATCTACTCTTCACCGTGAAAGTACCGACTGTGTGCGCACTACCTACTAACGATAACCAGCAATGAAGCCCACCTCGGGCACCCGCAAGCCCTACACCGGGCAGTCGCGGAGTCTCGTCCTTGCAGTGGACATTGGGACAACATTCAGCGGCGTGTCTTACGCCATTCTCGAGCCGGGCGAGGTGCCCAAGATCCATGGAGTTACACGGTTCGTGCATCGCAGGGCCTGATAAAGAGATACTTAAGCCCTTGCAGATTTCCGGGGCAAGAACATGTTGCAGGAAACTCGAAAGTCCCCACAATCATGTATTATGACAGTCATGGGCGGATGATGGCGGCAGGCGCAGAAGCAGAGAGCGCGTCGACGGTCGCGCAAGCGGAAGACGAGGGCTGGGTGAAGGCCGAGCTGTGAGTTCTCTACCGTGGCTACTATCGCACGTCACTGAACCTTGTGCAAGCTTCAAACTACGTCTCCGCCCCAAGAACATGAAACTCAAAATGAACGGCATGCGCTTCGCGCCGCTTCCCTCGGGGAAGACGGCCGTCGACGTCTTTGCTGATTTCCTGGCCTATCTATTCAACTGCACGCGGTCATTCATCGTTGACACGCATGCGAACGGCCCTGCGCTCTGGCATGCAGTCGAGCAGAACATCGAGTTTGTCCTCAGTCACCCGAACGGCTGGGAAGGCGCGCAGCAGACGAAGATGCGCCGTGCTGCTGTGTATGGAGGTTTGATACCCGACACAGATGAGGGAAAGGCACGAATACG